ATGGTTCGCGGTATCATGATGAAGAAGAAGAGAAGCGGGAGCTCGAAGCTGCCCCGCGGCCAGACATAGGCTCAGCTAGCTGCGGCCTCTGCCAGGTGCCAGGATGACGATCTCACCCACTATAAAGTATGGAGCTGTTCCAAGAACGAGCTGCACTGCTACAGTGCTATCCGGAGCTCTGTTGCCCGCGAACGGTTACTGGCAGTGGGGCTTCTGGACGACGGTGGGGAGCTGCACTGCGCTACCTGAGGTAATGCTATGGTAAGATAAAGGCTAGCGAGACAGAACCAGGCGAAAACTCAGAGAAACGAGAGAATAGGAGACGAGGCGGCATATTATAGGGAGATGGGGCAGGTTTTTATTAACGACGAGTTTTGAGCTAGACGGCTCCCTGCGCCAGGAGCTCGGAGGTGAGCGGTCGGATGACAATGACGGACAAAAGGTGTGGGTGCGTGTCGACCTCGTGGCATCTGCACGCTCACCTCCTTACCGACTGCCTGCTTTCGTATTTCTCGGCCGTGATGGCCTTGTCCACGACTTGCTGCCATCTAGCTTGGCCTGCATCTGTCCTGCTTTCCAGGGCTGGGAGCTATCCCTGGATGGAATGCGAGAAGGATCTCGCCCGAGTGAGCCAATCTTGGTGAAGGCCGGCTTGGGTTAGGGGACAGTTACCAACTATCGAGATTAGGACACAGCTAGGTACCTCCTGCCTTCCCTGCTTGACTGCCCACCGGTCTGCACAAGTCCCTTCTTGCCAAACTTTGCGCCAGTCGGTCAATCAGCAGGTGCGTTTCAAGGCGTTCTACCTCGTACTCTGAGAGCTCAGTGCAACCCCAAAAGCCTGTCCAGCATCGCGGTACCTTGCAATGACTTGTGTAGAGTTAGTTATTTGTCCCCGACTCGAGTATTGGGTATGTACTGCGGACGCGCATCCGGAGGGTGGTAACACCCAAAATGAGGCAGAGAGGAGGAGCTGGATCAAGATGGCAACAGGGATGGGAAAGAGCATGCATGCACGAGCTTGCATGATGATGTAATAGACCTGTAAGCGACCACTCACCTTCGCCAATTCAGGAGTCCACAGTCCGCGCCATCGCAACCACAGCACGGGAACTTGGAAGCTGGCAGCTCAGGAACAGCAGGACAGCTCTCAAAACAGCATGAGCTCTGCTTCGATTTGCCGATTTGCTCTCACCGCATAGAGAGCATCAATGCCGCCAGCTGTCAGAATGCCAATCTACCAAGGGTGATAATGGGAAATCTTGTCCCACCTTGGCATTCTCACCAGCCTCTACGTTGGGGCCTTACTGGATCTTATTCAACGAGGGAATTCTTGCCAATCTGAAGCACGAAGCTTACACCGACAATGTCAGGAACATCCAATTAGAGAGTAAGCCATAGATTCCAGGTTTGCCTGGTGCCTTGGTGGATTCGAGCTAAACCTGCATGCTAGGCCAAAATTTCCCACTTGTGCCTTTCGCAACAGCAAAATCGTCCGATCCGATGGAGCTTGCTCTTCCCCAGTATGGATACCCATTGGCTCAAGTATCTGATTCCGGAATACCGATGCGAATCGAACGCCTTCGGAAATTTGTACCTTTCCCCCCGTGCCATGGATCTAAGAAATTGCCCTTGCCATGCTTAGCACAGCCCCTTCAGAGAGCAATGCGTCTCAGTATGCAACTAGAGCGCTCGAGGAGGATGCAAGAACCCCGGAACTGTCCTCCTGAGAGATGAATTCTCTGCCAGTGGTGGGATAGCCGGACTCCTTTTCCTCTCTTAGCCCACAGGCAAAGAATCGCATGGCTCCCCCCACACCCACGCCACCTTTCGTGACCTGGTGGCTCAATGGTGCTGGTTGCATTTAGCTGCGGCCTATCATATCATTGGAATATAGGAAACATCAACACTGAGAAAATAGGCACGGTCTCATTCTTTGAAATGGGGAAAGTACGCTTCGACCCCACGACTGCCCTCCATGGTCTGCTGGATTTCTCCCCTTTTCTATGCGAACAAGAATACCAACGTGTAGCTGGTGTTATTCAGACACTTACTTCTTTGCAACGGTGCGCCAGAATGAGTCCAGTTGGTTCCATGCACTTGAAGGTTTCCTAAAACCCATCTCATGGAAATGGCTCGGCATTAAAGCATCATTCAGAACCACAAAGTCGTTCAACTGGCATGCTGAGGAAGCCAGCCTATCCCAGTCGTGCTTGATACGATTACAAGCCGGGCCAGTTCAAACTCGCACATTGAAAGCCTTCTCAAAGTCAACGTGGACTCTTGTTTGAAAGAAACGGAAGGCTCCCTACCACTTGACTTATGCAAAGCTGTCAGCTTTGTACGGTTATCAAAGTTTTCCCAATTTCTGTCAAAGCCCCTATCAGCAATCAACCCGAACAATCCTACCGGCGCTTCAATCGAGATGATATTATCTCTCATTTCCCTAACTAATAAGCCAACGCCTGATCAAGGTGCAGTTCGCGTTTCCAGCACCGGAAGACACATAGCTCACCCAAAACGTTCCTTGGACATCATCACAGCAAGACCGTTACACTAAGAAGGGACTCCGAGGCATAATTGTATGCATTTGGATTTTTTTTTTGGCGATCATCTATCGTTTCAATTGAACCGATCGGTTGCTAGGATTCAGCCCAAAGCCGTTCAATATTTCCACAGTTGTTTTGGTTGTCAAACAATCCGTAGACAACCTCAAGATTCTTTTTGCACACTCCAACACCATTACACACTTAGTACAGACCGACAACAACATCACCCTTGACACGGGCAGTCAAGTGAACCTCAGCTTCAAGGTCGAGCTTGATACCCAGGAGCAGGGAGGCATCCTTGAGCTTGCCATCACTGGTGGTGGCGCCCTTCAGAAGCTGGCCAGCAGGGGCGGCGAGGCCAGTCGAGGTGGGGAGAGGGACAAGAAGCTGGCCCTTGCTGTTGTTGGCGGCGCCACGGGGAGCGCCACGACGGCCACCGGCGGCCTGGCCGTCCGAATCGGAGTCGTAGTTGAGGGCGGAGGTAGGGCGAGCCTGGACAGGCTTAGGGGCAGGAGAACCAGCGCTGGAATACATCGTTAATACAGTCTGACAAACGATTGTTTTTGTCTTCCAAGCCCAAGAGAAACAAATTGGCTAGGCATTGGAGATCTCAGCTGTGAATGGGTGGGGGGGACTCACTCAGACATTGTGAAGGTTTGGAACGACCGGGGAATTAACGGGTCGTATAAGGGAGATCCCACGGGGGACTTTTGGCTTTTAGGTGTTGACGGAATTTTGACTGATTTGGGGAACTGAGGATGGTAGAGACGAACTGGTGTCTAAGGTGGACTCGGGACGGCCTTATATACCTGGATGGTTACTCCAAAGCTTGACCTACTCGGTGTCCATCGGACGAGATGATCCTCACGCGATCAGGCTCATCTCCAAGCTCCATCCAGATGAGCCACCGATCGAAAAAGACTCGGCTCCTGCAATCACCGACCAACAGGCCGTTCCCGCAGGCATGCAGCTGCAGGAAACCTCCATGGGCGGCTGCGCTCAAAGAAACGACTTACGCACCCTCGCACCCACGCGTACGACACAGAACGCACCCACCAACATCCACCATGGGGCCTAGCGGCATCGCCAGCACATCAAGCCGGTTCCAGAGGGTGGGTGAATCAAGTCACCACAGAGAAACCTATCAATAGGCCGGTGGGTGAACTGATGCAAGCTCTCGGCAAGTGGGCCATTTCAAGATGAGCGACCCCATTCTGATGACCCCATGTTCACCTTGTTGTAACTGCACAAGCCTACTATGTGTTGGGGTTCTCCTATCCGAGACGAGAGATGCTATCTACCTTATATGCTATAATATGGTATAGCTGCTCTACGCTCGATACTCCAAGACACCCACAATGTCCTATGGTTCGATTCTAGTTCTGTTACTCTGATGAAGGGGGTGTGGGTTGCCGGAACTTCCAGCTTTCCAGGAGAAGCAGGATATTTGCTTGTTACAGCGGGGACCGGGGCGGTGGAAGAAGCAAGAACTCAATGCAGAGCAGGCCAGCGAGTCACAAACATCCAATTCAAGATGGGTTTGATCATTCGTCAAAGTCTTCTGGACCGGGTTGGGCTGGGCTGGGGGTGGAGCAGAAGCCGGGGTTACTCGATCCACCGAGCTCGATCTCACCAGATACTCGAGAGACACCCATGAATATTGAGGAGGCGCATCAGGATAGACCGAGAGAAGCAGAAGGACCAAGGGCTTTTCTCGATTGGCCTCTCGTGTCGGAGCACGCCGGGTATCTGTGGGGAAGAAGGCTTGACACGTCAGTCGGCTTGTAGGTCGGTAGGGGTGGCCAATGTTTCGCATGAAATCTAATCTGCAGCCTGGTGCCACTCATCCACAACAACTCACAACGCAGAGACACGCCCCCCCATCTCCTCACTCTCCGTCGGCCACTCTCTCCAATAGTTAGCTGTCTGGCTGCAATGTCGATACGTCGAGCGACAGGGACAGGGCCCCGACGGAATTTCTCGCCAATGCCTCTGTATTCCTGCCCTGCACTCTGGGGGCTTTTTCATGTGGAAAATGGCATGATTCCCGCAGGCTGGACCAGCCTGTAATGGCATAATTCAGGTCAGATCTCTACAGAGTGGCGTTCACGATCCAGGCATTAGTAAAATGCCGCGAATCGGGAAAGTACAGGACAGTACCAGAAGGCCAGCCAATCCGGTGATATAGGCGCTTTGCTTCTGCTTCTCGACCGACCCGACCATGCCCTGGGCCAAGAGTACGCACGCCTCCTCTGTCTGCTGCATTATTGCATGAGATTTCCTGTACTTTTAATATTATTGTTGTTGTTTTCGCCAAAAAGCATCCAACAACTGGGTCCTGCGCCTTTGCATTGCCTCTGCTGCCATCTGCTACATTTGAGTGGATAGGAGTGATTCGCTTGCGCAAGACGCAGAGAGGAATCGAACAAAGGAGAAAGACTGCTGCATCCCATGTCCCAGCCGTCTGATTCTGATCAGACATCTCAGCAGACGTCGGACCAGAAACCACAGCAACAGGCTGGTCAGAGCAATCAGTCACAAGAGAACGCAGAGCAAACAGCGCCGCCTCCAGATTCCAATCAACCACAACAAGATCAAGAACCTGGCCAAGCTCCTGAGCAAGATCCAGAACAGCAGGCGGAAGAACTCCGCAAGCTAAGAGAAGCCTTCAACGCTCAAACTGAACAGGCTGTTGACCTAGAGCTTGCAAAAGTCAAGGAAGCCGTCCAAAAAGGAGATCCACATCAGGTCGCCATGTCTCTCTCTGTGCTGCTAGCCCTCACCATATGCCCAGCTATGCTGGGCTCCCAAGAGGCTATCCGTCAGAGTCAGTCCAAGTCTCGCAGAGAGGAGCACAGAGCTCGTCGGTGCAACTTGGTGGTATCCTGTGTGAAGCGATCCATCCGGAGCCGCGACATCAACAACAAGCTCGTCGTCCTCAGAGATAACAAGGTAGCTCCCGTCTACTCATACCAGCTTTACCCATTAGTCACCAAGTACAATGCTAACGTGTTTCTCTTGCGCGCAGCTCTACATTTCGAATGAATTTCCCAACGAATACAATGATGACTCTCCACCATCTGATGATGGAGGCTATCCCTTTGCAGGGTACTTCCTTCCCTACCCCGATTCCAAGTATGAGGGCTTGGTCAGTACAATCATGGACGAACCTCCCATTTTGAATTGGATCTACGTCGACAGGGAAACCTATGAAGTTAAGTACGGTGTCCGTGTTGATGCCCAACCCAACCTCACCGGTCCTTTTGACTGCACCAAGCAGGATCGACGTATGATCTTCGATGGCTGGGAGGGTTTCTGTGCCGTTGAAGAAACACCCGGTGTTTGGGCTGTCTACTTCGACTGCGATGATGATGGTCTGAAGACCAAGGTACCCATGGGTACCAGAGTCCTCGAGATCGAACTGCTCCGACGTGAGAAGAAGGAAAAGAAACCTGCGGAGGACGAGAAGCCCAAGAATATGGAACAAAAGATGGCCCAGCACAAGGCACAGACAGCGGCCGAAGAAAGTGAGAAGGCTGCTTTCCTCAAGGCGGAGCAAGAAGCTGGAGCCGGGCAACCAAATGGTACAACAACCAGTCAAGGTGATACTCCCAAGCCCAGCGAACCAGTCTACAGTCCTGGATCGAACGCTCCTCCTGACCCAGAGAAGCTCAAGAAGCTGGAGGAAACGATGCGCACCCTCAACATCATGAACGGGGCCTTCTCCAAGGTGAAGACCACCCCGCTAGCCAACCATAACGCGAACAACAGCACTGCGCCGAGTGAGACAGCTCATGACCCAGCGGGCTGGTCAGACAGCGAGAAACCGGGCGGCGCAGATCACGAATCGATGACGGCTGCCAGCTCCGTCTATAATGAAGCGGCCAAGAACGCAAAGAATGACAACACAAGCGATGATAACGATTACAAGAAGCCATATGTTGAGGAAATGAAGGGTCCTGAAGTCGACTAAAGAATTGTATTACCTGTATGAAAAGTCCTTCGCCTCGTTCTCTCCTGTTCTCTTTCTCCCATCTTCATTTTTACTCTCTTTTTGTTTTTCCTATATCCCCACTTATCATATTGTCTTAATATGCAGTCATTTCACAAAATGGTTATCAGGGCAGATATGAAATTGCCAGCATTGAGGATGTATTCATTACATATACCATCTGCTTAAGATTTGATCACACTTATGTTATCCCCAAAACAGGAAAGCCACAAGGAAGTGGCTGGTTCGTTAAATAAGCATAACAATCAGGTTTTTCCGGCATGAGATGTCCTTGTCTATTCCCATCTTCCTCGTTTATACAAATTAAATTGGTCATTCAATTACTCTTGTACGCTTAGCTTTATTGACTTCTCGATTTACACTACATTTTTCGGACGCTCTGTCTCTGCCTTTGTGGGGAAACTTCACAGCAATACAGTACAGCTCCTACGTCACGGCTCCGGCTATATGACAAGCAGGTATAATGCCCTGATCTGCAGCGGGCCACCATCCGTTTTATCCATCCACACCCTCGCACGATCCAGGGACAGCCAAGGGCATCCCCGGCTGTAGAACAACCGCCCTTAACCAGCCTGTCGCCTCTGTTTAGAGGCTGGTTCTGTTAGAATCCAGATCCATACATAGTAGAATCAGAGCCCAAGCAGTCGATACCAACCACAGCTCAGTTGCTCATACGAGAATTAAATGGTTCGATAGCTGGCATGCTGTGAAGCTTGTCCTTTCAAACACGGATATTTTCGTTACCGCCACATAAAGCATTACAATGTGAGGACGTTTTCCTCAAAGAAGACCAAACTTGGTTGACGCAAGAGATGGTATTTACAGCGGTTGTTGGGACCCAATCCACATCTATGCAAGACAGCGGAGCGCACCACACTCAACTCACAATTTTTCTCCTACTCTCCCTCAAGTGCTGCCTACTCTCATTGCTCTTTCATATTTTCCGTGCCCTCATGGCGAGGTACCCTCTGGTACTCCCGTGCTTGTGGGGCTCTCCGACAAATTTCGAGTCCCGTGGCTGGGGAAGGTCAATGCTAAAAGAACACTGCCCCTTGACGCAGCAGATGAACAACTCATAATGATATTACCAATAGGGCGGGGCCGAGAGATGTTACCTCAGCGAATTATTGCCGCCGCGACAATTGGAAACACTCCCAATATTCATGCGAAAATATCCGACATGTTGCACATCCCGAACCAAACCATAGGTTGCATCAAGCTCCGACAATGGTGCCATCGCCGTTCAGTATTGATTTAATCCCGGAGGACATTTCTCTTCTTTCAAATAAATCGGAACGAGAGGGGAGACAATCCCCCCGAACATCTTGAAGATGTGACTTACGCAAGGCTCCATCATCATGACTCTGTCAGCCGCTTCTCAAACGTTCATGCGCACGTCTCGGCAACGATGAAAAACCGACCGGCCGGCCGTTGAAAACCGGCAGATCCATCGGAATTAGCTAGGTACTGGGCTCTGTTTTCAGTTGAAACTTGAAGTCAAGCACCTGGCGTGCATACTGCATAAATGCAACAAGAAAAAGAAAGTCTCACGATCCACTTGCAAAATCTTATAAACCACATCATCCAAACAGAGACTTCCACGGTAACCCCAATCCTAAAGGCTGAACCCTGATCCCTGCTTCATCTCTGTCCACACCTTGTTCTTACTAAAAGTTCCACACACTCTTTCTTGGTTCCCTCTACCGCACCAAGAGGAGAAGCCCTGGCCGTGGGGGTTAAGCCTCACCATGATACCAACGGGTTTAAGCGCTCTGACCTGCCCCAGCCAAAGGCTAAACTAGTATGAGGCCACTTCCCATTGGGGCTCCCGAATCGTCTGACCGATTTGATCTAGACTTATCCCATCTCGAATGGCCCACGAGCAGTGCGGATCGCGCATTAACGGCGTTTAGATCGCGGGGCAGCTAAATATGGCTACCGACTCTCTACAGTATTTGGACTTCTTTCGCGAATATTGATCCCCCCAATGACATAATAAGGTGTAAGACTATCGATCCCTCTCAGCTAGACCTCAGAGGAAGTTTTCGTTTTTTCCACTTTAGGTGATCATCTCCCATGTAGGTCGGGATCGAGATCAGATCTTCTCGGCAATTGGTGTGGGCGTCGACCTAGCTGCAAGTCCGAATCACTCCTACAGGCAAATCACCGGGCGTCACATTTCTTACATACGTGATGGCGTCCTATGGTGCGCACGCGTGTGCACATTCGTGCCCCTGTTCTTCTCGCCCCTGCCCTCCATCATAACCCTCCATCGCAACCCTTCATTCTGCATGGACTACTGTGCGGTTGCCCCAGATCACGCTCTCGCTTGAGAAACCATACGGTTCCTCCTTACTCGCCAACGCACATGCGCATATGCAGCCACACCATCGGGGTCTTTTTTCCGGGGGATGCGCCCTCCAATCTGTGGCCGAGTTAGGGCAACCACTTCAAAATGAGCAAGATTCCATAAGTCTTTATGAAAGAAAACTCGGATGCGCTGGGAGGCCGACGTGACTCGACGAGGATAAGTGATCAAGTTTGCCCCTTGTTCCGGGGCTTGCGCCGGGCCGGCATGAACGTGGCTTTTTGCTTTTTCCCGTGCTTATGTGCAGTGTAACATCGTGCTGAAAACTGACAAACCTTTCCATCGCCACCTCCAATAACCAAGCACTTCATCCGGGTTCTGGAGCCTAGCAGTCCAGGCCTTGGAGTATAGGGGGCACGGTTGCGAAGGTGCTTACTTACCGGACCTTACGCCGATCAGGCGACGGAGATCGAGGCTTTGTTCCACGATTTACCCCCTAGATCGGAGGAATAAAGTACGTAGCTCTCGTCTGTCCCCCATTCCTTTACCCCGTATTCCCTGCTTCGGCTAGCACTCCCCTTTCATCAGTGCAACATCACTGATTGAGGTGGGGAGGAGGCAGGAGAATGGTCCTGTTCATTGATAATGATCTTAAAAGTGGGATTTGTTCGCGGAGAATCAACTCCTTTGCCTTCTCAAGTACTTGCGTTATAGGCCGTCTATATGCTGCTGGGACATATTACATGAGATGCTCTGTATCCCGCTTGGCCAGCCACCATGGAAGCTGCATGAGATTCCAAGGAACGGGCAGACTTGACATGCCACAGTGGCATTCAACCGGGGCATGCCTCTCGCGAGAAGCGGGTTTGCAGTCGTGTTTCAACGTCCGCAGCCCAAGCGGAGACGCAAACCAATCGATGGGTTACACCAAATGGCCCGGGCCTTGCGAAGGGTGCGCAGCAGCCGTCGCGTTGCCGGTCCGCACTCAAACTCATGAATGTCCGACCGCAAGGAGTCGGGAGCTTCCGAAGGCACCCACTCGGTCAGCGGATTCCGACATCAGCCGACAGCTATGGGGTGATGCGAAGTTTCGAATGTGCTGTGTTTGCATTGACGTGAGAAGAAAAAAAAAGAGCATTGCGCACCCCTCTCCCCCCTGTCTATATCCCATAAACTTATGGGGGGGTGGGCGGTTGAAACACAACCTCCACAGAGGAACTGCGCTGGGACTTACATTACGCAGCACCAAATTGTACTTGTATGCGAGAGTGAGTTGTTCGCTTTGTATGGCCAAGACGCCATGTGCGGCTGGTCGCTGAGTGGCAAGTTTGGCGTGGGACGTTGGAAGAACTCTTCTGCTGACAACCGCCAAGAGGTCGCGATGGCGAGCAAAATTATGCAGTATGCATGGCTTCATTTATTTTGCAAGTTTCTGTGTGAGCGAGATCACATCCAGGTTTAAATTGATAGATTCGCCAAGTCTAGTTTAATTGGTATGTGCTTTGCTATTTCCAAGTTGAGCAATCCGTGATGAGTTAAAGTAAAGACGTTGCAGAGTAGCTCATGTTTAACATGAGCTTGTATACCTTGATTCGAGAATTGGAAAGCCCAGCCTACACGACATTGAAATCAGGCTACAAACCATAAACAGAGAAGCGAGCCTCAGCCTCCTGTACGGCTACCATGGAGGTTTGCATGCACAATAGTCCAAGGGGGAAGCGGTTCACGATAGCGCGGAGGGTGTATCTACACAAGCGTCACTCCCCAATAACCTACTGCAACGGATCTTGCATACGCCAAAAACGGTCCCATCCGGGCGTCATCTGATCAAAGGAACGGGGAACGGTGGAATATGGGGTGCGTGAAGCTTCGCGGTGGGGGCGATGAAGGCTCGGCTTTCACCGAATGGTTCAAGCGAGCTCCAAGCAGAGGTCGACGAGAAGGATGCACAGGCGTCGAATGATGTGAGTCGAGGATGCTCGAGATCCACAGCGATGCTTCTTTTGCTACCTATTCTATAGTTCTACCTATAACATGCCATGCCGATATCTTCGCTGGATCATGGTTACCTCCCCTTGCCCTGGTAGGGGTTCGCGTTCTTAGCTGCTAGTTCGATAGCTCTCGCCGAAGCCTCATCCAAATCCTCCTGAGGCAGGCCGAGAACTCCATTGGCGAGACCATATCTCTCTTCGATGTCTCCATCGCCGTTAGGGTAGAAGACGCGAGTGTACAGGCAGATAACAAAACCGCCGTAGTCTCCCGTCTTGAGAAGCTCCTGGCCCCTCTTGTACCTCTCAGACGACTTCTCGTACTCAATAACCCAGTCGGCGTCGGTCGTCCCCTGCACTCGCTGGATGCTGTCCAACATCTCGCGCTGGGAGACCTTGAAGCTTGAGATGTAGAGGGGCTTGTTCTTCCAGTCCGAGACGGTGGCGGACCTGTCACTCTCGTCGTCGGGCAGCTCCTTGAGGCTCAGGAGGGAGGCGACGGCGCGGCCGCACTGGTCCCACGTGGAGGTGTTGATGGCGGTACTACCGTCGTCGAAGAACGTGACCTTCTTGTTGGGGATGTCGAAGCCGTACGAGTTGGCGTTGAAGGAGAGGGAGAACTCGTACCAGAAGGAGCAGACGAGGGCGATCCACGAGGCCGTGCTCGTCTTCTCGACGTCGGCCAGCCCGCCGCGCACCATGTCCCCCGTCAGCGTCTCCTTTGACAGGCTCTCGTTGACAAAGTCGGGCCCGTAGCAGTTGGGCATGATGTAGGGGACGCCGGCCTTGCCCGCCGCGGCGATGAGTTTGGGCTGGATGGTGGGGATGGCGGAGCTGGGGAGGGAGATCATGAGGAACTGCTGGCCCTTCAGGGCGGCGACCAGCGAGGCCTCGTCGTCGTAATCGACAGGTGCAACCTTCACTCCCTCGGGAAGATCAGCGCTCCCGCCTGATGCACGGGTGATGGCTGTGACGGTGTGTCTTCCGGTTTTGAGGAGCTCGCGGACGACGCCGGTGCCCACGGTGCCGGAGGCCTGTAACAGGGGAATGATATTAGTTTAGAAGATCTTGTTCAGAGTGCATTTGTAGTACGTACACCGACGACAGCGACTCGCTCAATGCGGTTGGTGAAGCCCACGGGCTGAGTGTTCGCATACTGTTTGGAGGCCATCGTATTGACTAACACGGTGGTGTAGGGTAGGTTGTAATATGAGGCAGTCGAGGATGTTATGGTTGGAATGGTGGTTTCTGTCATTCTTCCAAACGGATGGTCTTGCTAGTCTTTTATAGAAAATATGTCATTGATTCTTTCTCCCGATAGCATCGTAATTGACTTTCGCTTCTTCATACCAAATTGTCTTTCCATCTTCCTAAGTCCGGGCTTAGTGGTTGTCGATTGAGAAACAGCTGCCGCCCGGATTTAACCATTTCCGTCTTGGGTAATTGTTTTCTCCGGAAGCCCCGGCCAAGGCGGGCTTGACGGGAATAGAAGCGTTTTGGAAGCTTTCCAGAAGTATAGAGACAAGCTTCGCGGAATTTGTAGAGTAGAATTAACTAGTACCTGTAATAAAATATTATAGTATTTCTATTTTAATTCCAGTACTCTTACTACTCTTAATTGCTTTATCCTTCTATATATTAATATAGGAGCTATAAATTACTATAGGAACTCTTTGAGTTTAAAATAAGAAATTTAAGAAGGTTTTCTCCTCCCTGGTACCCTCGCTAACCAATAGAGTCCAAAGGTTAGTATGATATTAAACATAATATACACAGCTAGATATCCAACATTACGCCACCGCTTGTGTAAATCTATCCCCACGCCCTTGAAGAAATCGTTTGTGCTGTCTACAGGGCAATAAAAACACTGTCCCATTGTCTCATCTTTGTTGATGACAGTTCCTCCTGCCATCTGGACGTATGAAGCCAGATACTCGCCACATGTCTTCCCGGACTCTACGACCGTCGAAGGGAGGTTAAAGCGGAGCTGTTGGACAGGCGAGCAAAGTATTTCGACATTGCCAAGGCCAGCGGCCAAGAGACCGTTGATCAGATAGGTAAAAGGTGAGGCGCGGTGGACAAAGACCCAGAAGTCTGGAAGGTCATTTGGGAATATGAGAATACTATGATATGAGTGTTAGCCTACCTCCAAACAGAAGACTGAGTAAACGGAAAGCGATTACCCGCAGAACATAATCATGAACCAATAAAGCAGGGCGGCAATCTGGACTGCTGTTTCTGCCAAGGGGATTGCGATGGCCACTGCATGAGAAAGTGTGCTGATAAACAGACAGAAAAACCAAATGAGCATGAATACCAAACCAGCACGCTCCGAGGTGCTAAAGTCCGCATCTCCGTTCCTCCACATGCCGGTTGGGTAGTACCACGTGATGAAGAACAGCACGCTGGCTATGGTTTGCCAAAAGAGCTCGACGACGATATTGCTGCTAACAAATATGATCCAGGAGTATGATCGATTTCGGCGTTCACGAGCCTCGAACATATCCCGTTCCGAGATGAACCGTTTGATGACTTGTTGATCAAGCATTGCGAAGAGAAGAACAACCAATAGAGAAGCAAAGGTCAGATTTGTTAGGCCTTGCATATCCAGTGTTGTGTTCGTGAATGAGAGACCAATTGAGAGAGACTGGAATTTGTAAACAAACCTAGCTTGGGGAGGGACGCTGAAATTCCACTTACAATACCTAGACAGAGGCCCAGCTTCGAATATAGGGATATCGGGTCTCTCCAATACTCCTGGAAATTTCGCTTCAGGACGAGGTAGAATTGCCGGACAAGTGGTGCCGCATACTCGCCACTGCGGGAATCTGTGAATGTAGAGTCGCCTCCAGAATTGTGTTTGAGATATTCGAGGCGTTCCAGAACTTCTTGCTTGTGCTCACTTGAGTCCCATACTTGCGCCCAGTGACTCCGCACTCCATCTTCTGTTGGTGTTATTGTTGTTGTCTGTTCTCGAGTTATCTCAATGATCCATTCAGCCGGGTTACCATCGTCTGGACACTTGAGATTACCGGTCTTCTCAAAGTACTCAATCACTTTTGATCCCGAGGGACCGATATCTCCAAAATAAAGCTGCTCTCCGCCCTTCCCCAACAGCAAGATCCGGTCAAAAATTTCGAAAAGTTGCGATGAAGGTTGGTGCAGAGTGCAGAGAATAGCTTGACCGTTGTCTGCCAGCTTGCGAAGGAGCATGCAGATAGACCATGCTGTTTGACTATCCAGACCAGAGGTGGGTTCGTCTAATGCCCATTCAAAGTTAGCTACTCTAAACTGGTCAACATGACCTTAGTGAATGCCGTATGACCTACCAAGGAACAAAAGTAGCTCCGGCTTGGCGACTAACTCGACTGCAATCGTGAGTCGTCTGCGCTGCTCAATGTTGAGTCCCTCCCCAGGCACGCCGACCACAGCGTCTGCCCAAGACTCCATGTCTAGCATTTTGAGGACTGTATCTACATAGGCGATCTTGTCCTTCAATGGCACTTTTGTTTGCGGCTGCCTCAGCAACGCACTAAACTCGAGAGCTTCACGGACAGTCGTTGTTGGGAGATGAAGATCCTCCTGCTGCGCGTATCCAATGCGCCGACCGAAACTAGCATCTCGTTGGTTCCCGTCGATGTAGACATGGCCGGAAACGACACCACTCCGGGCCCTGTCGGCCAGAACATCCAGAAGAGATGTTTTGCCAGCACCAGTGACCCCCTATCACCAAATATTAGGGAAAATGATTCTCCAAAGGGATGTGGGCTCTTGCTTACCATCAAAACAGTCAATGTTCCTGGTTTGACCCACCCGTTGATGTCCTTGAGAATCTGACGGTGTCCATCTCTGGTCTTGATTGTGTAGTTCAAATTGTTCCAGTGAAAGACAGCAGTTTGCCTTAGGACGGTCTCCGCCGATGCATCGTGCACGAAGCTGGTGGGAGTGCCTGCTACTGGATCCTGGTCATAATCCTCCCCCGAAATATTTGCTTGATCTCCCGCCTCCTGGGTGAAGATATTGGGAACCTTGGATTCTCTATCGCCACCCCGACCTCCAGCAAGCCAATGCTTTGATGCATGTTGTTTTCTAAAGAGAAGGATTTCGCCCTTTGACCGCTGCGCCTTGATAAGTTGTGAGGCCATGAGATGCACCACAGTGAGCAGGACTAGCATTGCCAGAAGGATGCCCAGGTTGCTTCAAAAAATCAGTTAGTCGCAGCTCAGGCATGAGGACACGGTTCTTGCATATCCTACTTACCGCCATAGATGACTCCTCACATATCCGAACTTCAATGCTAGATAAGTAGTTCCTTGAACGACTGAGCTCCCAGCGACAGCCCCAATAGAGGAACATATTTTGTCTTGCATTTGAAGCTGATCGTATTGAGGCCCAGACGGTAGAATTGTTGAACAATGAAACTCCCGGTCATCGAACTAGCCAAGTCTGTGATTAGGCGCAAGTGTCAGATCACCTGTGGGAAAGGTAATGCACCTACCTCATTGATCATGATGCTCTCGTACGCATAATACGCAGGGTTGATCCACCGCAGCCAGCCCATCCAGGGAACCATGTATGTCGACGGAACCGCAAACCCGGTATACACGATGGAGAGAAGCGTAAGGGTTGACACCGGGGCAAGAGTCTGCTCAATTCTTTTAGTTATGGAACCGACAACGCGGAACAGCATCGACATGGCCATTAGTGTTGTGAACATGAATAACCAGTACGTGAAAAAGGCGCTAGCCTCGCGGCGGAGGTTGCTCATGAAGTATATAGGAATGTGGAAGAGAAACGACTCCAAGACCTTCTGCGGTAAGATGCAGATAATTGATGCGAACATCTCGGCAACGGGGTAGTAGAAGGCGTATCGGTCATGTTTTTCGACAATCGGACGTTGCGCCCAGAGGAGGGAGATCTGTTTAAAGCCGCCGTTAGTGTTGTAAGTTATCTAGATGATGGTGGAACGTACGTCAAAGGCTGGGGCAGATGCCGTCTGCATAACAGCCATAAACATCATGATTGCTTTCCTCTCCATATCTCCAGTAGAATCGTCAAGATTGAAGTAGACGGACCCGATTATAATTGCGGTGATGGCACCAGCAACGACGGCAGAAACGGCGGGAACGTAATTGTTTTTCAGCCTCAGAAACCCTCGTGAGATACACACGGCGATCTGTTGAGTAATTGACAGCGCGTAGTGAGAGGATATAATGGAACTAGTGGCATTCGATTAGTGTCCGTGAGGCTCTTGTTATGACGGCTGCAGTCAGGCTAATCACCTTGGACTTCCGTTTTGCTTGTTGATAGTGTGGTGTGTAGTATTACGTTGAAGAGGGTGTGCCTTGTTGAATTCCTCAATCTTAGATCGGAGATTTTGGGAATTCTGACTCTTTTTCCAGGCAGTGGCGAACTCATCTGGGGTTCTTGGCGCCGTAAGTTCGTGGCCATGCTCAATTATGCGCTCCGCAGGGTTCGTCAAAGAGGTCAGAAAGTCAGCCGTTGTGGCACGATCATGTTTCTTGAAGCCGAGTTCTGTGAAGTAGCCAACTGCTTCATCAACCGGACCAAAGTAGATTTGACGGCCTTCATACAATAGTAGGACCTTGTCAAAGTTCTAAAGCGAAGGGTCAACGACACAGGAGCTTCCATATTCGACTCGGGGTAGAAGCAACGAGAATGCTCACCTTATACATAGCTTCCGAGGCTTGATAAACGCTCATGGCAAGCGTCAGTTGAAGAGCATCAGTGGACCGCCTGAGTAATTTGATGAAACCCAGCGCTGTCGAGCTGTCCAACCCACGGGTGCTGTTGTCCCAGAACTGGAAGCGAGCGTTGCTGATGAAGGCCTCTGCAAGACTTGTGCGCCTTTTCTCCCCTCCACTGACACCGCGTATCATTGCATCCCCGATCTGGGTTTTAGAGGCCTCGTCGAGGTTGAAGAGTGAGGCAACTCTCTCTGCAGTCTTACGAGGGTTCGAGGACGTCTTGGAAGTCGCTCTTGATACCCTGGTACTAGCGGCAAATGTCAATGTTTCTCCCACAGTGAGTTCCGGAAAATGAACATCAAGCTCTGCAAGGTATATTCGTTCATCTTTTAGGTCTTTACCCATCTGTCTATATCGGAAGCCTAGAGACAGAGTCAGTATTTATATCAGCTTAGGATGGGGCAGTTGTAGTCACCGCCAAAGTTGAGCTTGTTCGCGTCTTCAAGATGGAATCCGTGTGTTTCGCCAGCTAGGGCCTTCAGCAGAGTCGAGCATCCACTGCCGGGCCTACCAAGGACGAGGAGCATCTCCCCCGGGCGTACCAGGCCTTCAAAGTCTTTCAGAATTTGGACTTTTCGTCCTGGGTCGTGACTAAAGAAGCTCCAGACAAGCCTGGGTATGGCAAGAGCATACGAGGCGAAATCATGCTGATACTTGGTTGAGGAAACAAAGCCATGGCAGTCGAGATCCCAGTACGCTAGCCCAGCCTGATTGCTTGGGTGCTGCTTTGTTTCCTGGACCCAGCCATCGAAGGCGGATGGCATCCCCTCCACCAAAGGCTTCTCGTGAGCGTCTGACATGTTCGCTCGTAGCATGTCTTTGATGTGACGTTTGAGGGGAATGAAGATGGAACATCAAAGCAGCTAGAAGGAAACACTTTTAGGACTACGGAATATCTTTGAAAATACCAACGATATGGTCAACTTACCAGAAATGAAGGTAGAAGAAGTATCTAGACGGAAGAATCCGATTAGATGGAGGGGAAATCAAGCTGGCATCTTCGGACATGGAAGCAAACGTGAGCGGCTCGAATGTTATGGTGGCACCAACTGGCCATGAATGGCACCTGACTGCAAGGGGGTCTTTCAGCTTTGGAACTTAGAACAAGGCGGTTGGTTGGAATCCACACATAAGCAGGACCGTCGGGTTCAGCCCACGCCCCCGCCCCTGGCCGGGGAGTATCCGGAGAGATTGTTGGTGGTAGCTTTGCATATTTCTGCACGCTCACCCTACCATTTAATTATTAATACCGCAGCCACCGTATATAGCGATTCATGATTGGTTGTCATCATTTATTGGCACTTGTGGAAGAGGTGCAGGTTACACGGACGTAATGCGAAACCGTTCCATAGCCCTCCCATCCTCCAATGATCAGATGCGAAGTGTATGTCTCTAATTTCGGTAATTTCATTCTTTGTGCATCCAACGTCAGTATTAGGTATCAGGATATCACACGGCATAATCAATTTCACCAATGGCAATATTCTGGATCAGATAAGGTTCCGTCTGGGGCTTCTGGCCTCATGATTTTGGCATTCACAATCTCCGCTACCCCGACCAAAATAATCATGCAACCCTCCTCCACTTAAGCTTCATGTCCCCCGCGGGCGGGAGGGCATGGGCCCCTGCATAGCTGTAATCATCCCCCACGGGCAATTTTGAGGGCGATCCATCTGGATTAACCCATCCGAGAAATTTGATATCGAACTTAGTCAAAATCATCGCCGAGGCAAGGATAATCTGTGTCTTGGCGAGATGGCGACCGGGGCAGATATCGACCCCGCCACCTAGACGAGGCAGAATTGTCAGCCTCCACACTTGGCGTGAGAATGCTTCGGATACAACTTACCATATGGGAGAAAAGATCCTGACCGGTTCCCGAGCGAAAACTCCTTCTTCTCTGTTCTCTTCCCGTCCGAACCGATTGCCTCAGTGGTTTTAAGATGGCGTTCGCCCCAAAACTCAGAGGCAGGATGCCCGTCGGAGCCCCAGACTTCATCATCGAGATGAGCCACATGGCTCGGCGCTTGAATCACAGAGCCAGCAGCTAAAGGATAGCCTCCGATGACAGCAGGATCCTTGAGCGTGCGGGTGATGTTAATGCTGACATGCACCCGCAAAACCTCAATGTAAATGGACTGGAGTAATGGGTTAGAAGCGAGCTTTTGAGGATCAAGTTTTTGGGAACCCGAATCGTCTTGGACGAAACAACTAGCCATGGCCTCCTTGGCTGAACGGAGCAAATCGGGATTCTTGAGAACTTCAATCAAATACCAAATAGCCATAAAAATCATGTTCGAGTTAAGCCTGTGACACAAATACTTAGTTGAGTAGCCTCAGGACAGAGCATCGAATCCCTCACCCAAAGAAGAGCAGACAGTAGAGTGAGCCCATACTCTCAGAGCTGAAGTCAAACCTCTTCCCCCATCGACACAGCTCACGAGAGAGCCGCGATCCGAAATTCTCCTCGAACGCAACGTCACTCATTTCCGCGCCCCAGTCAAAGCGCTCATCCGATACCTGGTACCACTTCTCGCACATGGCACGCACCGTCTCTCGGGCTCGGACGCCATCCGCATTCATCCACTCTGGCATACCAAAGGCTAGCTTCTCTGCATATATCTGGTACTTCCAGAAGGCTCCTATAAAGTCTGGGTTTATCTCAATGAGCCGGGGGCCTGTAATGGCAGACACCACTGCAGTGGCCATGTGCTGACGCAGGAAATCCTGGACGCCAACTTCTTCCCACTCGTGGCCATCAAGGGGTACCCTATCGAGTTCCTTGCCAAAGAAATGCTGAAAAGACTTGGACAACGACGTTACGGCATGGGATTTGGCGAGATGCTCGTCATAGATCTGGTGCATGGCGTGCCAAATACGTTTATTGTGTGGTGCCTCGGTACCAGGACGTGGTACCCTTCCGCCGCCTGTCGTGTCCTGCGCGAACTTTTCCAAGTCGTTTGGCTGGTATCCCGCCGTCGTTGTAAGAATTCGGATGATCCAAGGGTCTGAAATGGCCGCGGGTCGAAACATGGCTGCAATGTTGCTCGCGCCGGTGATGCAGTATATGTTCATTGGCCCGAGACGGCATTGCACGACCGGGCTCTTTGAGAGTGCTTCCCTATAAAGTGGTGGCCAGATGCCCAATTGTTATTTTGAAGGCCAAATAAATGACAGGAGAGCAGCAACTTACGTCACTCGCTCGAGGAAGAGTTTCTTGTTGGTCATGTATTGGTAGACATTCGTGACGTATGGCACAGCCTCCTCCAACCTAGGTGGTTGATCCGAAACGCCTCTCTTGAAAAGAAACATAATGAATGGAACTAGTAGTAACAATATGAGAAAAAATGCAAGGAACGGCGGAGACAAGTCTTCCATTGGCGTCGAGTCGTGGCGTTAACTAAGTCTTTACGTATTGGGTCTATTGCAAGTGGACTGTGGAAGTCAGGAAGCAAAAGCTTTTTGGGGTTAAGGGACTCTTTCACGTTCGGTACCTACCGGTAGGGCTTACCCCCTACTTCGATGTTAGGCTGTAGTCCAGGCTCCACGGGAACTGGGGGCTGGTATGCGGGGTGTTGACAAACGGTACCTACACTTCAGCCTCAGAATGTGGATTAGTACCTCCTTCTCTGTGCCCCAACGCAACCCCTTGCAGTACGTACGTATTGTAAAGAGACAATAAATAACGCAGCTTTACGATACGGACCTTGTGACGCTTAGAGCCACGTTTTGCTCGTGAACAGTCGGTTGCCTAGGTATTCTACTTAATACAATGTACCAGGTGTGGGGGACCTTTGTCTGGTGTTTCATGCAAGTGATATCACGCGGACAGGGATTCTAAATGGTAGTTTCCCGTAAGATGGCCTGATTTTGTGGATATGGATGGAAACTTGGAGCACCAACACTGGGGGCGGGAACGATGCGGCCCGCGTAATATTAGTCCATCTCAATCCTTGCCCCTTGCCAACAAATCCTTGTGAGGCGGCCTCATCACAGAAATGCCAGCAAAAATAAGCTATTGGATCCTTTGCCAAGATTTTCAGCCTGCCCTAATGCAACCTCCGTCGAAAGGTCCATAGATAGGCTTATATGTCGGGTCAGATATTCCTAGATTCAGGTGGTAGCCTATCTGGTGGTTGCAAAGTGGGTGGCCGAACAATGAGCGTTTCCACACACAGCCACACACCCTAGAACCAACGGACAGTAACATCGCAGACAGCAGCATTTTCCCACCATGGCATGTTTTGCATTTTGGCGTTTCCTGCTCTTTCCTCAAGAACAATTGTGCCGATCCCATGTTTGCATGTCCATGTCAGGTGCCCAAATCACACGCGAAGGATTCGCCACGCTGCATTTTTCCAAGTTGAGCACAGAACTTGCCAAATTATTTTCGTCAAAAGAACAAATACCACACAGTGGCTTACGGCCACTGGTGAGGATTCAGAAAGCTTCATAGAGGCACCCCTGGTGATTCGACTCTTTCCCACCGCGTATGCTTGGTAAAGTGTTATAAGCGCGCATGCATGTTTCCAGGTCACCTAGGTAGAGATGACGGGCAGGTTAGCTGTGGCGGGCGACCTCTGAGTATCATATTCTGGTTCATTTCTCTGAAAATCTGCCACTCCATAGTATCTAGCTAGAGGAAAAGGAGAGACCATATATTCTTTGCAGCCCGTGTTTGATGCCCTCTTCGAGTCTCAGTACACCTGCTGAGCAGAAACCCCCCCTCCCCAAAGTCTAGACTGCTATTACTCCCCCCCCGAAGATGCTGCATTTTCCCATTTTCGTTGATGGCCTAAACAAGATGCCGACACCTGCCCAGTGGTCCCTTTTGCCTGTGGTAGCCTATCTAGCATGGCGTTTGTGGGTTTTCACGATCAAACCGAAAATTTGGCCCAAAGATCCAAAGGACCTTCCCTACTGGATTCCACGTGAGTAATTCTGAATATGCCTTTCACATGCGCACTGCAGCTAATCATGATCTCAATTAGTTTTAGGTACCGAGTCTCGAATCTTTTTATGCATACCTTATTAACGACTTCAAACAACAGGGCATACGGTAACCTTTTTGGGCAATTCAGACAAGCTCTTGGAGCGTGGGCTGTGAGTGAGGTTCTAATTGTTAAACATATCAACATCTCGCCTGACATTGCAAGGAACTATACCAATCGGTCCCATGAAATCTTCACAATCCAGATGCTAGGGAAAAAGCTGTACATCGTCACTGCTCCAGAGGATGTTGCTGCTGTCTACAAAAACACTGTCTCACTGGGCTTTGATGGGCATCTGAATGATCTTCTCGTCAGTTTTGGGTTTGGCGAAGAAGCCTTGAGAAAAGCATGGCACACGCCTACCCCAGGTGATCATAATTACATCCCAAATAACCCCATCAACCCGGATCAGGTGAACTTTATTCACCATACCGAAGAAACCTTCAAAAAGCAACTGCTTCCCGGGCCCCGGATGGATACGATTGGCAGCGTCTTCCTAGAGGCTCTTCATCAATCAGTTCAGTTCGACCATCTAGGGTTCTGCACGTCTGCGCCTCCTCAAGCGCCTTGCAAGCACATTTCCCTCTATGACCTTTGTCGCTTCACGATGGTTGACGCAGCTACCCGGTCGCTTTTTGGGAGTCACCTTCACGACATCAACCACTGTGTTGTAGATCACATGTTAGGCTTCAATGATTATGCCTGGCAGGTCTTCTTCCGCCTACCAAGGTTTCTAGGGCTTGGGGTAAGTGAACCACAGAGGCATCTGATGGACACTCTTAGGCAATTTGTGCAGCTCCCTCAGGAGAAGAGGGCTCAGGCCGCCTGGGCAATTCAGACTGTGCTTCAATCGTCGGAACATGTCGGTATTGATCTAGAATCGCGGACATCGGTCTTACTTATGATGTTTTGGGCGTGAGTACAATTTGAGTTCCCAGTTTTCCCACATGTTTGCTAACAGTTCGAAAAGGGCCAATTCTAATGAGTATAATATTGCTTTCTGGGTTATTGCTCATCTCCTCTATGATGAGGCTCTCAAAGACCTAGTTATTCAAGAAACTGAAGCCGCATGGCAATCTGGTGCTCTTGATATTAAGTATCTATTTTCACACTGCCCTAATTTAGAGGCAATTTTTAACGAGGCACTTCGACTGAATGGGGGCGCAATGGTCAGCCGTGTTGTACTGGAGAAAACCATTATAGGTGGGAAGGAACTGCAGCCTGGCAACGCAATCATTATGCCGTCCCGCCAGCTTCACACGAATGAGAAAGTTTGGGGTTCGAACCCACGGGAATTTAACCCATCTAGATTTCTCAAACACAAGACTATGACTCGACACTCCTCCTTTCGGCCTTTCGGAGGTGGCATCACGTACTGCCCTGGGAGAGTCTTGGCGAAGCATCAGGTTTACGGTTTGATTGCCCTTCTTTTCCACCGCTTTGAGATGAGCTTGGTAATAGGCGAGGATGGGAAGAAGCCAGAGTTTCCGGTCCTGAACGACACAACGCCTGGACTCGGCATTACGGGGCCACTAAAGGGCATGGACGTCAAGGTAGAGGTTCGGGAGCGATAGGGAGGCATCACTTATGTCCTTCCAATATCTTGCCCCTTTTAGTGAATGTTTTTGTTTTCTTTAGCAAGTAATTTCGTGCCAGATTAAAAGGGTCAGGATCCTACAATCAGGGTCTACTGAGCAGCTGATTGATCCAACACTTTGAGACCATGTTGAGCCCAGTTACTTTTTGGCCACGAACTTCCTGTCGGTAGCATATCTCTCGTAGCCCCAATAGCCTCAATCTTACAAATAGGTCATATTTAACTTTCTAAGAGGGTGTCAATAGTTGGAGACATTCTATAATCAAGCAATCACTAGGCGGCGACTAGTAGTCTTAACTTCTGACATGATGAATCTGAGTCATCCAACTGGCCTTCAGGGGCTTTGCGAAGACTGAGAACAGATACCCAATCCCGGACAAAGAGGAGAGGGCGGTACTACCGGTGGAAGACATGGGGACCTGCTACCACTCAGAGAGAATGGAACGCTGTTTGGGCGCATATACACTTTGATCAACCGGTGTGGTCAGACAGTGGATCTCTTCCCATCAGATGCTGACGAGGGGCATGAGCACAATGGTGGATGATCCTTCGAGTGCTGCTGCTGTTTCCTGATACGACACACGCTATTCATTGAGGGAACTCTTGTCAAATGTCCGTATTGATTTCGACCGTCCGGGCCGTCCCTTGACGCGAGGCTAGAGGCCGCGACGCTCGGCCGCATGCAGGGCCTTCAGCTAATGGTAAGATGGGCCGGTTGTTGTCAGCCAAATCACAAATGTACCTATGCATTATTCTACGCCTACCTGCTTACTGCAAAATGGGCCACTTATTGGTGTGCCTCCTCTAGGCAACATCGGGGAATATGAAGCGAGGAGGGTTGGTCAGCAAAAACTTGCTCTACATGATACGTCGCGCCTTACTGTAACCAACGAGTGCAACAATAAGCTGCAGGATACTGGTGACTTTGGTGCACACGACATGCGGCGCTTGTGGTGGGCACTAACATCGAGATGGGGGCGTCGTTAGCATATGCGCATGATGCTAGACCAACAACCGGAACCAGTAATATCCAACTTGATCCTTGCATGCTGGCCGGATGGAAAATGAAGATGGCGTATGAATTGCCAATAAAATATGTACTCAGGCAGCACACATGTGTCATGGTGGCGTCAATTTCATGCTAAATTGGATGCCAAATTACATGTAGAGTCACTGACGTAGACTGCTAGTTTTCTCTTCATTGAATCAGTACAGTTTCTCAAAGAATTGGATTGCTCTACAACGTTGGATTTGCAATTCCTTTCACAATCACCATCATGGCGCTTCTGCTGAAGCTAGTCTACGCGTTCGGCCTATACGTTACAGTGGCTTCAGTCTACTCATTGTGTCGTCTTATCCAAAATTATCGCATCGCTCGCAGGGTCGGAGTTCCCATACGCTTCGCTCCCATAGACCATAACAATCGACTCTGGCTGGTTGTCGATAGAAAGGTGGCGTGGCTCCTCAGACGTTGGTTGCCATTTGGCCTCGGCGACAATAACCTCACTAGATTCGACTGGAGAGGATGGGAATTCGAGGACAAGTACAAGGAGCACCTCTTGCTAGGGGACGCGTTTATGCACGTGTCGCCTGACAAAAACTGGCTCTATGTCTGCAACCCAGATAGCGTTCTTGATATTCTGCGTCGTGGTCGAGACTTTCCACGTCCTATGGAAATTTACGGTGAGTAGAACATGGCTGGAGAACGTGGGACGGAGCTGACAGAAATAGAATTATTGAACTTCTTTGGCCCCAATCTAGCTACGGTGAGTTTGCTCCTTTTTCATTCTTCATTTTTCGTTGCTCCTACTGACAGGCGTGTTTCCTGTAGGTCGAGGGCCAACAATGGAAAACCCAGCGGAGAATGGCCATGTCTTATTTCAACGAAGCTAACAACGAGATGGTTTGGCATGAGACAGTGTCGCTGGCAAGCGATGCGCTCCATTCATGGGCGTCAAAGCCTTTTGTCACGTCCACAGCCGACGATACTCGTACCATTACACTGCACGTGCTTTCAAAAGCCGCGCATGGGAAATCCAACAAGTTCTCCAGTCGGGATGATCAAGAAGACGTCAACCCCGAAACTAATTACAAGGAAGCTCTACGCATTGTCCTAGATAATACAATGTTGATTGCAGCGCTAGGCAGGAAATTCCTGGCCAAAAATTGGTTGCCCAGTGCTCTCAAGAAGGTCAACACAGCTTGCGAAGCTTTCCAGAGACATCTTACTGAAGCCTATGAGGATGAGAAACAAGCACTGATCTGCGGACGATCATCTTCCAAGTCCACCTATATGGCGTCCCTCATTCATGCATCCCAGGACGAGGCAACTGGTTCAACAGGAGGCCTTACAGAGGATGAAATATATGGCAACATGTACATCTTCAGCTTTGCCGGTCATGACTCGACTACACATACCCTAACATTTGCCTTGATGTTGATGGCGGTAAACCCCGACGTCCAAGACTGGATCTCCGCCGAGGTCCAACACGTCTTTGGTGATCAGGATCCCAGTAACTGGAATTACGGGACGGGATTCCCTCGACTCCATCGTTGCATGGCAACGATGCTAGAAACTGCTCGCTTGTTCACCCCCGTACCCATCGTCAAATCCACTGGGAAACGGGCGACGTCGCTCAAGGTCGGAGACAAGATTATAGCAGTTCCCGCTGACACCCACGTCATCCTCAATTATGCTGCTCTACACACTCTACCCAGGATTTGGGGTGAAGACTCGCTAGCGTGGCGCCCGGCACGATGGATCCAAGGCAGTCCCAACGGCGAGTTTGACATGGAGCAAGTGGTCTGGCCACAGCGCGGGGCCTTCATTGCCTGGTCCGAGGGTCAGCGTTCTTGCCCTGGCAGGAAATTTTCACAGGTTGAGTTTGTTGGCACGATGGCTGCACTGTTCAAGGACTGGCGCGTTGAACCTCTTACCATGGCTGGAGAAAGCATTGAGGCTGCTAGGCGGCGACTCATGCATCAAATCTCCACGGATTCAGCGCAGATTCTACTCCTACAAATGTTACATCCTGAGAAGGCACCCTTGGTATGGAAAAAAAGGGACGCTGGTAAGTAGAGTTGGTAGTTTAATTCAACCTCACCACGCGTAAGCTGCGCACAGGGAGCGATGGCGAGTAAGACAAGATGAAGATATTCCTCCAGTAGACATGCATTTAGCATGTTTTAGGCTGCTATCTACTAATGTAGTTCTGAATATCTTAAACAATTTGCTAGTCGTGAGTGTCATTAATCTCTTCCTAACAAGGCATAGGCGTGTCTAACGATCTATCAATGGTGCCCAAGGTATGACCATCAAATCTTCAATCAGCAAAACCCTAAGATCCTATCAAAGACCCGGTTCTGGCAGTTCTGGCACATCAATGTTTTCACACCTTCAGCACGCGTTGCATTCCAAAGAAAGACGTTGCAGCAGGCGGCAGCGTCCCAGAGCTGCATCACACTATTACTTGATGCAACCTACAGTTCGCGCGTCCCACTGGTCCCATCTTCCGTTCCAAAGTTCCGCCGAGCAATAAAGGGCGTGTCTCCATCCAAAAGTTTGAGAAATGGCCGGAGGGGGGGGGGCTTGCATGATAGGATTGCATCCATATAAGCACGCCGAGTTGCCCAACGAACCTCAAGCATCCCTCTTTTCTGAAGTCCTTATCCGGCAGGTATTGACTGTTGGCTGCCCACAGCCCGCAGTTTGATTACTCCGTATTACTCTCGTCCTCAAGCTGAGACATCTGTGCTCACAAGATGCCATTACCATCCACCCCCAATACGACAGTAATAGTGCATCAGTGTGGAGGGAAGGATCAGGATTTCCATTGTTAGATCGAATCTTACGACCGGCTGAAAAGCATACTTCAATGTGCAATATTACTGCGCACTGTATCTGTTATTTCTTGTTATGGGATGACCAACAATTAACCAAACGGTCAACCCCGGCATTTAAAGCTCAACATCTGCCCTAAACACCCACGTCAATATTCACTATAGAGTCCTCGGCATACATCAGATCGTTAACCAATTTCTGATAATATTCAGGGCCCAAGTGCTGCAATTTACCAGAGCCAGTCCAGTCTACTACCTCCAGCTCCACGCTAGAATGTCCAATCCCAACACCAACCAGGGGTTGTTGTCAAGGACAGCTAGTCCGTCTCCGGACCGTGGACCTATGATGCTTGGGGTAACTTCTATGCTGATGGTTGTTTCTACAATTGTGTACATCGCTCGCACTTGGGTGCGGGCTCAGCGTCGAGTTAAGTTGGGCTTAGATGACGCTCTACTTTTGCTGTCTTATGTCTGACCATCCCACACCACTCACATGATACATTGGAATGCTCACAACTTACTAGATACTCATTGCGGCCGACTATGGGTTGGTTGTGAGCGAGATCACCCACGCGGGACTGGGCAAACCTATTGTTTTAAATATGATCAATGATCCTACTAGCCTTACCAGGTTCATGAAGGTGTGTGGTGGCTAACTTGAATATCCACTACTCTAATTGTCTAATCTTTTTCTTATAGCTGCTCTACACTCAACAAATCTTTTTCCCATTTCCGATAACAACCATCAAATTCAGCTTTCTTGCAATGTTCTGGCGCATGTTCCCTACCAAGTTCATGAAGTGGGCAACCATTGTTCTCTCCATATTCTTCACCATGTGGCTTATAGCAGTCGTCGTCCCAACCATTTTCCAATGCTACCCTGTCGATAAGATGTGGAATCGCATGATGCCCACAGGGTTTTGTAATCCAGGCATCGCACTGTGGATTCAATGGATTGACAGTGTTCCGCAACTTCTGAGCGACATCTTCCTCTTCTTGCTCCCGATTGTCGAGGTCAAACGACTGCATGCCTCCAAAGGCACCAAGGCGGGTATCAGCGCCATCTTTGCTTTGTCGTCCTTAAGTATTATCGGTAGAATCATGGTTTTAGTGGAGGGTGTCAAGACAACCAACAGGGGCCAAGAAGTTGATATCACATGTAAATTCACCCATCTATCCATTCTGGGGACCGGACCGAGAACAATGCTAACCCTGTATTGTCTTGACTTGCTTTAGACGAATTGCCTATTCCCTTACTGTGGGCTCACGTTGAATTGTCGACGGGATTCATTTGCCACTGTTTGGTTGCCCTGCGCCCACTTTTAACAGCCTTCTTGACTTGGACCGGTCTCTCTGCAGCAGAAAAGTCGAACAAAATTTCAGACAGGGACATCATTACATTTGGACAAATGGGAAGACGAGACGACGTCAACCGCAAATACCGAAGTAACTCGTCTCAACGAAATTTGTACCATGATGCGACGGTGTTGTCAGATAACTTAGTATACAGTCGCTCGTTCGAGCTATTAGAGGACGATGAAGCCAACAACACGTCTTTTAGATCGGAGGCCACAAGAAACCAGCATATCCATACCTTCCAGGTATCACACGAGGCGGTGTCTCGCCAAGTCACCTCACCTAACGCTATCAATGTCAGCACGGATTTCCGGTGGAATGAAAACAGGCAGCCTGTAGCTCAACTTGATCCCAACGCCACAGGGGTTGCAAACGGAAGCACACAAATGGCACCGCGGCCATTGTGAGGCTAGTCGTTTGGTCATCATGTTTGATAATATATGACACAGGATTGGGGTAAGAAGTTCTTCTTAAAAAGGGTATTATATATATCTAAACTGTAAAAGAATTACTAGGTATCAAGAGCGCTCCTACCATGGCTCACACCATCTATAACAAATGTGCCAGATCATACTGTTTGCTGCTCAATCGCGCCTCTATGGTTTTACTGAGGTCTACATCAAGAGTGAACCTAGTCGCGCTTCTCGCCCGGTTGATCCCCCGGAGCGGCAACCGGCGCTGCAGGCGACGATCCCGACACGCCGTTGATGGCACTCCCCTGGCTCGAGCTCACCCCCATGCCGTCGTACATCTCCATGTCAAAGTCAGAGAAGTACTTGCGGTCCAGCCCCTGCAGCTCGTCCTCCTCGGACTCGCGGATGTGGCAGCCGGGGATCTTGTTGATGACGAACAGCAGCAGGCAGCTGATGGCGAAGCTCCACGCCGCGCAGGTCAGCGCCGCGGCGAGCTGGTACCCCATCTGCTTGAAGTTGCGGCTGTACCACCCCCCCGCGTTCTCGACGGTGACGCCGTCGAGGGCGGGGACGAAGTCGGCGGCGAAGAAGCCCGTCAGGATGTCGCCGAAGACGCCGCCCATGCCGTGGATGGCCCAGATGTCGAGCCCCTCGTCGATGCGCAGGAGGTACTTGTACCGGTTGGTGTAGAAGCAGCCCAGGGAGGTGAGGGCGCCGACGAGGCAGGCCAGGTAGACGGGGACGAATCCCGCGGCGGGGGTGATGCCGACGAGGCCGCTGATGATTCCGGAGCAGAAGCCGACGATGCTGAACTTGCGGGTGTGGGCGTACTCGAGCAAGGTCCAGGCGACGCCGCCGCCCGAGGCCGCCAGGTTGGTGTTCATGACGACGTAGATGCTGCGGATGCTGAGGTTGGCGGTGCTTGCGCCGTTGAAGGCGAACCAGGCGAACCAGATGAGGATGGTTCCCAGGCCGACGAGGAAGGGGTTGTGGCCCTTGAAGTGCGGCATCTTGGGGTTGTGGCTCTCGCTGTAGGGGTCGACGCGCTTGCCGAGCATGAGGGCCCAGGCGAGGGCGCCGAAGCCGCTGGCGATGTGGACGGGGCCGGAGCCGGCGAAGTCGAGGACGCCGAGCTTGTAGAGCCATCCGGAGGGGTTCCACTCCCAGTAGGCGAGGCTGTCATCATATAAGTCAATCTATTGGTTCCCATACTAGGGAAGAAAGGGACGTACAAGTAGTAGACGAACGTGGTCCAGCACAGGATGAACAACATGCTGGGGAACAGGCGGCCGCGCTCCAGCATGGCACCTGCCAGGATCATGGCCGTTGCGGTCACGAAAGTGCAGCCAAAGGTGGCGTAGAGGATATCCGGGATATCAGAGTTGGCCAGACTGGGATATGCAAGGACATTGTACAGGACGCCCTTGGAGAGGTCACCGAGGATGGGGTTGGTGGTGTGCGCCTGGTACAGAGAGTACCCGTACAGCCAGAACTGGATGGCGACGGCGCACGCACAGAAGAGCGATTGGAAGACCATTGTCAGCGCCGACTTGCGACGATGCATGCCGGCGTAGAGGAAGCCGATGGCCGGGGTGATCTGCCAGCAGAGACATGTTGCGACGAGGAGCCAGCAGAGGTCGCCCTGTACCAAGTTGTGTGAGTTGCCGGGAGAAGTATGTTATGGAATAGTATTTTATGTTCTTCCTACCTTGTTATACGGAGAGTTGATGTTTTGCTCCAGGGGATTGGCTCCCAACGGGTTCTCACTATACTCGGGCCACGCCTCCACGGGAGGAAGTCCGGCAGAAGACATGATGGAAACTGACGACGAAGAGCACTGATCTGCGATGAAACACTGAAGCAAAGAGCCAACTACTGGATTGCGAAACGGTCTACTAATAACGGCCGCAGCCACGCGTATCTACCGAGGTCGCTGCGTTATAGTTTAAGCTCTAGATAAGGCCCTTGTCACCCATCCATCCAACTCATTTATGGTTCCGTTTCTATCTGGTGGCTTAATGACAAGCAGACGGGCTAAATCACAGCTGTGCCGGATACCATTACCGTTTCGGTAATCATAGCCAGCGAGGCACCCAGCTTAAAACAATTAAGGCCCCTAGCCTGGTTCGCTGGTCGTAATCCTTATCTTGCGGCCTGCATATCCCTTGCATCGAGTGTGTGCGGGATGGACGCTAACCCCCGCCGCTCATTGATAAGAGCCTGGGATGGATGCGCGGCGCCCAACCAGAGGCCGTGCCGCGCTGGATGTCTCGGGGGTCCATTTGGGGTTGCTGATCTAGATGCGTGGCTGCGACTGTTTGATCTGCGACTGTTCCATCTCTGAGATGTGCGGTGGTTAAGTCTCTGGAACGCTTTTGGGAGTTGGTATGCCAAGGCTCTGCCTTGTCGTGTAGTCGTATGGCTGTTCACTTGGCTATCAATCCTGCCATTGATGGATGCATTTAGATATCGCCAGCTTCGAGACGAACCTTCACTCGATCAGAACCAAGGTTGGGCTGATCCGTTATCTATAGTCCCACCCGGGGTAAGCTTGGCGTTTTGTTGCGGACGACACATCAGTCGACGACGTTAGTGACCCTCACACACTTCCTACACCTCTACTAACATGGGAGCTGATAAGACGGGTGAGTTGGCTGTATCTGGGGTAGTGCCGGGCGGTTCCCTTAGCCCGACGTCATCTTGCGTTGAGAGTTGGACATTGCACAGGATGATTCTTGGGTAATATCGAATAATTATTGAGAATACCCCTATTCACTGACTCTTATCATAACCCGTTTGATACTAGGCGTCGACTGATAGATGATGCAGCCAACATGGATCTTGCGTGTTCCTCTCCTGTCGTTGGTCTCAGAATCCCGATAACCACGCTGGCCTTGTTGCCACACTCTTCCGTCCCATCAAATGTTTTATCAACAAAGTTTAGTCAAGAAAAATATGAGAGTCTTTGAGCATCTCTCCCTCAAGGCCATTGCTTGGCTGCCAATCCTAGCATCCTAGACAACTGACTCAACGACGCATGCCCAGAGATAACCGCGCTTATCTTTGCCCACTCGCCCGTCCAGCTTGAGCAACACGAATGTCTTAGAATGGATGACGGCACCTCCAATTCCCAAGCCAATAATTCGGCTTGGCCGGTGATATTGGAATACCGACCCAATGACTCAGCTGGTGCGACCCCAGAGCAAATCCTACCCCTAGGGCAGTGTGGTTGCACGGAAGCCGAGATCAGCCTGAGTACTACCCCTGGAATACCCATTGTTCGGACAAGCTTAAGTAGTAGCTACTACTACTACTACTACTACTAACAGTTGGATTGGTGGCTGTCCAGTGGGCTTTCATTCGTGGTTCTTGTATGATGCGATGATCCTTATCTGTCGGGCGACGATGGCGATCCTGCACAACACCGTCCTGCTCGCCGCTGATGAATTGATCTTTTCCCCGTGTATTCTGCGTCATGAGACTTATTGTTGACCAAACGCCCAAGGATCAGCAGGATTGCTCGCATCGAAAAACTTCTCAAAACTATTAAACGAATCAACCGACAGCGCCCAGTCCATAAACTGCGAAAAGTAGTTGGGGTCATTCTGCTGGCTCGAATCCAACCATCCCATCTCGTCCTCTCCTCCTCCTCCCTGCCCATCATCCAGGCACTTGTTCGCGTCGCACGACATCGCCACGCCGGTCCTCAGCCGCTCGGCGAGGAGGTCAGCCTTGCCCAACAGGGCGCGCATGATCTTGGCCGCGCTCGCGGCGACGGGGAAGTTGACGCCGTACCCGTCGAAGATGGCGATGGCGAGCTCGAGGGCCTGGCGCGCCTTGGGGTTGGAGGGGTGGATGGGGTTGGCGAGGATGAAGCCGATGATGGTAATGGCCGCGTTCCACTGCCACATGAAGTACTCGGACCAGCCGCTGAACAGGTCCGTCTCCGTCGTGACCTGGTGCGTGATGAGGGTGTAGGCGATGGCGTGGTTGACGGCCGTCATGGCGTGGCGCTCGGAGATTGGGGCGTAGGTCGTCGCGTGGGAGGTGAAGGAGATGAAGGGACGGCAGAGGTTGAGCGTGAAGGTGTGGTACATGAGCTCGAGGCACACGCGCTGGCGCTGGAGCCACACGGGGGCGAGGTCCTCGATCACCAGCGGGGAGCGGTCGGTCGAGAAGGGCTCGCCGCCGTTGCGACGGAGCATTTTCATCCCGGGAGGGAGTTGGGCTATCCATGCCCGTAGAGAGGGTAGTTTGGAGGCCAGGACCTCGGCGCAGCTTTCTAGGCCCCGAGGGTCCTGGTATACTGACCCGTGAGCATGTCGTGAGGAAACTTCCCCGAACTTGGGGTAGGTGGCTTCCGCTACTTCGTGCATGCTGAGGACGAGCTTCTCGTGCTGAATGGTGTATGTGAGCCAAGTGACATCGAGATCGTATGAACCAAGCGTCGCCCCATTGTAAGAAGCAACTTCAATATCGTCGGAGGGGAATGATACGGTGAATTGCGAGGGCTGAATCATGGTGGGACGCCCCAACTTGGCTGCCGACTTCAGTTCGCTCGTGTAGAGAACCCACCAAATCCTCTTGCGCAACTCCCTTTCTCCCCGGGGCAGATCACTCGAAGGCTCAAGATGTAGGCCGAGGATATGGGCGGTTCGGATCGCCTGCGCGAGTACGACGTGGCACATGTTGGCGAACGATGCCGCGCAGAGATATATTACCGTGAATATGTGACACTGGACTGAGATGATCGTAGGGCTCTCCAGGTCGGCAGTGAGGAGAGACTGGGACCTGCGATAGTACCATCTGCCGGCAATGGTGGCGTCGTTCTGACCTGAAGCGTTCGAGGTGTCTCTGGGCATGAACGTGTACCCGTGCTGCAGGCACAGCGCTAGGATAATGTCCACGAGAGGTGAGTTCCTGCGATATGCACTTCCAGTCTCCCACAACGATGCGTAATGGGCCCGGAGCCATGTCTCGTCCACGACAGGAAGAAAGCAGTGAGACCATTCCCAGAACAGATTGAGGAAGTACTCCTCCTGCGTCCTGTTCATCGGCGAGAACCCATCTCCGGTAATAGCAGCATCGTTATCCCTTTCGTTTGTCTCATTCGCGCTAGCAATTGCCAAGTTCCTACTCGCACCGCGGGGTTGGATACTCCGGTCGGCGCAGAGGACCCCAAACATGGTAGAGAGGTACGAGCCAATCCGACTGACAAAGTAGACGCCTGAAGACGGGCCGTAGTAGGAAGTCTGGTCTGACCTGGCCGTCGCGACCTGTATCCCCTCCCATTGATAATTGGGCGAATCAGGCGGCGACGAGGATGAACTATCCTGGCCGGTCCTCCGCCACGACTCTGGACTGGACTTGCTAGAGGTTGGGGCCGGAGTCGGGATAGATACTCGGTTAGACCTGTAGCCTTCGAGCTCGAACTCCAAGTCCTTCACTCTGCGCTGTAACTTTTCGATTTCCCTATATATAGATTAGCCAAGTCCAACGTCAACCCCATAGAGTACTTATTGGCACTCACCTGAGCGCCTGGGGGAGAGTCCTCGGCTCGTCAGTCCCCTTGTGGGTGCAATCCGCCCCCTTCTGGAGACAGGCCCTGCAAGGCCGCCCATTATCGCACTTGATTCTTTTCGCACGACACCAATCACAGGCCCGGGAGACCTGCTTGCGCGTTGGTTTGAACTGCAAGGTCGGTGTCTCGGGGAGAGACCCACCGTCCATCACCCGCGCTGGGGAATGGGGAGCGAAAGTGGGCATCATGATGAAATTGCGATGCGCTGCGAGCGTGCACGTAACTACAAGGTAATATGATCCTGTAGCTGCGTCAAGCCTTGTTCATGAGAATTAGAAGGGAGAGTCGGAGTCTGAGCGAGAGGTGGTGAGGCTTTGTGGACGTTGAGACCGGAGTTCCGGAGGTGAGGCTCCGATATTCCGTCATTCCGCAACCTGCTAGTGGTCTCCAGAATCCAGCGTGGGATCGACGACAGGGGATTGGTAAGACTATTAATTCACGAATGAAACGCGACGTGGCGACGAAATCCTCTGCTTATTCACAAACTGATTAGCGGACTGATAGGTGATGGTGAAATTATGATTGATTCATTTTTATTAAAAGCAACGGCGAAGCTACTCATTAATGGATTAAAGATCATGCCTCCACTCATCACAGAATTGCAGGCTCTCCATCTAACCAACACTTCCCTCCTAGACTAAGCTGGGAATCTCATCCACGGTGCGCTCTCCACGCAGGATGCCATTGACAGCTGTGAACAGGGGGTATTTGGATTCCAAGCCTCTCTTCTTCAGGAAGCTGTTGACCTCATAGGCGGTCGAGGTACCCTGGAGCATCTGGCCATTGAGGTCCTCGTGCTCGACCTCCTGCACGGTCATGCCTTTCTCGACTGCCTTCCTGGCGCAGCGGAAGTTACGTCCTCCGGAGCAGGAGGTGATGAGATCGGCAACGCCGGCAGATGACTCGGTGAAGGTTGCAGTCTGCACCGTCTCACCGAAGAACTCCTTGCCGAACTTGACCATCTCCATGAGCCCGATTCGCATGATTGCGGCCTTGGCATTGTCACCCCAGCCACGACCATCAACAAAACCAGCAGCGAGGGCGACAATGTTCTTGAGAGCGCCGCCCAGCGACACACCGGCAACATCCGATACCATCTGTACATGGAAGTAAGGTCTGTGGAACAGCACACTGAAGCAATCATGATCGAGGGGCGGGTACTCGGCCGGGACCGGGGTCAGCTTGGTCTTCGACGCTCGCCCACGGGCGTCGCGGTGGCCAGCTTCAGCGAGGGATGTGATGGAAATGTTGGGGCTCGACGACCGAGGTGTTGGGGCCCTGCTGTTGTCCATTGGAGGTGGGTCGTATGCAATGGTTGTCTCGGACCATTTCTCGTTTGCGATTTCGGTTGCAATGTTGGCACCACTGAGGGCGCCGCAGTAGATGCCGAGCCCGTCGCCGATCCACTCGCTGAACAGACTGATGCCCTCGTCGGAGACGTTCACACCCTTGACGCAGCTGATTCCACGTGCATATGGCAAGATATGACCGCGGATCTCTTTGCAGGCATTGTTGATAAACTGGTGGGGCAGGTTGAAAACGAGGATGGTAGAGTCCTTGACAGCGTCCCTCAGGGAGGGGTTGGCGATCACATTGGAGGGAAGTGCGATGCCAGGCAGGTACTTTACGTTCTCATGGTGCTTGTTGATGATTGACGTGAGCTTCTGAGGCTTGTCGCCAACAGACTCGTCGTAAAACTTGGAGTCCTTGGGGATGGTGACCTCCTCCTCATACACCCACATCTGGACATCTTCCTCGAAGATGGTGTTGTTCGCCCGGGTGTTCTCAGCGACGATCTTGGAGATGGTCGAACCCCTAGAAGAGACAATGGTCAGTAAAGCTCTAGGTCGAGAGTTTGAGGGGAAGTGCTGGCTTGGCGCCTACCAATTGCCGGATCCCACCACCGTCACCTTGTGCTTCTTCTCATGGCCACCCAATAGTGCTGCGCTAGCCATTGTGCGAGTTGTGATGTGCCTGTGGCAGTGTCTCGCGATGTGAAGTGAAGAGAACCTGAAGCTAGCTGGGTGCCGTGCGAGGAGGCTGTGTAACATCAAGATGGACGAAGGGATATGATATCTGTTGAGGAGGGGTGAGGACGGTTAGCTTCATAAGTAGCTGCAAGCTCCCGTGATGGTGGTCCATGACGCACTGGCGCCGCGGCAGAAAAGGATTTCCAACGTGACCGCCTACCGCAACCGGAACAGACCCCAACAAACCGCGGGCAACAGTGCCAAGGGCCCTGCCCAGGCACCGTTGTAACCCGCTGTAACCCCTACCAATCCAGTCCAATCCCTTGAATCCCTCGAGAGCACTACGGACTCGCCGGTCTTGGCCGAGGGCAATCACATGCGCGCCGTGCCCGTAGCTGCATTTCGCTGCAGAGCCCACAGACCCCTTGGCCAAGAAAGCTTGGTCTTGGGATTTTCAGGGTGCTATCACATGTGTTTAACGTGATCTTCATGCGCATCGGGATTCACCGCAGCAGCCACAGTCGCATTCCAGGTCCAATTAGTAGCCACATCGGCCGGCCTTTAATCTACGCGTTCCGAGGTGCGGTGCCTGGGGGCAGGGATCTGATCGTCGCGAGCCGAGTTTCGGGGTCTAAGTTTATTCTTTATTGACATCCGATTATGTAGTAAAAGTCAATTCTGCGCTTGTTGTTACATGTGATTTCCTCTATGCTTTGATCCCGTCACCCCAGTAAGGGTCTTCTTTCAGCCGCAACCACCCCTGCTCTCGTCTTGCCTGGCTCCATCGTCCGCTCACCGTCGCCAAACAGGGGTTTGAAGACACAGTCGTACGCGCCCCAGATGGCATTGAAGATGAAACTCATGCCGGCGGCCAGTACTGCCGGGAACTTGCCGTTCTCGTCGGCAAAGAACCGTCCGATCGTGACCATTGTGAGGAAGGCGGGCCCTCCAATGCTAAGAAGCAGGACCTGGCCGACCATCTGCCTCCAGGAGGTGATTTGGTACGACTGGAGAGAGTTGAGATACTTCTGATAGACCTCCGGGAGCTCATGCTCCCGCGCGCCGTCCCTGAGCAGGTTGAGATACCGTTCGCTAGCCTGGGCACCGCTGCCTGATCGGTTGGGACGCGAGAATAGTCGCTGCCACCACTTGCGCTTGACTGGGATGTCTTGTGGCAGGGACGGGCAGTAGAGGGTTCTTGCGACGAATGGCTTGGGAAGCTTGTCGAACGGTGGCCTCTCGGGGATCTGAACACCAGCCGGGAGCGGGATGCATGGGACGTAAATCTCCTTGTAGCTGGTGCCTCCGCCTTCAGTTCGCATGATATCGCGATAGTCTGACTTGGTAACTTCATACACGACACCCATCAGTCCACCGTCCCACTCGGGGAGCGGCAGCGGCGGGGTGGGAAGTATCGGCTTCTCGGGCATTTTTCTAAAGTCTACATTGGCAAAGCAAGGTTCCCTATACGGGATGCCGGGGAGATCGAAGGTCAGGCGGAGCGTCGGGACCGAGACGTTGACTTGTGATAGCGGCCGGATGCCTCGCATGCCCTGGAAGGTCTGCGCCGCCATGTTCGACCCGTAGGCCAGGTACAGGATCGTGTCCGGCTTGGCCCCCTCGTCCGCGTCCTGACGATCAGCGGCTTCTGCAGCAAGCCGCTCCGGAGACGTCTGCGGTAGGTGCTGCTTATCATCCGGTGTGGACCCTGTTCCAGAGGGACGGGTGTCTGCCGTCGCGGGTGGCGATCTGGAGGGGGTCGACCGTTGTACCGCCATGGCTGGCGTCAGAAGTGTCAGCGAAACGTCCTGATCCGTACACAGCGCCTATGCTTACCGCCAATGGGATGAGAATATTGCTGAAGCAGGGAGCAATGAATGTTGACGCAATTCTGATCTACAATGGCGCAACTGACATTTATATCCCCCTTATCTGTCCATTTCAGGCAACAAACGGTAACGAGGTTGCGGAGTTATCGTCAATCTCAGACTCCACCGATTTGTCAGCAGCATCACATCCGTAACAAATGCTCGGCCTTCGCACACTCGAGACGTGCGAAAGTCGGTGCTGTGCTTTACCTATTAACAATTCGCATTCTGGACCATCTTCAAGGCTAAATTAGCCCAGATACTGGTACTTGATTTTTCATTCCACAGTATTAAATTCGAGAATCTGCGCTGCCTTATTCATCAACACGGCTGGTTTCATAAGCGGCCCGGCATTGGCATTTAGCCCGACTGATTAAATCCGCAACTCCGCCAGACTCGGAGACGGTTTGTTTCACGGCTTTGTGCCAATGCCGTCGGCATTTATACCAACCCGCACCGCAAAGATACTTTCTTCAAGCTCCATCTCAGCATTGATATCATGAACTCGTTTTATCTAGCCCTGGATGTAAATTCTTTAAATCCAGACTGCAATAATGCAACGCCTTGTCTCTCATCTGCTGGCTTATTTCTACCGCCTGCGGATAACTAACTTACTTTACACTCTAGGTAAATGTTGGGAATAGAATCCAAGCTTATTCCACCTGAGCCCACTGCTCTTTCAGCATACTCACTGTGCTCCAGCTCGACTCATCCGATGCCATGCGTGACGCCTCCTTTGCCTGTTTATGATGTGTATGGCCCGTCAACAAGTATTCATTGGCGTGGCCATATCCGGCATACGAGTTCCCAACTGTGTAGGTATTTCCAACTATATTGTGCACATAATGTCCAAGGTTGTTATAGAAAGTGGACTCTTGCCGGTGCATGTCCGCTTGGAAAGCAGCCTCCTGGAGATTCAACTCCATCCGGTGAATAACAGGGACTGTAGTGTACCAGACGTCGCGCCTCTGGCTGGCTTTGACCAGAAGTCCGTCAAGATCCCCTGTTGTGCAAGCCTCCGAGTAGAGCTTTCTCATCCGCGGGGAGTATAAATCGCACATCTTACCCACGGGGTCGAGGCTCCCTTTGAGGAGATACCTGCTTTCTAGGCTTGTTCCTTTCGCAAAGTCGATGTAACAGTTCTCGCATATGGTTAGGTTGTCCCAGCCCCAAAATTTCCCGCCCTTTGCACTCGTGGGCCGGTATTTCGGACAAACGAGGATGGTTCCATATTTCGTAATATACTCTTCAAGACATTTGATGTCTCCAATGGCCATGGACCGAGAGAAATTGATTAAATATTCCGTGAACCGGCCGTGACCACGATTGAAAGAGCACAGTGTCTTCTGCGAGGAGTGACCTGCGGAAATGAAGTGATGCCCGAGCCCAGTAGGGTCTACTAAGGAAGCATAGCAGGAACCGCAGATGGAAAACCCTAGGGGTCTTCCCTTGAGTTCATACCAATTTCCTCCTGTAATGCCTTGGTCGGTACATTGGGGTTGGCTTCTCATGCCGCGCACAGCCTTCCAGAAGATGCTCAGGTCGCCTTTGTCGGCAGCGGATACCGCAGTAAACTGCAAGAAGGAATTCCCAATGTCACAGTGAACATAATCCCAAGATTCACTAGCCTTCTCAAAGACCGCTTCATCGGGATTGCCTACAAAGAAGTCCATATAACAACCAGCACATATCTTGAGGCTCGAGTGAGAGTGACCCTGGCGAGTTTGTAACCACAGACGTCCTACTCCTGGGGCAGGTTCTCTAAGTGGGCATGCCCCGACTGAGAGTCGGGCGGAAACATCTGAAACGAAGGTTTCCCAGCTCCCAGTCTCTTTATACTTTTCAAACATGCCGGCAATAAATCTAATGCTCATATCGCAATACGCGGCAGCCGTAGTCTGGAGGGTGAACTTTTCTCGAAACAAGGGTCTGATATTTGTATCCTCAACGCAGGCTCGACACAATGTCATACCTTGTAGGTCTTGGCTGACATACCAGCTTTCCCCCTCAAGCTGTTTTGTCAACTGGCAATTGGGAATGGCAGACCTCTTCTTCATGAACTCGACAACAGGGTCCAGATCGCCAGAGGATACGGCGGTGGCCCATATTGTTTTCATGCGGGCGGATCCAAATTGACACTGATTCTCTCTCGCTGCTTCAAGACGGGTCTTTTCAAATAGCTGCTGGAATTGGGTGTTGTAGATGTGTTGTGTGTAGCAGTAGCTGCAAATATGAAAAGACGGGATTGTAGGATAATGGAACCAGTCCAGGTCAAGACCAACGGCGTATTTAGCACATTGAGTCAGAGGAACAACTCCCGATGGATGAAGCCGGCTTGGGCTTGATGCTTTAGGCTCTGGATGAACAGGATTAGACGTCTGTTCGGTTCTTTGGGGGGATTCAGCTGGCTTGGAAGTGGCCGGAGGCTTCCAGTTGGGTGGTGGTCCTGGGGGAGGTTCATAGTCAATGTCATCCCGAACCACCGGCTGATTTCCTCCGAGACCAAGATTCTGGAACTGGTTATAGACTTGGCGGTGGTTCTTGTTAGGTTATTCATAAGGACCAGTTGAGAGGTGCTAGGTCGTTGAGTGAATTGTTACTCACGTTCATTCCCGCCTGATGGATTTTGGGAGTTGCTAGAAGCCATGGTCTATATAGACTGATGACGGAGACAATTAATCAGGAGTAAGGTTCAGAGGCGAAAGGCCGGAACAACGCAGAATTCCAGAATTCATCATGATGGGAGCGCCTCCGAGTGGGCCTTTGGAGGCACGCGACATTCTGCCTAGCCACAAGCCCTGTTTATGCATAATCACCAGAGGCTGACAGTTGGAAAAGGATTGGCCGACTGTTTAGCGAGAGGATCCGCGACTATTTCCACATCGTAAACGGCTGAGGGTCGGAAGGATTCCGTCAGGCGGAAAGCAGAGCCCCCAGCGAACAGCACTTAGCGAGAAGAAATCTTGGCGACCAAAAGCCATTTGATGCCTCAAATTGGTCGCAAGATGCTATATCCCTGTTTTGCAGCGAACTTATGCGGGGAACGAAGAAAGAATGTGGGGAATGTAGAATGATGGCAAGATGGGTACAATGTGACACAGTAAAAGCAGCAAGAGTGGGTGAAGATCTCATGCATCTCCCATCATAGAAAGAAGCTTGTTCGACGTTGGTGGTTTGATATGTGATGATTTTACTAGGTAGGTATATATTTGTTGAGAGAAGCTTGTTTCTGAATTCCTCCTATGTGCCTCTTGGAAAATCAAGCCTGGACAATACCTTAGGCATGTGTACTTGCTTTAACTGCTAAGCTTAGCAATTCAGCTACCGAGGTGCTTCGCCCCGAAAGCATCACCTTGACTTAGAATGAGCTGCAGGTCCGAAACTTGCGTTGCGATTATTAAATAGTATCTTCAATTTTCAATCTTGAGCGGGAGATAAAACGAGGTCTATGAAAGTATCCATCATCATTGAGGCTGCGCGAGATGGAGGGCTGCACCATCAGAGCTCACTTGCTCCTTCCCCCAGCCTGTGCTCCTTCCTGGCCACCATTCGTTGCAAACGCGCTCCTGCCCCAAAGGACATATAAAGCTGCAACCCCAAAGAGAAGATGCCTGAGGTATCTCCGTCAACAGCCCACCCAAACAGCTCAACCCTTGAGTGTACACTTGCCCGTAATACACTGTTCATGCACTTGAGACAAAAGCTTCCCGTTCGTCGGATTGAACAGCACGTTTCTGCACTTCTTTGTTCTCCTCTGCCTTCTCTACCTCACTTCAGTCGCGGTGCTACACGATGCCTCGACGAGGCCGTTCAAGCGCCAAAACCCTCCAGCGGGAACCATCCGTTGTCCTTGGTCAGCTGGACACCACCCCAACAAGCCATCATGCCGAAACATTGAGCGACTTTACCGATCACCAGGAGTTCTTTGAGGACGCGATCGCCGACGAGGATCTTTTAGCTCTTGATGGCCTGCTGGCACCAAACAAAACACGGCGTAGGGAAAAATCATTTACGTGGTCAGAAGCAGGGTCAACACGCCGCAGTTCGCCCCTCCATGGCGAGGTACCCAATGACGTCTGGGAATTCGATGCTGAGGATTCTCTCCCGGCAATGTCTAGCCCAAAGTCTGGAATTGATAAGCTTCCAGCGACTTTTCCTCTCCCTCCCCAGGACCACATCGAGCCAAATGGCATTCAGCCAATCGAAAAGCCAGCTCACAAAGTTGACTTCTCTGAAACTGCTTCAACTGCCCGTAGAAGCACCCCGTTCGGCCTCGATGAAGTATCTTCTCTAGGTCCCTGGGAGTTTGAAACTCCGTCGGTAAAACAAATTTCTCTTGCAGTTCATGACAAGCAGGAAGCTGGTTCGTCCAGGCTTCCAGAAAATAATGCAGCGGCAATACCTTCAGAGGTGCGAAGAAACAACAAAGGCGTGATACGTTCATCCAAACAGAAATTTACCAATTCTTTGAACAAGCCAACCGATATTGATGGCGTCTTTCTAAAGGCATCCCCAACACTACTTTCCGAGTCTGCTCCAGTTGACCAAGCGAAACTACAAAGTAATGCTTTCGATCTTATCAGGTTGGATCTTGAATCCGAAGAGGACATGATATTTCCCTCTTCTCCGCAGATTTCGAAGATGGAGGTACAAGCAAACCCTTCGGCCGAACCATCCACATCTGAGGTTCACAAAACAAGGAAAAGAAAGCAGCGAGCAAAGTCCCCAGTGAAGTTTGATGAAAATACTCAGCAAGTAAAAGTCTCAAGGCGAAAACCACCGCAGACTGCGCCTAAGGGGAAACGCAAACGAGCGGCTCCTCCAGTAGCCACCAAAGAGCCTACTAAGAAGAAGCCTAAGATTGGATTCCAGCCGAAGGCGAACGTATCAATTTTGCGTACGCCTGTGACAAACAAAGTTCATGAACCCGCGAAAGCTACCGAAAAGGAAAAGAAGGCTCTCGCTGTAGAAAATCCGGCCAGTCCAAGTCAACTAACTCAACCTTCGCCAATTATTTCGAAGATCAACACAGACCCAATTGTCCTGTCGAGTGATCTTGAAAGCAGCGAGTTCATTCCAACTTCTCCATCAAGCCCCTTATCATCATTCGAGAAGCAATATCACCCAAAGAAAGGGGAAAAGAGGGCCCAATCCGGAGTCCAAATCTCAAAGAGCAACTCAGAGTCTTTAGAACCACCGCAAGCGCCAGAGATTAAGCCTTTATCAGAGGAGGAGATATTACCAGATATTTCGAGCGCGAGTATCGACTCATTGACTCACCCGATTCCTACGACCCTGACACCAATAGACAAAGTCGAGGAGCCGGGGATTGATAATCGTCCCCCACTTCCAGAGCCTGAAGAGAGCAAATTTTATTCTTCTCGGTATGATTTGCAGAATGAGGTTATCCCTAAATCTACGGAAAATGAACCAAAAGCAAAATCACCTGAGCCGCTCCCTTCAAGGAACAAGACCCCGTACAACAATCCTATCGATGAGAATTCAAAGGGGACGTCTGCTCAGGCTAAGAACCACACCACTGCTGTCTCTCTCCTAGATGAAAAGCTTGGGGAGAAAAAGGATAAGAGGCGAACCAAAACTCCTCGGCCAAAATTTGTTGTTAAATCGAGCTTTAACCATAGTACGTTTACGCATTCGATGTCTCCGGCGGAGGAGACCCAGCGTGGTCCGAATAGCCGTTCGAGGATAGACAATGTTCGCTCAAGGATCAACAATAACCGTTCGGGAATTGACTTGAATATGAATCAAAGTCGAACGCTCAGCATCAGCGAAGCGGGCAGTCCGGTGCGCCTCGATTCCCAAGTTGGCGAAAGCAAGGGGCCCCGTTATCCTCTACCAAACGAAATTGAATTCAGAAATTTGGACACAACATCCCGATTCCCACCACTTCAATCAGAATATGGGAAAATACGGACTGGCAAGGCAGAGAATAAACCCCGTAGAGCCCGTGATATCACGAACTCGGTTTCAAATGTGGGAAACTGTTCGAATGCAATGGACACATCGAGGAATCATACAGCCGAAGATGATACACAACATCTTCCCGTACATGCTGGGGCGCCCAGTAATGAGAGCGATTCACCTCGACTTCAAGAAATCCGGGGGAAGATCAAAGCGCAGATGGAGGCAAATTTTGAAGAACAGGCGGCAAATAAGAACCGACCCGTGGCACAGCGCCATAACCCTAATTCCTGCCGCAGCGAACTTCCAGTAGCACAATCAAATATTTGCTCGCCATTTGCGACTGGGAGTATCCCGAAAAAATTACATCGCATTGTGGAAGTAAGTGCGCGGCGCAACGGAGTATTCCCTCGAATGAAGGCTAACGGAGTGATGATAGCTTGTCTCAGAACGACTTTCCGAAGCCGAAAGAAAGGTAGACCATGTGCCTTCAGCATACATGAACGGCATGTCTGGGGCTTTGCGCGGAATCGAGCGACGGTTTAACCGAGAGCGTCGCGAACTGGAACTAAATTGGGCCCGCGACATCGAATCTTTCAAGGCGAATATCACAATTGCCAGGGACAGAGTTACCACGGTACAGGAGGAGCGAGGTACGATACTTTCGTCTATCGAGGAGGAGGAGGCGAAACGACGTCTCTTATATTCTCGCGCAAGTAGTAACCTGCTAGCACTTAACCGCACGTTACTCAACAGTGCGGCGGCAGAGTCTTCAGGAACTCGGTAGCTTAAATTGCTTGCACTCGAACAAACACTGACCTATACTTACTCCTCTGGGAGCGGATGTTACCTATTGAGGGGTTGTGGCATAATTACAATGTGAGCAAGAATACTACTTGTCAGAGAACTAAGGATGAAAGCTATGAGGGATTTGGGATGGCGATGCTAAGTTGGTCAATAATCACTGTAATAAGCTGGAAATTAGAGTTACCTGCATAATTGAAGTGCGGGCTTCTCAAAACCCTGGAATGCATCGCAGATTATTAACGCCGTCGCGAGCGCCACTCGTATGCCGTTGTCTGTAGCTCCTATTATCACTTTGATGTAGCTATGAGGTATACAGACGGTGGAAATGAGTAGTTGGACAGGTGTAAGTGTGTGAGGACGTGTCAAGTGAGGACTACCCCATTTCCTCACTTTTGCCGCAGCGCAGTGCAGCTTGAGGCCTACGCGGGAGAATTCAGCTGAATGATGACGATGATTGCACGCCCTAGAGCGCGGCCTAACAAGAAGATCCAATCCGGACCGGTGGACGATGGAAACGTTCCGTTCCAGATGGCGGCCTGCGTCGTGACGTATGCATGTCTGGCAGCGCCGAATGATATGGGGCATTGCTGTCAAGCGTCGCATTGGATGGGTAAATGGGCTAGTACAAGGTTTTCGGCATCAGAGTTAATGGTACGAGATCAGGAGATGTACCTACGCGTGGCGGGATGATGAGAGGAACCCGAGACACTTCAGGCATGGCGGGACCTGAGGAGAATCAAGATAAACAGCGGCGGTGCCTCGCCAGGTCCGCATCTCCAGAATTCCTGCATCTCCATCGTAAATATATGTTTTCCCCCCCGTCGGCACACCCATCCTCATCCCTCCCCAGGATTTCCATCGCACATAGGTGCCTGCCATCCGCAGCGTGGCCGTGGGGGAAACCCACCAGAATATCGGTGCCGACCAGGTACCAAGTACCTCCCAATTGTCACCCATCTCTCACCTCGTCCTCAGGCGAGCACCGTCGGGCAGCCTGCCAAGTACCTTGCGATGTACATGACCAGCGGCAGCGAAGCAAGCAGCCGAAAGGCCTCGTCACCCACGGGCAGGTAAGTCGTCATGTTTCCCGCTGTTCTCCCCGTGCCCGATCGATATCAATCCATGGCCGCCTGCCCTACATCGCTACACAGACACCTTTTTCCCTGCTAAGTAGCGAGTCGTGCCGTCTGCTAGGCAGAAGCCGCGCTGAAATCCCCCCCTGAAAAGCACCAATCAAGCCCCCTGCAGGACTGTTAGGGGGGGGCCTCGCTGCTGTTTCGGCGCACGTCACCCTTGAGGCTTGCGAGCCACCAGCCCACTCCCAGGCCACCACCTCAGATCAATCGCTCCACCGTGGGATTTCGGCGGTTCCATTCGAGGAGACTGATGAGACTGAAGAAAAAAAAACCATCTCACTCGGGAACCCCAGGTTCGGGAAGCACCAAAACTTCTTGCACCCTTCGCCCAAGCAAGCACCCTCTTCTCGTCTCGACACACATCACCTCCCTGTCGCCGCTGTTGATATCCCTCCACATCCTCCCTGCAAGGTCTGCGAAAGCCTCGGGGCCACTGTCAGCTGCATTGTGGCTGTCCCATAAGCGGTTCCTTGGTGTTTGGCGCTTAGCATTCCCTCTGCCCTCAAACGACGTGATACCTTCACTTACCTTGCACCCCCGCTTTTCGTTGCATCCCTGTGTTTCCTGTGTCTCAACACTTTATCCAGCCCCCCGTCCGATTTCCCAACTTGTTCACCTATCGTCTTCCAACACTTTGATATCACCTACTTACGTTTCACGCTCGGTTAATCCAGTCGCCTCTCGGGTTTCTCAATCTTCCGGAAACGACACAACAGCGCCAGCTCGTCGGGTACATCGATATCCGAAAGTTCAGAAAGCAAAGAATACTACAATCCTGAGAGGCATAGCTGGCGGCACATTGGCATCTACAAGATGCCTTTCCGTCAACACCTGGCCCGTCATTTTGGCGATGCGGTATGCGCTTGTTCCACCTTTCCACATTGCCGAGTGCCAACTCGGTGAGAAGAGCTCTAGCTAATCGCATGCATTTAATAGCTTGCACCCGAGAAATCCTACCTCAGCTACTACGACGTCCTCCTCACCGGCGAGGATATCAAGTCGCTGAAGAATGACTGGTTAACCGACAACAACATCGCATTCTGGGAGGAATATCTCGAACGCGAGACTCTCCCCCGGTATCCCCAGGCCCGAATCATCCTCCTCCGCCCCAGTATGACCTTCCTCCTCATGAGAGAGCCCGATATGCGCCAGATCCGCTCCGCGCTACCCAGCTTCTCCAAGGTCACGCACATTTTCCTACCGATCAACGACAATCGCAACGTCAGTCTCGCCGAAGGTGGTAGCCATTGGTCGCTCCTGCTCGTCTCGGCTCTTGATGGAGTGGCGTTCCACTACGACTCCCTCGGCGGCGCAAACTACTCCGAAGCACGCCTCGCCACGCGCAAGATGAGCGAAATCCTCGGGCGACCGCTGCGATTTGTAAATTTGGAAGACTGCCCACAACAAGAGAACGGAAGCGACTGCGGAGTCTTTGTCTGCTTGTTAATGCGACATTTACTCGTGAAACGTCTTCTCAGTGCCCCCGCAAGGGAGAAGGTATCTATGAGCATGGGCGGTAAGATGGTTGATAGTAATGGCGGTCGAAAAGAGATGCTCCACATCATTGAGAATCTTCGAAAGGAGGGTGTGCGGCGACGATCGTAAGGACATTCCACAATTCCCCGTATTCACATGACGCAGCTAATCCTCAACCCAGGCGAAGTGCTAGTCCTTTTTCATCATCCAAGACGCCACCGCGGATCGAGTAGGGTGCGGTACGCTTCAGCATCTACCAGGACGACGTCAAACAGCATTCTGATCAGTCGTCAGGCCCCCAATCAGACCTGCAGAGTAAACAATCGAGTACATGTGGAGTTGATGGAAGCCTCACGGACCAGTCTACGCCCTCATCGCAGTCTTCCTCTCCGATCTCAAAATCAAGGCCAAGACGGAGACCAAAGCTGCTCACGTATGGGACCAAAGGAGCCAACGTGACCAAAGGAGCCAGTAGGACCAGCCGACGTCTCTCGGGGTCAATTCAGCGACCGTGTAACGTTCCCGGTGGACGGCGGTTTGTCAAGCCCATTTCGAGAACGGGCCAAACCCTGACGACCAATGCCTAAGCGCCTACCAAAGCCTACTCATCAGGCAATATCTAATCGATCAACCGAGAGCCGCGACGGCAAACCTCCTCTTCCAGCCGACTCGGTCAACCAACTATTCTGGGGCCGCACTTAGGCCATGTAACTTGTCGATGATATAATTCTTTTTCTTCATTTTCATGTCTTTATTTCATTGTTTCTTTTGTCGTTCCTTAGCATGAAGCGATTGATTTTATGGTTTACGGCGTCTACGAAGTTTATGGACACGAGCATCGAGCAGACAAAGAGCGTAAGAGCCAAAGACACTAAAATTTCTGATGCACTTTTCCTGTGTCGTTTTCATTATGGCAATTGTTTTACACTTTCTATCTTGCAGGGTCAAGAAAACAGTCGGATAATGGTTCTTGTTCACACGGGGTTATATCGTGAGTTCATGGCGTCATAACCGAAGACGAGGGTTACCAGAAGAAGAGAGTAGAATGATTTCTTTTTCTCAGGGTGGCTTCCTTTCCGCGTTCTCTTTCTTTATCTCAAGCACATGATTTCAGTATCGTTATTAAATTTCAACCGGTCTCTGACTACCGAACCTATTGTCCTATAAACAGTCCAGACTCCTAGAACTCCGTGTGTGAATGCCGTGCAATATGTTCCAACTAAGGCTACCAAATCGGTGCCACTGGACTTTTAGACTCCAGTCCTCGAGAGGATGCTTCGTCAAACTCATGTAAACCCAGGCCCTGGCCTGCTACTTGTTCAAGAACGCCGGGTTCTGCTCCATCGTGGTGGAGATGTACCCTCGCAGTGCCGCCCACCGATTACTCGTGCTCGCAGCCGGCGCAGGCGCCTCGTCCATCTTCTCGTCTGCCTGCTGCTGCGGTGGTGCCGCCTGGTCCGCGGGCAGATCGGCCAGACGGGCCATGCTCGCGCCAAACCTCTCCATCTCGCCTTTAACGATCCTCTCTTTCCTCTTCAGCGCGCCCTTCCTCGTCCGCAGGCTCTTGTGCTGCACTTTGCCCCGATTCTCTGCGGCACCTTCTTCAATCTCCGGCAATGCGTCGGCGAGTGCGTCGAGGTCGGCGGCGAGCTTGTTCCCCGGGCGGCGAGTCCGCTTCTTCTTGCCGACGCGGGCGTCCGCGGTGGAATGGATGCGGGAGACGAAGGAGGAGTGCTTGATCTGGCGCTTGTCGCGCTTCGAGGAGAGGAAGGAGTCGTCGGTCAGGGTGCCCTCCCTGTGCGTCTTCATCGGGGCGAGGGGGTGGATCTGGCCCGTTATGCGCTGCATGCGGAGGGCGCGCGCCGAGGGTTTCTTGTCTGAGGGCGGTGGGCGGGGAGCCTGTTTTACCAATTTGGTGGTCAGGCTACGGGTACATTCTAAGTGAATGGGGTCGGGTTTCTGGTGACTTACCATGATTGCTGGTTGTTATGAGTGTTTGAGAGTAATGAGGACTTGTAGACTTGGCTTCTGGAGTGGTCAATTGTATTTTGTTCGAGTGCGAGCGATGGGCTGGAGCTTGACCAGGGCGGAAAAAAAAGAATGGGAATGTTCTCGGTGAGTTCATCACTCACCGAGACGATGGTGGGGCACACCGAGAACTTTCATGGCGGGGCATTTCTCGTCAAATCTACGCCAACATTCATCATCTAAATTACCAGGCACAACCCTTTGCAGTTCCGTCTAAAAGTATTTACGAGTTAAGATTGATTCCACATAAGGGAGGAGATCATTCAAAGTTCTACTACTATCATTATCTTCGAAGCTTTTTGCCTTTCATACTTACTCAGCGCCAAACCGGAGCTCGTGACTCCTCTTACATGGAGAGAATCGATCGACTCCGCAGGGAAATAGCCTTGCGGGAATCAGAGCTGGCTGATTTAAGATCCCAACTTGCTGTTGCGGAATCAGAGCATCGTGCTCGTCAAGATGATGGATCGTCGGGTTGGAAATGGCCCTTGGCACAGTATGAGTACGACCGCTATAGTCGGCAGATGATTGTGCCAAAACTTGGTCTTGAAAGTCAGTAACTTGTCCCCAATTTCCCACTGACCCCCCCAACATTGTTTGGTGTAAAACTAACATGTATGCAGGCCAGCTTAAATTGAAGAACTCAAGAGTCCTGGTGATTGGCGCAGGTGGCTTGGGCTGTCCAGCCTCGGCCTACCTAGCCGGGGCTGGCGTTGGGGTTCTAGGCTTAGTAGATGGAGATACTGTCGAGGTCTCCAATCTTCACAGACAGATTGCACACTCTACGAGTCGCGTGGGCATGAGCAAGGTGGAAAGTGCCATTACCTATCTGCAAGAGTGAGTTCCGAAGGCCAGAAGACCTCATCCTACCGCTCTCTCTCAGACTATGCAAGCTCCGTTCCCTCAAAAACATAACTGACAACTCGACCTAGGCTGAACCCTACCATCACATACCACGCCCACCAGACACATCTTACTACTGAAAATGCTCAAGGCATCGTCTCGCAGTACGACTTCGTTCTTGACTGCACCGACCATCCCACCTCTCGCTATCTCATCTCAGACATCTGCACCCTCCTTTCCAAGCCACTCATCTCAGCCTCCGCTTTCCAGTCTTCCGGTCAGCTGATCGTCCTGAACAACCCGCCTGGTCAAGGGCCTTGCTACCGATGTGTCTTTCCCAAGCCTCCCCCACCAGAGAGCGTGGTCGCCTGTGGTGAAGGGGGGATCATAGGACCAGTCGTCGGCGTGATGGGTGTTCTGCAAGCCCTCGAGGCGATCAAAGTGATCACGCAAGAGGTGGAGCAGAAAGGCGACGAGAAAAAGAAAACGAATACCATGCTGTTGTTCAGTGCGCTGACTGACACCCCCTTCCGATCGGTGAGGATGAGAGGACGTAGAAGCGATTGCGTCGCATGCGGGGATGCCTCGGAGCTCACTCTAGAGAAATTGAAATCCTCGATGGATTATGTCCAATTTTGCGGGGTGAAGGAGCCCGTGAAACTCTTGAAGCCAGATGAGAGGATCACGGCAGAAGACTATGCGCGCATCGCCAAGGAGCAAAAGGATCATGTTCTCATTGATGTCAGAGAAAAAGAGCAATTTGGCCTTTGCAGCATCCCCGGTTCCATCAACATTCCCATCACCCGCTTCATGAGCCACCGCCCAGAGAAGGGTCAAGTTCCAGAGTGGTTCCCGGAGGCCATCTCTCCCTCCTCGCCGGTATACCTGGTGTGTCGTGTAGGGAATGACTCGCAGACAGCCGCACAGAAGCTGAAAGATATCGGACTTGACCGGGACGGAGAGCGATTCATCGGCGACATCAGCGGTGGACTAACGGCGTGGAGAAACGCAATCGACCCATCGATACCGTTCATCTGACCTGCAGGGTCCTCATGAAAGAAAGAGAATGGAAGTATAGGAGGGAACGCGGGAACCGATGAATGAAAGTGGGAGAATTTAAGAGTAGAACCGTCTTTTGTTAAGTACATGATGACATATCCGCCACAGAGCCGAGTGTTTTGTTGCTACATCGAGGGGGGGGACTTGAATGCCTATAATTGCGCCAGCCCTAAAGAGAAAATGGAATCATAATGGGAAAAGGAAGCCATAGATACACGGGCACAACCACATATATAGTATGTGATCGAGCCTGTCGAGAAGGGGCAAGATGGCCCGGTTTTACACGAAGTTGGCCGTCTTCTTCTTGTTGAAGGCACGCTGATCCTTCAGCCATCGTCGGTAACCCTGAACACTCTGAATCTTTTCACCGTAGAAATCGGGCACTGCAAGGGAGGAATTATTAGCCACGAGAGAATAAAATACGACAGTAATAGCGTCCGCAGTACATACCTGGGTTGGAAGCGCTCGAATTGGTGGGATCAACTCGGTTCTTCCTTATCCTTGCCAAGAATTGATCCTCCTTCTTGTGAATCTGGGACCTGATCTGACGGTTCAGAAGATAGAAAACCTGGTTGCCGATGCTAGGTCCGATGAGCCAGCCCGCACCAGCAAACACAATGGTAAGTCCTCCGAGGGTGAAGAACGGGTCGAGGGGCACCTGGCTGACCAGAGAGTCGGCGATACCCGAGGACAGAAGGCCGGCACCCACGACGAAACCACCAATACCTGTAATGGCGGAGAAGAAGACTTGGATACGGCGGCGGCGCAGGCGCAGCTTGAAGAAGGTGTTCCAGTCGAGTGCAGGAACCTTATCGGCGGCGGGGGTGTTCGAGGCCAAGCTGGAGTTGGCACGGGCGAATGGCGCAGCAGGGAAAATCGAGCGGTTCTGCTGGGAGAGGCAGATGGGACGAGCAGCGGTGGCGAGCATGGTGGTAGCCCGAGGGCAGCAGCGGCTCGCGAGGGAGCCCGAGAGGCGCATGCCGACGGTCTTGAGCGAGGAGGACATGGTGGCAGAGGTGGTCCTGAGCGCTCGGAGCGATCAATTGAAAACACAAGAATTGAAGATAAAAGTGAGAAAAGAAGTGATTGAGTGGAGTTTTGGGGTTGTGAGGTTGTTGGAGCAGTGCCTCAGCTGCAAAGTCGTCAAGTTCCAGGTGGTGGTGGTGGTGATCTCATTTCTGGAGGGAGCTGCGAGCTCAGCTCAAGGGAAAAACATGTCGCGCCTAAGCGTAGCCGCTAAGCGCAAGCGCGGGGCGAGAGTGCCCGAGGTACAGTGTCCGTCCCTCTTCACACGTTAATGGCTACCCTATATCCTGGCATAATGCCGATTGCCACGGCTACCTCCGGCTCAACGACGCCTCACCAACTCGTTTCTCCCCCGGAAAGGGCAACTTAGATAGATATTTGTCATTATTTCATACTATATTGTACATATAAAAATGTTACGAGCCTCTTTCCTTCGTATTTGTACTCAGCGCAACCTCGTTGCTTGCCGTCGCCAGTACAGCAGCAGCAAGACCCCCTCCGATCTCGCTGCTACCCTCCCAGCATCCGTTGATTATCCCAATCCACGATGGTTCTCAGATTTGCAGTCGCGTATCAAGAGGTCAATGACCCCAGAACTTCCTAAGGCCAAATTTGAGGAAGCGGAGAAGCTGTTAAAGCATACTGAGAAACACTGGCTGGGCTTGTTGGCCGGCCGTGAAGGATTTATCACCGATTATGATTATAGAGGCCTGGACCGCCAGCCCATCTTCTGGGGCGATATGGCAAGTATGCCCAGATTTGCGAGAACGAGATGATGTCTTTAAAATCTTTTGATTTCATTTGGTTGTATTGTTGATCGCTGACATCTCGATGCCATTTGGAATAACAGGACAGCATGGTGAGTGGTCAATGTCTCACATTATTGACATTCTTAATTGGCTTAAAAATAACACTTTGCCTAGGGTAATGAATCACTCTCGCGACATTCCCTCTCAAATGGAATAAATAACTGAAGACTGATGATTGCGGATGTAGGACATGTAAATAATGTTATGTACAATCGCTACGCCGAATCTGCAAGAGTCAACTTCTTCCGGAACCACGGTAAAGACGCCACCGAAGGTAGAGGGCAATTATGGGATGACCTCCTGACGCCGAGAGGACTCGGTCTTATACTGAAGAGCATCAAGACGGAGTTTAAATTCGTGAGTGATTCAGAGCTTCCGCGCGCCTCGTCGTCGTGGCTAATGAAAGCTTTGTAGCCAATGACCTTTCCCGACAATGTCACGGTCTTGAATAGATTAGTCGAGGCGCCAACAACCGAGACTCATGACCTGATGCTGGAAGTCTGGATAATATCAGAGAAGCACCGTCGGCTCGCGGCGCGGTGCTTGGAGGAGGTTACCGTCTATGATTATCAGGCCGGGAGGAAGGCGACGCTTGCACCATTCATGGTCGAGAAACTCAACGAGACCTGGGATTTACAAGAGAAATTTCGAGCTCGCTTCAACGAAGAGGCGAAGATCGTGGCAGAAGCACTGGATATGATCAACGGCTCGAAGTGATCGGGGCCTTAAGGGGCAAGGTATTCAGTATTCGGTTGAGCCAACTGCACTCTAATAGAGGAATGAAGAAACATCACAGCATGTCATTGATTAACTTCAGATTGAATTACATGAAAACTATCTTAGTCGCACCCTCAGCCAGTGACATGAGCGTAGGCAGGCAAGCAAAAAGCTGTTGGATCGGTCATGGAAACATTTTTGTCTGGGAAACAAAGAGAGAAAGAAAAGAAAGGCGATGAAGAGTGTGATGAAGAGTGTCCTATTACCTTGAACAAGTGATAGAAAAACAACAAGATGGAGCTAAAGTAAGAACAGAAAAACCCAACTGGGCATTCATCCTTCACAAAAGCCACCTCAAATGTGCATCTCCCGTGATTAATGAAGCAGGCCACACCAAATCGGGCTGCGTGATTGATTGCCGCAAAAAATCCCCTTGCGCATGTGGCGAAAATCACTCCTCGCTCGGTTCCGCCTTGATCTGATTATCCGGACGTGACTGCTCAGCTCCGTTATGCCAGGAGTTCGCAACCGCCGCAAGGGCCCCCTGGATCAACAGCATAAGTCTCGGCGACCACTCTTGGTATAATCGCTCCACAAAGTGACGAATGATTCGGTAGCATTTGCCTGCCTCGACCGATATATCATCAGTTATCAGATGATATGCCCGGTGATGGATGACACCGCCCTCGATAACTGGGTAATGCCCAATTACTCTGGCAATGGTGTCATTGTGGGCGAGCGAAAAAACCACTATATTGCGGTTTAACAATTCTAGTTGACCAGCAGTGTCGAATAATGTCGTGAGCGCCTGTATGATTGTATCTGCGCTGCGGGTATTCTTGAGCTCAGCAAGATGGAGGCTTTCGTGGCTTGATGCTACTTCGCATAGAAAAAATGGGAAGTAGACGACGGCAGAGGGTCTCAATGCTGCGAGCCGACCGGATTGGCGGAAGTGCTCACTCAGAGGTCGCAAGTGTTCCTCGGGGAAGGCTCTCTTATCAAAGCCGGTGATGATGGGATTTGAACTCTGAACAAGATTCTTCACTTCCGGTCTGGTCGTGGGTGTGTACAGAATGCGTGGAACTAGGGCGGGCGTGATTAATGCTCGGATTAAACTCGCCGTCGACCCTCTCGCATGCTGAAAACTGCGCACATAGAACTCCATGATCTGTCGTTCAATCAGTGGGAGCTGGAAGTTGGTAAGAAGTTGAGTCCATTGCTTGCTCTCCTCACTCAAGTGGAACCTGAGTAACGGAAGGCCCGATCCTTCCGGGGCATTCATGATGTCGGGATAATTCTTGTGGAAGGTTTTGAATAACCCCTCGTTGAAGTAAATGCTGGAATACCTTGTTGCACCCGAAGCAATCGATAAGGCTGGTTTCAGGGACGGCCGAGAAGGTCGATAAGCTTCTTCTTTTCTCCTCTCTGGATGAAGATTTTTAGATTCGTTGGGAGGTTTGAGCTCATTAGCGAGCTGAATCTTCTCCCTGGACTCGTCTTCTTCCTTCATTGAGAGCAAGATTTGAACTGGATAGTAGGATTGTAGAGTAGGATTGAGCTAAGAAATATCAGGATTGCCTGGGAAAAGCGGCGGTTTTTATAGAGAACTTGAACCAAGAGGGAGAGATTCACCGGGACATGTGTTGGAGATGAACTTGTGTGAAGAACAAGGAAACAGCTGGTGTAAACAAAAACTCTTCAACAGCGATGTCAAGCAGGACATTGCGGTGCGACGTCAACAGCCCCCTACACATCTGACTTGTTTCCAGACATGAATCAGAGAAAGGGAGAGATTTTTAATGTGGTAGGAGGCGACGTCTTGCTTCTTTGAGTGCACGTTTCACATGTTGGGCAACCAATAGGTAAACAATCAAAGCACTTAACCCGCCCAATAGAATTTTAGAAAACGGTCCTGGGTAAACATGCTTGAAATCGAGAGGTAAGAGAATCTTGTTTCCTCCTCGTTGCTTATTGTTTATCAAGAAAAAACTCCATATCGCGAACAAACAATCTGCTTCACTGTCTGATGTTGGGCGATGCGACCACCATTCACATGCAGGCATGAGTTATCTTATTGAGCTTTATCACCATTAGCCAGACATCTAATGCTTGGTCCCAATCATATAAGCCTGCGTAAGCGGAGCTCCTTCGTATTTGGAACGTAATCTGGCGCCATTTTAACAATTAGAACCAACAGTAGAATTCGTAGGCATCAGCGGACCATACATTCCCATTATGCAATGACTCATCCAGTGTAGGTTTTAACTTCTTATATCATACAGGCAGGCGATTTAAATGCGCTTAAGTTTTGCCCCAAGCGCGATCTACCCCATGTGTCCACATAGGCACCTGTTTATTTTGTCCTTGACCATTTAACTATCGTTAGCGGTATATTTATCGAGGTTTTCTTTGAAATTATGGATCTATTGACAAACGCTATTTTTGTTTCCGACACATTCAATAAGTTCGAACCAGACGACAGACACCAGGTCTCTAGAGAAAGAGTTCAAGACTTTATTGACAGTGGCCTTATAAACAAGGGTAGTTATTAGGATGTCGCGAGGTTCTATTCATTTGCTAATCATTATATAGATGCAATATTACAGAGGTATACAAAGTACCTCTCTAATAAACTAGAAGCTGCGTGTGATAAGTCGATTACTATCGAAAATTTTAAATATACTTTCCAATATATATGCAATCATGAAAGCGGATGTAAGTTATGGCCCTATAATACTAATAATTATTAACTTCTGATTTAAAGCAGATATTTCATCAGTGAAGTTCCAGCAGTTAATACTGGAGAAGCTGTCTGAATCAGGAGTGAGAGAACCATCTGAATACCCAGAGCTACTATTGAACATACTTATTTTCTATGCTTTCTTCCCGTTTCCAGCATCATTTAATGAGTTAGGGGCGCCCAAGATAGATGAGAATGCATACATACGCGCCATTTCTCTATTAACAATACCTCCCGTGGCCCGGATCGGAGATGATTCTCACTTCTCAGATGCGGTACCTGGTCTTCGCACTGGAACTTGGGGTCCACATGATGGTTTCGGCGTTTCTAACCGTGGTCAAGACGCCAGCGATGTTCGCAGACGAATATTTCGGAGTCTAGCTACACCTCTCAGCCATCCGATTAATGGCAAGACAACAATCCCTGTACCACGGTTCGTTTGGTTTGATACTGAACAGGGTGGAACCAATTCTGACGACCAGACAATGGCTGTTATGGAAAAAGAAGATGAGAAAGATGTAGACATTTTGGATGTGCTTGTTCAGACAACACCTGGGGCTACAATGAAGATAGCTAGCCCTCATCGGGAAAGCTATAACCTAGCACTGCCATTACTCCCAAAGTATAACAATGACCTTCTTGAACTCCAAATTCCTACAGCAAAGCTCGCAGATTTTCTGAAATTGGTTGGAGAACTAGAGCCAGGGAGAGAGTCAAGCTTAGCTAAACTCACTGAAGATCTAGAGGGAAGCGAGGGAATTAGTTATGAGGTGTTTAACACTATGCTATCAACTTATTCTGTAAGTCGAGATACTATTAATTCAAGGGGATCTACTACTAACTCTTCTTTGTAGGAACTTCTCTTTGATGCTCTTATGAAGATATTTTGGTCACTCCAGATGTAATAGGAAGCTAGCGATAAGAGATGTAAATGTTTCTCCGTATTCAAAGTATTCTATTGCCTGATATATATGTTCCTGTTGTAAAGTATACTTTTCCTCCCTCATGATAGCCTGGGCAGTCCACATCGATTCGGGTTATCCCTTTTCCTAGTACCCGAATCAGGCGTTCACCATCAAACTTGAACAAAACTAGGTGGCTGAGGACGTGGCAATTAGCGCCCGAGTCATAAATATCAGCATTTCTCGATCTCCCTCTTGTGACCTAGGTGCTATTAATGCAGCGATATCTTTACTTAAGCACTACGATAATAGCCGCCTAGAATCCAATGTCTAGCATCAGAGTCATCTAATAGCAAAAGAAGATGATCATCCTTAAATAGACACACTCACCTAAAACCATCAGTGATAGACTCTAGTGGTAAGTTTGATGAAGGTTGTGCTTATTTAGGTGCACCAGCGCGCGTCGCTAACACCAAAGTGCTTGGTGCATTGCCTCCATTAATGGAGACATTAGCAGCTAAAATTCGATGACTATGAGTGTGAAAATGGAGGCAAAGGCCGGTCGGCCAAGAGATAGACGGGATCCAGTGCTTTCTAGCAGGTATGGTCGTATGTGATGGAGAGAGGATGTGATGTGGTTTATAAACCGTGATGGTGGCAGGCGGAGGGCCGATGAAGCTATCGGTAGATCTCCACCCAAGCCTGAACAGCCCCCATCACATTAAGGAGGAAGATGGTTGATCAGATGAATAGAAGCTAGCCTCGGAAGGTCTTTTTAGTTGTGACAAACGAATTATATGAAAAGAACCTCCTGTATTGGTCTGAGCGAGTGCCTCCGACCGTTGGAGCGTTGATAAGCCCTGGATTGAATGCTGGAAGCGACAACGTAACCTCCAAACACCATGCACGTATCATTAAGTGAAGTTCACGGAAGGTTGATTTGTCTTTTAGAACCTTCTAATGATCCTAAGAGTAATTTTAATCTGTCGCAATTACTATTAGTAGCCAAAATCTTCAGTGACAACATCCAACCCCTCTAACCAAGTAGTGACCTGGCGCATCAGAACTGGCGCAGCGCAAATATAATATCGCACCCCTTCTCTCTTAAAAGGTTCAAAATCATCTTCACTAATCCGCCGTTCCTCCACATGTGAACCCATGGATTTCAGCTTCTCAACCTGGGCAGCCACTGTGGGTGAACCGTCGTCTTTCCCGGTGAGGAACAGCCTCGTCGCATCCGCTAGACCTGGGATCCTCTCAAAGGAATCAAGAGCAAAGTTGGCATCCTCCCTCTTCAAGGTCCAGAGAACCGCCAGGCTCGATCCTCCGCCAGCAACGATTGGGCCTGCCTGTGCAAGGATCGGCGTAATCCCAACACCACCAGCTACAAATACCGAAGACGATTTGCCATCTTCTGAGGAAGGTGAGGTGGGTACGGGAAGGTGAAATTCCTCTTTGCCCCCAAAGCCCATGACGGGGATCTCAAGCTGTGCGTTGACGTTCTGCCTCCACAGGAATCCCGTCACCGGCCCGTTCCTCCTCACTGTGATTTGTAGATTCTCATCCTCCGGCCGGCTCGAGACGGTGAAGGTCCGGATGTAGTCGTCGTTGAGGCTCTGGGGGTCGCTGTCGTTCATGTGGCTGTACCCGCCGCTCACCTCGTCGTGGAAATCAAACGTCACATGCTGCCCTGCTGCCCATTTCGGCTTCGAGGAGAGTCTGAATGTGAAGCGATTGACGGTCGGTGTGATGGGTTCTTTGTTGATGAGCGCCGCTGATATGGAGGAATTAGAGGAAACTGGTGCGGTTTTCGGGGCTCGTTCGCTGGTCAGATACCGGACTGGTGGGTTGTAGGGAGAATGGTCGACTAGTGGTCCTCTGAAGGGGAGGCATTGCCGGATGAACTTGGCATCTGAGACGGTGATTTTCACGGCAACTTGGGTCCTGGCGAGGACGGATGACGCCTCCTCACCGAACAAGAGGGACGTAGAACCGGTCAGGTACAGCGCATCGCCGGTGTCAAAGTCCGGAATGACGATGCCGACCAGCGGGTTAACTTTCAAGTTTCCAAGGGTAGAGTAAAATCGATTTCCAGAGTCTATAACAATGTTAGCGTATGTCATTAGTGGCTACGACAATATCAGACGGCTAGGAAGACTTACATTCTGGATAGATGAGTTCCACTGCTTTCGAATTGTTGCTTAAAACCCTCATAAATCCTGGTGGACCACCTCGATGGTTGGTCCCCATCTCCTTTCCGTCGGTGGTAGACAGGAAGAAGAGATCCGTATTATTTATCAACTTAATTGCCTCCGAAGGCAGTGGGAGTCCCTCGTGCGCTATCGCCACATTCTCCTTCACGATGGGTCTTGGCGTAATCCTTCTTTTAGCGATGTACTTGGGACAGTTGCCAATGGACTGTGTGATTGCCATTGCCATTTGGATGTTCGTCTTGGCCTTGTCCGTGATGGCCCCAGCGATCATCTTGCCTGAGATTTTGACTCTGTCCCTCGTCTCCGGCTCAAACGCCAGGCCCGCCATCAGCTTGTTTTCATGCTGGACAACATCACCCTCGCCATGATCGCCCGGCCCCCACAGAGCCTTGAACACTGGATCTGCGTCGGTGGCGACAGAGGTGTTGATGCCCAGAACGTCCTGCTGGATGGGGCGCGAGAAGCCGAGCTGCCCTCCCCAGAGCGTGGTCCACGGTCGGCCATCAGCATCAAGAGTGCCGACCGCCATGAGCGAAGAGTGGTTCACTCGGAGGCCAAATCTTGCGGGGAGTCCATAGTAGGTCGGGTTCCTGTGTGGGGGGATCTTGAGCGCCTTCTGGACGGCTGCCTCGCCCTGGTGCCATGTTTCTACCTGCGTCGACATTGCTGTGAATAAACCGAATCCTCCGACGGGCGAAGTTGTGGACAGACTCTAATTGATGGGAAGAGTCAGAGATATAGTGTCGGTGAGAATCTAGAGCGTGCCGTTGATGATACTATGACATGGCGTGGAATTTGCGGATTACAAAGCTCCAAATTGGCCAAGTTTCGTCCCATGTCATGTCAAAGGCGCGCTGATTCCATCATCCCGCCGCCATCTCTCCGTTTCTCCATTGGTGCGCCAGATCGCCAATTGCTGACCAACCACCGTGGCGTGCTTCATAACCATCCCGAATACCGAAATAGATGCTCTGCCCCGAGATAAACCTTATTTCGACGGAAACCTGATGTGATGCACGTCTCTCCAAAAGGTGGTCAGCAGGCCTTAGATATCAAATTTGTTTATTCATTTTGTAAGATTATCACGCTTCTCTCCAGAGGCAGCTTTGCCCGCCCAGATATCTTGTCCATATGGGTGCTTTGTGCCCATAATCCCAAGTCATGCCCCATATCGCCAGAGCGCCTATACGTGCTTCGTCGCATCATGCAGAATGGGCGTGCAGTTCGCCTATGAAATCCCAATATATCGCTTTCATGTCCCGAAAAGAGAGAGTCTATTCCCAGTATTGCCCCAACCAAAGCGTGGTGTGCTCAAAACACTCGATCTGTCATCCACGACGAACAGTTCGTCCTCATCTTGACTGAACCCCCCAGTCGGCGTATTTGCATCGTTATTCGTCCCGTCTAGATTGTCGAGTATATCCTCATCTCGCCTGTCGCCATCATTAGCGCCAGGTGCCTTGCCGTGCTCATCTTCGCCGGCAAAAGCTTCGCTAACATTGCTATATTGCGTCGCCTTGGCCCATGATAAGGTGGTCTGTTTCATCTTGCGCTTGGGCGTCTTCTTTTCCATCGGTTTCCAGGGCTTTATCTTCCTCTTTCCCTTTTTGAACCAGTTTCGTACCAGCTTTGGGGGTAGGTTCTCTTCCGGCTCCCATGATGGGTTCTGATCCTCGGGCCAGTTGCCTTCCCAGCGTACTTTGAAGTACCGAACGATATCCCCGCTTTCCGCTTCGTACTCGTTGCAATCCTCGATTCGCTCTACTACCCACTCTCTTTCTTCATCTTGCCTGGCAGGGGGGGCTGGAAGATGAGACGAGACTCTTTTCTTTTTCTTCCCCACCTTTTCAGGTGTCGTTTCTTTTGTGTGATCTAATAGTGTCTCCAAGCCAACTTGCTGAGGAGCTTCAGGCAGCGGTATCGGAGAGCTGCGTGAGGAAACATCGTTGGATGAAAAATGCGGAAAGGTTCTGTTTGCACCAAATGGTTTCCAGGGTGCCAAATTGGGTTCTTTGGAATTATCATTAAGCGTTGCTTTAGTAGCAAGACTCGAGGAAAGTTCCGCCGCAGCAGGAGTAAACTGCACAGCCGGCTGGTCCCAAAATTCCAAGTTATCTGATACCAATTCAGGTTGCTCCTCCAGCGACTGATCGCTCGGCGATACCGAAGGCAGCTGAGTCTGTACCTCCTCCTCGGCGTCATAGAACTCCTCCACCTCCATCATCTCCTGCCCACTCTGCGAATCGGAAACGTCCTCCATGCCCTGGACAAGCCTCCCAGCCAGCCTCGTGGGGCTCACGTCGTCGCCATCCAAGCCCTCGAATTCCTTCAAAAGATTCTTCTTAGGTGTCGTCGAGAGCGCAAGGGCACCCCCTTTAAGCGGCGCCTGCGCGTCGTCGTCCGTCTCCATATCAGCCGTGGAGGTGGGCTGCAATCGCGGTCGTCCTCGTTTGCGCTTCTTGGTCGGCTGCGCCTGTCCGCTGTGCGCCTCGGCTGCTTCCTTCTCCCTCTGCTGCAGCTCCTCCCACTCCCTGTCGATCTCCTCGCGCTCGATGTCCAGCCTCGCCTCGTTCTCCGACTCCCACTTCTCAAGCGCCGCGGGCGAAACGTAATCCAGCACGTCCATCACCGGGACCGTCATGCTCGCCGCTGGGAGATCACGCCACCCGATGACGTATATCATCCGTTTCGGTAGCGGCTTCCCATCTTTTTCTGCGAGGCCCTTTGGCGGGAGGAAGAGGCGGCTCGTGATGTAGGCGGTAGAATCTTCGGGCGGGAGGAGGGTCACACGAGGGGCCGGGGGGCCTGAGTTGGGGACATAGTCGCGCGGTTTCGAGTTCAGGGCGATCACGAGGCGCCCCTTTGAAGGGCCCGCTGGCGTGGCATTGGGTTGAGCTCTCGGTCTTGGTAATGTTGGCGGCGTGGCCGCCATTTCGCGTACGGCGTGTCTCGTGGGGAAGAAGCTAGGCGCGCGCGCGTAGCAGGTCGTTACAGGAGTGAAGGACGGGCTCCGTATGATTTGTTGATCAGTGCCGCAACAGTCTGGCACATGAGTCCCGAGGGGGGCATTCTCCAGGTGAATCGGAGACACCTTCGTGTGAGCTCGCGTCGAGAAGGAAGAGGTGGATCTTCAGTAACTGGATGCTTCTGGGGATAATTCAAAACAGGCCAGCAAGTTCAGAATTTAGGTAGCTAGGGTAGTTCGCTTAGTCAGCATCGACGCTAGCAGTAATTCTAAAATATATAACAATATAGCGTAAAGGTATTAAAAAGATATAAAAAATAACCTATTTTTATCTTTAATTCTTAATTTATTTAGTTATTAATCTATTTTAATATCAAGTATTTTAAAAAATTTCAAATTAATTATTCTAGCTTTGAAATTTTTATAATAAATGCTGGCCCTGGTTGAATACCTAATTACCAGCTATGAATGTAAATGGAATTCTTTAATGCTACTGGGTGATGTGCACTGGGAAAGCCTCTAGCTGAAACCTCCAAGTTATTTAGGGGTCATCGGCCTGGCGTTGGGCGCTGTCCGAGGTTGGGCAGGGGATTCAAGCGCTATAACAGAGAATTAGGTACCGAGTTACAGTGCCTCACAAGAATTCTCCAAGAATTCTCGGTGAATGAGTCAGCCGCACTGCGTCTACGAAGGTCTGGGCTCGAACCTTCTATCGAGCTTTTGGTATACTTAGGAATTTTTTAATCAAAGATTTGTCTTGCAAAAAAAAAAAAATCTCGGCGTGTTAATTAAAGTGGCTTTATTGTATATAACCTCAAAAGTATTTCCTTCTAGCTGTTCGCGTCAACTCACCTTTTTTCCATCACATTATCATCCTACCCTATACATCGGATTATACTTAAAAGAACTCAAAATCTTCAGTTCTTTTATCGTGTTAGATAACTCCATCAGTCTCCATCCTTGCAAACTCATATGAATAAAATTAATTTCAAAATAGAAAATGCATAATCTTGGCTGTTCATGCATGTGAGAAAGACCCAGCAAGAGAGGAGAGGAGATTTCTTCGCCATGGTGTAAGGTGGCCCAAGCAGATGATCCAGATTCTGTACCAAGATGACGGTCAAGGATAAACCCTGCCGACCAACGGAAATTCAAACCTCAACTTTCTGACTTTCGGAATTTTAGAGTATTAATTCCATGGAGATGGGGTCTAGGTTTGAACTTCACGGGCACTTTTGGCCACTTGCTGCTCAGCAGATGAATTAGGGAGCGTCCTCGCTTCACCACGCTCAGAATGCAAAAGAAGGCATTGGAATTCCTCCCAATCAACAACACGACGTTCCTTGAGCCGATCTAGATTCTACGCCAAGCCGCTTCGTCTTCCCGGGCGCCTCTCTCAACTGGGCTTGATTCTACGCATAAGCTTGCTCTTGAGTCGCGTGCACAAGAGGAGGTGGTATGGCCTCGGGCATTAGGGAAAACCCCGACAAGACCTGCAAAAGTACGGAGAAGCCGCTGCTTGCGAGGGAAGGCTGACGCGGAATTGGCTTGGAAGGATGCAGTGGTTGGAGGTTGCGAGTGCCAGCCCGACAGAGGTCTATCCATTGGATGAGTGGAGCGTTGTAATTTTGGAAGATGAAGTCGGGTTTCCATTCCCCCCTAGCCGCCTCCGTCTACAAGTATGGGCAAGATGTTAAAATCTCCAATTTAGTCGGAGCTGTAACAACAGCAGAGGTCACAGTGGTTATTATGGGTACGGCTTGCTCAATATACTCTATAGCGAGAATAGCGTATGGTGTAGTGTATGTTCTGATTGAGGATGATTCCCGGGGCGTTATGAGAGCGTTGGTCTAGGTAGACGAATGTTTTCAGCTGTTTGCGTTTATTCTGAGTAGCAGCAGATGTCTCATACATGCGCGTTTCCAAGCAAGACTATCTCTTGAGTCATCTAGTATCCAACATGAGCTAAAGCTTAAGGCTCATAACACCTATTCTAGTTATTATGACCACACTTCCCTTGGACTGAATTCTCCTACCCTAAATCGCTCCCGTCGGAGAAATAGCGATGGTCATAGAGCATGGAGATTTGACTTCGATCTGATGGCTGCGTGGTGACCATTTTTCGGATCAGACCTAGGAATGTCTCATGATCAGGCTCACTCTACAGTTTATCACTCCAGGCCTTGGCCGTATCGAATACGGGCTGTTTCCAGATCTCAGTATCGAGGCCGGGCTTTTGCGTCCTCAAGAAGTCAGACCAGTCTTTAGGTGGTTCACCACCTAAACACAAGGCATCGTAAAGTTGTGACTGGAGATTGCCCCATGATGACACCATACGCCCTCCCCTCAATTGGTATATCTTCACGTGTTGTTCAGTATACATCTACAGCACCTGGGGTGAGATGAATTGGAAATTTGACTCACCATGCATCCAATCGCCCAAATATCGGCTTCTTTGCTCCAGACCGACCCAATTTGTCTGTTGGATAGCATATGCAAAACGACTTCAGGTGGCCGATTCGCGACTGGTTTGGCACCTGGTAGGTCTGAAGGAATGCCATCTGCCCAGCATGCTAATTCTAATTAGTTATGCACGTCTGTTCGCCAAACTTTCAAATAGAAGTGCATGTATGATTTGAATATCTCATTCAATGGCTACTTAATCTAGTAATCTCCCATTGGAGAAACCCTAATCACTGAATTTCAGGTTTCTTTAAAGCAGTGTGACTACCTATCAAGCTTCTGGAATGACGAAACTTGTGATAGCTACCTCGGTGCCTTTTGAGTCTATATAACATGGTAGCGAGCAAATGAAGAGCGTGTGATTCGACGACCGAAGTGAGCAACGTCGTAGATTCGAGAAGGGACTTTTTCCACCGGTTGACCTGTAAACCCCGCTGGGTTCATCCATCCTCTCCCACTGTTTTAGTTCCACTCCTGCTCGAGGAACTCTCGGATCACGTCAGAGACGGGAGTGGCCTTGATCTCCAGACACCCAAACTTGCAGTCAGCCGGGCACCTCGGGATGTGCCCGTCAGGCAAACCCTGCTGCTCGCACAGCTCCCGCCGGTGCTGGGCGAGCCGGGCGTAAGCCTCCCATTTCTGGAGGTTTATGGTAACATGTTGGTGCTTGCGGAAGAAAACTTCCCAGACGCGCTTTAGTCGCGGGTTGCTCATTGATGAGAGGAGGGTGTTCCAGGAGAAGCAGGCCAACTTGTAGGAGCCCTCGTGTGTGGCCTCCCAACTCCACTTCTTGCGGTTCAAACCGAGGCACTTGGACAGCATCTCTACCTCGTTTTTGCGTGCCTCTTCCACCTCCTCCCTGCTGTGAGGTTCGAGATGGTACAAGTCCATAATGTAATGCTTCTGAACCGGCCAGTCCTCGTTGTATGGGACCTTGTCGAATGAGATGGCAAGTTGATCCGGCGCAATGTATGCCACGAACTCGCGCTTGGGAGAATTATCGGGAGGAGTGCGGCAGCCAGGATCCGGGCTTGGCAGGTCCGATTCCGAATCATCTTCTGCAAGCTCATCGTCTGCAAAATAATTCACAGAGCCGGAAGAGGGAAGATCGACTGAATTGGAAGAGTGGGAGGAAGTGCTCGGGCTCGACAAGTCCAATCGCGTTTCATCCTCGGCGATCCAATGGAGTTCTCCAGAGGAGGGAGCATAAAATGGAAACTCCTTGTTTCGGAGCAACCGGTAAGCTTGGGCGGAATGAGCCAAGGAGACGAACTCAACGGTGAGCGCCGCGGATCCGGGGTTGTGGTTGTAGTCGGCATGTACGACTGCCTTCTCGCCGCCCACGGCGCAAATGAAGAACCAGACAGCGTTGATCGGGAAGTTGTCTATCTTGAATCGACGAGTGACATTTTTGAATGCCGAAGCGAACTTGGACCGGTGGGTTCGGCCAGGGACAAGCCACACGTCGGCAGTGCGGCGGGTTTCGCTGTCCTCATACTCGAGGTAAAAGTTCGAGTTGGCCGACCAAGCGAAGGTTGCGGCTGAGTTGGCCGACACGAACTCAACGCTGGCAGATTTGGTTCCCTGGCCGTCGACCTTGGCCGTGTCGAAGAGAAACACATCGGCGACTGGGCCGAAGCCGCGGACACCCCTAAGAACCTGGGCGATACTGACTCCGGATGGAAGGTTACTGATGGTTATTCTGCGGCTCTCATTGGGCTTATCGTGGTCGAGCACAGACTTGCTTGAGCGGCGAATCATCTGGATGGGCATTTCTTGGCGTAGACGCGCAAGAAATTCCTAATCTCTTGCACTGCTTTCCTCGAAAGCCATTGTTGGTGTTCCGAAGCAAAGTATTGAAAGCTAGTAGAGAAAGCTGATGCGATGAAGTCTTGAAGTAGCAGAGCGTGATGAGCGCTTCAGGTTCTGCCCTCAGAAGTGTGAGAAGCAGAATGCAGAACGAAGGTGGAGAAAGCAGGAGAAAGGAAGGAGCGGCAAGGAGAGCAGGAATATTTCCAATCTGCGAGAGGGTTGTGCGCTATTGTGCGGGAGCCGTGGCAAAGGGGCTCCAGGCATCATGTACTTGTGTCGAAGAGTCTCTCAGGAGCCCAGCAAGACATATGGCAGACATCCCTCCCAACATCAAGGAGTCACAACGACACCAGGCCGCAACTCATAGATAGCTGATTCCACCTCGAAACATGGTGTGTTTCCCCTCAAATAGGCATTTCGGCATCTGCTCTCGTTCGAAACAGGTTTTCTGGTACACTAGAAAGGGAGAGGTTAGCCTGATAGTTCATGCTCAGACAAGGGTACATACAGTTGTACTACTCAGTAGGTGTCCACTCCAAACCAACTCAAGGTCAGTTGAAACTCCAAACAAATGTCCCAACCATAATAAAATAGACGAAAAGCTCTAATATGTCCATGTGCAATGGGATTATGCACATTGAAACTACTTCCTATGTTGCACGTGTGTTGAAAACACATCTGTTGAAATTGTGCCGTGTTGGGACCGACAAGCGATGTACTGTAACTGGTGTGTAGGTCTTGGTCAGGGGTTCGAAGTAATAGCCCCAAATATTCTGAGCCTGGGGTTGATGAAGACTAGCCACCATGGGACAGGTTGCCATGTTCGTTCGCCCAAGGCTTGGAAAGGCGTGACGAGTTGCTACGTCTTGTCTTCCTAGGAACTTGTTGAGTCTTTTATCCAAGATTATCAGCGATGAGGGATATCTGTCATCCATATATGGAAGTGCAATACTCCAAACGGTTCGGTCGCATAAGCAGCGATGCCCCAAGGCCGTTCGTAAGCTCATCAGGCCCGAGGGCTCTTTCGCAGGATGAAGAAACGCGGTTGGGCCTCAACCATGGGAAGGTCACTTGGTGTGAATGAAGCTTCTCATGGTCCTTTATCTTGGTAGCCTCGGAATCGGGTCTTTGGTGGCCTGGTGCAGGCATCATGATTTTCATCTCGCCACTTTTCGAAAGGCGCGAGGATGCTTGGGAGCTTCCTGCGGCTTTTTCGTGGTCTGCCTCAGTACCATCGCGATGATCCCTCTCTCTTCTGAATACTTCATTCCGAATGATGCTTAAAGGTTTTTAAAATGCTTTCTTTCTCGTATTCGATGATTTCGAGTCGCGGGAGGGTTGGTAGTGCTTCGGGCAAAGGACGTTTGTTGGCTCGGGGGGATGACTTGGAAGATGTGTCAGGTTTTGGATGAGTAAATATTGGAGCAAGGATGAGGAAAGATGCAGACTGGTGATGAAGAAACTTGGAACCGAGAGGCTTCAAGACTGACCTGGTCGATCTTGCAAAAGTTTGAGGAATGGAGACGAGTAGTGTGATGTGTGTGCCGATGCTGATCAATGTTGGTCCTGTTTTTCTTGAAAAGAGTGCAGAAGTGAGCATCTTCCTGTGAAGCAAGTCGATGTGGAATGGAATCAGACAAAGATGAGGGATGAAGAAAGGCAAGAAGTAGGGGGGCGGGGAAAATAACAACGTAAACAATGACTGGGTGGTCCCTACGCACTGTTCATGAAAACACCACGAGCACCGTGCACACTTCTAGAAAATATTAAAACGAGCTATCATACTGTTACTAACTACGAGTATGTTTTGGAACACATGAAAGGGTTTGTGGGGTGCGAGTTGGCTCTGGATACAGCGAGGGTAAGGGGTGGTCACCTGGAGCACTACTGTCACCTTCGCGTCGCGGATACACGAACAACAAAAAGCCATCACCACTATGAACATGATATTGGGCATGCAATGTTTCTATAGGAGGTTTATTTATGCAATTTTCTTAGGCTGGGGAAGCATTGTCCAGGGAATGATCAAGTAACGCGCTCGCGCCCACTGACCGTGACACGATTTTCCGCCTCACCGTTCGATCTTGGAAAGAAAATACATGGACATGCAGTTCAAATGAGCATCATTAAAGCTTTTCCTAATAATTTTAATGCGAATAAAAAAGTATGTTGGTCGTGATTGTCGTGCGTTCAAGAGGAGGGAAAGGGGGCAAATGATGTGAGCCTGGGTAGAGTGGGAGTGACTCACTGCTTTGGGTCAAAAACACCAATTCAATCTATTCTGTGAGTTTCAGTGGCTTCATATGCGCATTACTTGGATCAAGGCTGCTACTAGCAGGCGGGGGTTGAGGGGATGCTGTGGAGGGAGGCTGTAGAGGGATGCCTGGGGAGGAAGCCAAGAGCGGCCGGCCTGCCAATTTGCAGGACATGAAACCCAAAGCATTTTGACAAGCTAAAACACCGAAAAAAGACTTAACGAGAACGAATAATCATATCAGGATTCCACTTGGGAGGAGGATACATTGGAAAGCGTGGACTTTTGGGCGCAGACAGCCTTGATGGGATGTACTGTCCACTGGAATAGGGACATTCTTCTTGAGGCTCGTGCCCAATTTTCTCCGCAATATTTGGGACTTTATTTATTCCTATTAAGTGACATATATTTTAGATCTAATGGATTCGTCCTGGGCGCAGAACATCCCCCATGGGTCTACCATGTAGGACTTCATCGCCCCGTCTCGTCCCATGAGGTGCTGAATACCGATGAAACATGAGTAGCCCGACGTATGATACTGAAGGTCGATTCACCACTCAGAGGAATTATGTACAATATTTAGGGGGACTTTGTTGAGCGGTTGCCCAGTACCACCTGCCCATCCTTTCACTGAACAGTCGTTGCACTGCTGTAACCACCTCTGCACAATAAGTAAAATAGAGGCGTGCCTGCTTAGAGACCGCCTGGAAATAATACTATAATACCTGAATAGGTACCCAGGCGGCAGATAAAATCGGTGGGCTTGGATTTGCTGCGGGTGACGCGCATACAAAATCCCACTTCTCCCCTCTCCCTCCCCCCCTCTCCTTTCTTCTTTCATCCCCACACCAACTTTGGCCTCAACCATCAACCACAACCATCGACTTCATTCCTTCCTTGGTAAGTGCACATCTATATCATCGTATTCATCTGCTTGGCGGAGTTCGGAACAAGCTTCTACCCGTAGAAGATCCCTCTACCAAACCCCAAGCTGCAACTTTCCCAGACACACACTCCTTGTTTGAAGCCGCAGAAGACAAAATTCCTTTCTTTCAACTTCATTCTACCCTCCTTAGAAGTTTTTAGATCCCTTTCACCATGTATGATGCTTTTCTAGAGATTAACCTTCCCTAAAAACTAGGGAATCTAGAGTGACAGCCACGGTCGCAGCTCCTCACACGATCACCTCCTCGCTTTTGGAACAACAACGCGACTCTGCAAGCTACTCAAGTCATCAGGTAAGGAAAGCATATCATCAAATTTTTTGTCTCAACTGATTCTGAACTTCATTTGATGACCTTGGGCAGGTTTTCCTCGCCTCGTTTGGTCGCAAAAGCGATCATTTCACTTTGGTTTTCGGCCTAGATCCCCTACCCCTCTTCTCCCCTCCAAAGCCTCATTCTTCTTTCACCCACACGTTCACCCCTGCTGCCTTTTATTTGCGAAAGAAATTTGTTTCACTTCTATTTTCTTCTCATGATCTGCCACGAAATTGCCGACGGGCCAGAAACCCAAAAGCTGCCACCATGAAGTCCACTCAGGCACTTGGCTGGGTCAAGCTCTTCTGGAACGCCCCCTTATCTTCCCTTTCCTTCATGAACACGCGAAGCACAATAATTCACTTTCACTCCACTCGAGACAAACAACCTCGGGGCCCTGGAACTGAGGGTCAGGAAAAAGTCAACTTCGATGAGCTCGAGAACAAATCGACCAAGCCAAACGCACAGCATCCCACCCCCAAGAACGAGCATCGTGGCCAGTCCAAACCGCATGAGAATGAATCTACCCAGGCACCTCCTACTCACGGAACTTCCAAGAATCACTGAGCTTCTGTCGAGAGAGCACATTTCAAGGTAGTAAAGCAAAATTTTCCTCTTCACCTCCCACCCCAAAACAAAACCCTCCATTTGAGAAAGGAGTCATTTCTGGCTGCCTAAATTTGCCTTTCTCTTATCTTCGGTAAGATTCTCTACCTTTTCATCTTTTTTCCTGCGCTTTTCTTATCATCTGTTTTAGGATGGCTTTCGGAATGAGGCCCCTGAAACCGACAACCTTGCCTCCGTCATCAAAATAATACCCTCTCTTGAAGAACGAGGGATTTCTGGCTGCCTAAATTTCCCTTTCTTTTATCTTCGGTAAGCTTCTTTACCTTTCTACCTTTTTTTTCCTGCCCTTTTCTTAACATTTGTTTTAGAATGGCTTTCGGAATGAGGCCCCTGAACCCAACAACCCTGCCACCGTCATCTTCACAAGCACGTCTCTCAAACTTTCAAGAATATCTTCTCTTCTCTTTTGCGCATATCTACACACAATACACATGATTTCATCATAACCCACAATCTACTGCTGTTAGAAGCTTCAACTCGAAGTTTCTCGGAGTGATCTCGTCCGCTACAACCCCTCGACCAAAGTTTGCACTCGACCACGTCAAACCCACGAATGAGAGCCGCAAATTCATCATCAACAATCTTTCATTTGGCCTTCTCTGAATGAATTCTGCCAAAGTATCGTGTCTTTTGGCAGCGTTACTACAGAAGAGAATTTCATGTGGCAGCCCCTGTGGCCGCGACACCGCCCCCAGCCTACGCATCCGCCCCTGAGGTACAACTCCCCGTTCTTCTCCCCAACTGCCTTGAAAAATTGCTAATTTTTCCTCTCGGATCTAGAAGATTCTAATCTCATCCTTCTGACACAATAATCACAATGAATTGGTGCGGAAACCAGGGTTTCTTAGGGCAGTTGCCCTCGTTTTCACACCGCTGGGCGGGAGTTGGTGGCGCGGGTCACCCCCAAACAACTCCTTCTTCCACCCTCCACCCTCCACCTTCTCTCTTCTGCAACTCACCACCCACACACTCCTTCAAGCCCTTCATACTACTTCAAGCCTCTTGCACTTCATCATTCATCCATCCTTTCATTTAATGAATGATCATAGCACCCAACACACTTCATAACATCCTCAGCATACATCATCCTACTCTTGATGTTGTTGCTGTCTGCAACTCATCGTCGCATGGCCTTGACCTTCACCAAAGCTGAGCATCAAAGAAAGGAGCGACACCCTCAAGCAACTTCACCCTCTTGGTCTGACTAAGGGTTGCTCTATTGAACGAAGTCATACCTAGTTGTTCCTTGGTGGCTTCGGTTTCATTCTACACACATCCTTGGCAAAGAACCCTCTCTCATCATAGCGAGTGGAGATGCCTCCATCACTTCTTCCTAGCGATAAATTCATTCGTTTCATCTACTCATTATAAACTCAGCGAGACTTCTCTTGTCAACATCGCCTCTTCATCACTTCTACCCATACCTCCCGTTGTGTCTTGTACCAACAACTTGTTCTTCATCATCACACTACATACTGTCATGAGATGCTGTAACCAAGCATTCATCCAGCTCTATGGTCTACCAAATGAACCCCTTGAGTTTTCAAGGCATACTGTTTCCTCAAAGACCGGAAACCAAAGAACCCTCTTATAAGTTTCCTTGCTGGCAGTGGCGGCAACAACACTCCTCCTCTCCCCTGATCGAGATGAGCGATGCGATACCAATACACCTGAACTTGAAAAAAAAAACATCAGCGTCAATCACACACATACCTCCCTTCCATTGCAGACATGTCTCAAAGGATGATTTTCAATCTCACACTCGCGCCTGCTTACACTCTCATTACTTCCATGGCTGTCTCATGAATCACTGAGGGACCTCAAGCCTACGGAGTATCCCGACCCAAAGCCAACCCTCGCAACGAAGAACCTCACTGAAATAGAATTGCACCATCGCTTAAGGATGTGGCACGGGCAATTCTATCTGATGGTCGTCCGCAACAATCTTTTCTCTGCGGCGCCAAGGGGAGGGAGATCCGATTGAATGTGGTATCTAGAGCATTGTATCGACGCCTAAGCATGGGGCATGATCAATCCTCGACAATGATACCAGCATCCTCCGTGACCACCTCCGGTAGCTCCCCGACCGGTTGCTCCGAAACAAGGAGTTTCCATTCTATGCTCCCTACTCTGGATCTCTCCATTGGATCGTGGAGATGGGTTTGGTGGTTAGAGAATTGCCTCAACGCTTGAGTATGTGGCATGTGCAATTCTCGGTGATCCACGGAGCTGGCGAAAGCTGCCAGACGGCGGCAAGAAGGCGGTTCCTCATCGGAGCCATCCAGTTCTTCGATGGTCAGAATAATAGTGGTCTCCATTGGGCAGCCATCATCTTCGACCGACAGGCCGGTACTCTGTATTATATTGATACACTCGTTCCTGGCAGAGAGGAACGATTCAAAGCTGCCTGTTGCTCAGTGCGAAGTTTCTGGACCTAGCAAGGTCATCCATTTACGTTTACCGCAATCTGCCTGAACCTTACATCGCAAGACAAGCCGGGCTCCTCTGGCAATCTTCACACTCTGGATGATGACAAGAGGCCTTGTGGGTCGTGATATCCGCGCCGTGGATCTGACTCAAACGCTCCCTGAGGATTGATCAACGCCAAAGTATGTGGCACGGCAATCCAAGATGGCACCACTACGGTGTTCGTTCTCGGCGACGTTGCAGCAGAAGGGCACTCCTTCTACGAGAGTGACATCGCCAAAATGAAATATGTTACGATCGAGGATCGTAACCCTGGCTTCTGTTGGGTCGCCGTGATCAGTGAGTGACGGTGGTGGTGTCTGAAGATTGCCCAACGCCTAAGTATGTGGCAGGGTAATCTGATGGCACCACCATGGTGTTCGTCCTTGGCGACCTTACGGTAGAAGGACACTCCTTCCACGGGAGCGACGTCGCCAAAATTCAATATCTTACGATCGAAGGTCGTAATGCCGGTTTCTGTTGGACCGCCGTGATCAGTGAGTGACGGTGGTGGTGTTCTGAAGATTGTCCAACGCCTAAGTATGTGGCAGGGCAATCTGATGGCACCACCATGGTGTTCGTCAGCGGCAATGTCGCCGTAGAAGGGCACTCCTTCTACGAGAGTGACATCGCCAAAATGAAATATATCACCATCGAGGGCCGCAACCCTGGTTTCTGCTGGGTCCCGGACACATTCAACCTCCAACCTGGGCCAGCATCAGGAGCTTTAGGAATCCTTGCCTCACTAGCCAAAGACCTCAAAGCTATTTTTATGCACAGCAAGTTGTCAATCAGTGCCTCCGAGGACCCTGAGTTCCTCGCTCAGGATCTCGAGATGTTCCAGATTCCTGAATTCGTCGAAAGCTCATCCACGCCGAGTCTCCCCCAAGGAGTGTGTCTGCACTGATCCCGCCGATGGGTGGCATCGAGAGGATTGCCCAACGCCTAAGTATGTGGCAGGGCAATCCTCGAGGGCGACACGGACCGTATCGCACGCCTCTTCAGTACTTCGTTTCAACGGCAGAGCGGCACCTCGAGTTGATCGTCAACGGCCAATTATACCCAGAATATGCCAAGGAAGCCTTCGCCTTCTATAGCCTGCTCCGAGACAAAGCTGCCCCGGTCTTGACGAAGCGATCCGGAGACGACCGAAAGTTTTGGATTGCCCAACGCCTAAGTATGTGGCAGGGCAATCCCCGAGGACGACACCGCCAGGTTAGCCAGGAATCGGAATCCTTCAGCCACCTCCCAGCGGACCTGATCGAGTCCTTCGTCCAGAACGAGTACGCGACTCTCAAATGGCTTTCGAAAACTGGCATACCTGTTCTCGAAGCTCACGGATATGGTCTTGCAAGCGACCCATCCAACCACGTGGGCGTCAGTTATATGTTCCTTTGTGTCATGCCAGGCAAGCCTCGCAACACTAGCTATAGATCTCAAGGCTGTGTTCGTGCACAACAAGTTGACGTCCCTGGCCGAACCCACCGGTCCAAGTTCGCTTCGGCATTCAAAAAGCTCACTCGTCGCTTCAAGACCACCAGCGCGTCTGAGGATCCAGTGCGAATCGCACAGAATCTGGACATATACATGACACCAAACCCATTCGCTGAGCGAGGTTTGAGAGGATTGCCCAACGCCTAAGTATGTGGCAGGGCAATCCTCAAGGACGACACCACCAGGTTAGCCAGGAATCTCCAGCCTAGGTCGGCTTCAGGAGCCCTTTCGATTCTTGCAACCTTGGCCAGGGACATCAAGGCTGTCTTCGTACAACATAAATTGAGCATCAGCGCCTCCGAAGACCCAGTGCGCATTGCACAATATCCGGACATATACGTAGCCCCGGATCCATTCGTCGAGTGAGGATTGGACAACGCCTAAGTATGTGGCACGTCCATCCTCTGTGCCTAGAGGGTCATCATCGGCGGCCAAGGTCGAAGGCCAAGGCACCAAGTCTGCCAGCATTGAGTTCGAGTCTGCCAACTCAGCCGCAACCTCTCAGGGTGTCCGCGGCTTCAGCCCCGTCGCCAATGCTTTTCTCTTCGACACGGCCAAGATCGAAGAAGTTATCCTCGTATGCAATGGTGGCCGACGCCTAAGTATGTGGCATGTGTCTCCGCTATGACGGCACCACCAGTTCCCGTCTCATCTTGCCGACTCGAAGAACAACTGAGGTGATAACTTTGGTGGCTGGTTCTGAGCTCGTGGTGCTGAGAGAATTGATCGACGCCTAAGTATGTGGCAGACAGTTCTCGACGACGCACCACCACTTGGATTCTGGCTCCTCCACCAGCTACTAATCCAGCTCGGCCACCACCACCACATCTCAGCACAAAGGCTGCTGTCCAAACCCCAACCATCTTCGCGCCAGAGCGAGTGACAGAAGAAGGGCTTGTCCGCTGGGACAAGCAGGCTGTTTGGTCCTTCCAGGGGATGGACCCGCACACCATCTCCCAGGTGTGCAAAGACTCGAGAGATATAGTGCAGAAGCAAGCATTGTATTGCTCTCCGGGGGAAGGTCGATACCCCCATCACGACCAAGGGGCCGGTCGTGTACGCGAACATCAACACCACGATGTTTCCCCTATTACAACCAAGAAACAGATCGTCTGCGCCCTGATGTTGGCGATGCGGAGAGACTGCCAGCGCCTAAGTATGTGGCAGTGCAGTTCTTGATGAAGGCATCAATTGGTCCTCCCAAGGGATGGACCCGCACACCCTTAGCCAGGTGTGCAGAGACTCGAGAGACGTGGTAAAGAAACACTGCGTCACTATCCGGGGGAAGGTCGACACCCCCATCACGACCAAGGGACCGGTCGTATACGCCTGGATGTTGGCGATGCTGAGAGACTGCCGACGCCTAAGTATGTGGCAGTGCAGGTCTTGATGAAGGCATCATCATTCCCCAGAAGATCCCCCGCTCAAGCAACTTTGCCCTCGACCACGACAAACCCGAGAATGAGAGCCGCAGAATCGTCATAAGTAACGGAAGAGTCGAAGGACCTTGGAAAGAAACTGACTTCTTTCCACCTGTTCAACATGTTCCCGCAGGAGCTCCAAGATGAGATCTGGACAGCAGCTGTCTCCGCCGCCACTGGTAGTACCTCGGCGGGTGGTTGAGAATGATGAAGTTGGCGACGTCTAGAGAGCTGGCCGACGCCAGAGTACGTGGCATGGCAGCACGACTGGAGCGCGTCGGGAGAGTTTTCTTCCTCAAACACCAAAACATCACCATCAACCTGCAGAATGGGAGGACTACGCCCGAGCCGGCGGGTCTGAAAAGACAGGCCTCTCCCGAAACACCTTACATACCTTTCGTTACGATACCAGCGAGGATTTTGAGACGGAAGGTGCCTCAGATGGAAAGCCATCGGCTCTGAAAGGACACGCCTCTCCTGTTTCTCAGCACGATGAATATTGTTCCGAGCCCAGCAAGGATCAGACTATTCTGCAGAATGGACAAATGGCGAAGTGTCCCACTGACTGCAAGTTTGATTGTGTGGGAACCAAGGAAATGGAATTGATATGGTCAAGAAGAAATCGCCTCAATGGAGTTGTCCTCTTAACCCAACCATCACACTTCTCTCAGCAGTAAGTAGCCCAGCATTCCCTCTATCGCAACATCAGTGTATGTTCTTTCTTCGGATCTTACGAACATCTTCTCATCATTTTCCAGTGAGAACAAACATCTGCCTTTGCTGGAAGCAAGGCCATCCTCTCTCTCATGAACGATTCGGTCTGGGATCTGGAGTTGAGTGCGGAAGATGGAGATGCGGAGAGGACCGACTAACGCCTAAGTATGTGGCATGTCGGTTCTTAACGATGCATCGTCAACCTCGTAACCTGACGGTACGCTGGGTGAGTCGATTCAGCTTGTCTTCTGCTCAATTTCCCTCGGTCAGTCTGCTAATGAATGAAAGGCAGTCCACGCGATAGAGACCGCTTGACGGGGTCGACGCTCGGAGAGCTAACCGACGGCAAAGTATGTGCCATGGTAGCTCTCCGGCGTTCGACCTCTCAACGCCGGCTGGCTCTCCCGTTTCGTGGGCTATAATGGCCCGGAGATCAATGACGAGCGACGGTGGCTGAGAACACCGAGAACGACCCTGTTCCAGTGGCCGAGGCGACCATCAATCCTCTCCCCAAGCTGGGGATCCACCGCCCAGTCCGAAAGGACCTTGGAAAGAAGCTTGCTTCTTTCCACCTGTTCAACCAGCTCCCACAGGAGCTGCAAGATGAGATTTGGTCCGCGATGAGGTTACCGATGACGAGGGTAACAAGATTTGCCGGCCCCCGCCAGCCATGACGGAAACTCAGGCGTTGCTGACTTCCCGGCAGGAGGAGATGGAGGACTACGAGGCAGCTATGCTGGCCGCCTGGCCAGAAGAATGGATGTAGACTCTACCCAGCAACAGTCCATCCGACCGGAAGTGCAATATCACCTGGTCATTCTTCGAGGAACGAGTTCACCTTATCCTGTCAATGAACAAATCAAGAACAAACACGATGATGAGCGGTAGTGTATGGGGGCTTGACCGGCGGCAAAGTATGTGCCATGGCAGCCCCCAAACGGCGTTCGACCTCTCAACGGAGATTTATTTGCGTATCTCTCTCGATTTGTGGGGTATAACGGCCCCCGAAATCAACGACGAACGGCGCTTCACTTACGTGCAGCATAAAGAGAGAGAACTCTCGAAGATCCTCTTCATTGCCGAGGACGAACTCGCCAACGGCTCCCCGCTGATCCATTTCCTGCCACTCTACGGTACAACTCTCTACTCTCGTCACAAGCATTCTCTCAACTTCTCGAATCCTGGGTCACAAGGAAACAAACGGAATACAAAAAGAACAACTTTGTTGCGCTCTGCCTCGAGTTCACTTTCTCAGGTATAAACGGGAGTACTTCGCCGACACCAACGAGGAGCGAAGCATTGAGCATGTTGCATGCCACCACGAGCTCAAACCTCGTGATGAGGTTACCGATGAATGAATTAAGAACAAACTCGACAATGAGGGGGGTTGACCGCCGGCTAAGTATGTGCCATGGCAACCCCCGAACGGCATTCGACCGCTTAACGCCGATTTGTTCTCATATCTCTCTCGCTTCGTGGGCTACAATGGCCCTGAGATCAACGACGAACGGCGCTGCACAAGAGAGAGAGCTGTCAAAAATCCTCTTCGTGGCTAAGGGTATCTTCGCCAATGGCTCTCTAGCAATCCTCTTTCTTCCGCTCTTCTCCCCATGCCGGGAGTACTTTGCCGACGCAAGCCAGGAGAGAAGCATTGAGCATGCTGCCTGTCATCACGAGCTTATCTCCAGGGTCAAAACTGCAGTGGCATCGTCGCAATGAAGATTTGGAATGAAATATCCTTGTGATGAGGTTAGTGTCTAGGGGGTTGACCGACGGCTTAGTATGGGCCATGGCAATCCTTCGGTGATGACACTGACCTTCGCGACGGCAAAGAAAGAGAGCTGTCGAAAATCCTCTTCGTCGCCGAGGATGCCTTCGCCAATGGCTCCCCGCCAATCCACTTTCTGCCGCTCTACTCCCCGTACCGGGAGTACTATGCAGATGCCAGCGAAGATCGACCCATTGAGCATGCTGCCTGTCACCACGAGCTAAGACCTCGCGATGGAGTTAGTGTCTAGGGGATTGACCGACGGCTGAGTATGGGCCATAGCAATCTTTCGATCATGACACTGACCTCCGCGACAGGAAATCAGTACCGACAGGATCGCGCGTCTGGGAGCAGATAGCTTTCTCGCCGAACTTGGGAAGGAATTGGAGAATACCACGCTTGGTGCTTCGAGTGCAGGCAGTGTATAGGGGGTTGACCAACGGCTAAGTATGGGCCATGGCAACCCCCTTCGATGATGGCATACAAAGCACACGAGAAGGATCGTGTATGGATGCAAAATCAAGTGCTATCAAGAGCCCCCAACTGGCAGCAGCACTTGACGGACATTCGCAATGTCTTAGTCGAGATTCACCACAAGAAACTTCTCTCTCAGGCGGGAGTAAATAGCCTTTTGACAATCATGCTTTACGGCCTTGAGGGTTTCATCAGTGAAATCTCTTCGCCACTACGTATCTGCATGTACAGACAGGGAAACGTCTATGTTCCCGCGTTTTACAGAGCTCCTCCTACTAATCATCAATACCTTCCTGTACACAACTCGTCGATCGAGGTTTGCCGCCGGCTAAGTACGTGCCATGGCATCCCTCCACGAAAGAGGCGGAAGCAACAGCTTCTCGAAGATGAGATGGCTGCAGAGCCAAAAGCGTCGATCCAGTCGCACCGGATCCCGAAGCCACTTGTCCGGGATCCTCCTTATCATCCTACTGTGGCCTCCCTTTTCAACAACCGGGAGAACATCTATGTCAACAGAGTGCGACGACCAACTGCAACAGATGTGCCTCCTGTACTATCTCCAGGGCCACAATCTTCGATCGAGGTTTGCCGCCGGCTAAGTATGTGCCATGGCATCCCTCGACGAAGTATCAACTGGCAGCTTGCTCAGTGGAAGCGATCCGGAGACGATCCAAAGTTTTGGCTGAAGCACATGGACGACAAGGGAGACCATATCCGCGTCGATCGAGGTTTGCCGCCGGCTAAGTATGTGCCATGGCATTCCTCGAATATGACATCGCTGGAGAGTCAGAGGCACATCAAATCAAGATGTCTCAGTCCTTTGGAGTAGGAAACGTCCTATTCCAAATCACAATCGGATCCTCCAGATAGGTTGGTCGATGAGAACTACAACATCAAATCGATCGTCAACTGGCAGCTTGCCCGATTCGTCCCGACGGAGGAGGCCTTTGACCCAGTGTCTTCACCGCAAACATAGGACAGTTGTACGGCGGCACACCTGAGCTTGGCATCGACGACCGCATCATGACTAGTATGGCTCGAGACACTGGCGACCAAGATTTAGTCAAGTTTGCATCATCGGATGAACTTGCACATCGATTCTAGCTAAGGCTCGCAGGCGACTACGGTGGCACTTGTCGCAAAATGGCGGATCCTCATTGGGTTGTGCGGGAGTTTTTTTCGAAGGAGAATATAACAAAAGATATCACCACCCTGCACATCTTGTAAACCAGAACAGGTTGGATAGGCGGGTGCTGGGTCGTGTCCTATTCGAACAAGAATATAACAAAGACAACCCGAAGTTTTGATTGAAAGAAACTGGGAGTTGTAAACTCGAAGATGGTTTCTCTGCTGGTTCAGAGGGCGACTCGACACTCAGAACACACATACTCGGAGAGAGAACCTCGATTCTAAACCACACAACTCACTCATATTCACCCAGAATTCCACTGCCGACATTCTATTGAGACTTTTGGATTTAATACAATTTTTTGGAGTCTGACTTGGTCATCTCACAATCGAAGCAAGCACACATACGCTGTCGGGTCTGGCATCTTCTATTGTTGTTAAACTTTATACTCGAACTCTCTTACGCACACACGCGCATTCCTGGCTGAGATGCAGGGGCGCCACTTCCGACATCACACATGAGTGAAGCCGAGGGGCTTGCGAAGGCGTCAACTACCACTCAACTTGCCGACTTCTCTAGATACGTTGGGCATTTCCATCATACAGGCGAACTCGTCCTCAGCGACAAATCCCTCATTCCCAATCGCCAACTGCAGAGTGATTTGTCGGACGCTCTGTTGTTATACTTCAGCATACTTGGCGGTCGATTGGCACAAAGGTTTATCGCCGTGCGAATATTACACACAACGCAAAAAGCCCAGCCTCTTCTCCGCCAATTGAGAACGATACAACAAGCCACCCAGCGCTTCTTTCCATGGCCGCTTACTTAGGGCAGCCAATTGGTCCAGACACTCAGTTCAGACGGCCTAAAGAGCTAGCTTAGCCAGGCAAAGGGTCCGGGAAGTCTATTGAATCCGTACTAACTACAACATTCAACAAAAAAAAAGAAGAGAGAGAGAGAGAGAGAGAGAGAGAGAGAGAGAGAGAGAGAAGAAGCAGAAGGGAAAGAAAGAAAGAAGAAACAAAAAGAACAAGAAGAGGGGAGAGAGTATGAGAGGGGAAGAAGAAAGGAAGAAATGAGGGGAGAGGGGGAAGAAGGGGAAGAAGGGGAAGAAGAACCGTCGCCTGCTTGGACAGCCTCTAACATATCACTCAGAAAATATGGTTGGCCTACAAGAAACAAAACAAGGGAAGGAAGACTGCAAAGGTATCAATCATCATGTATGCGTTGGGTATCGGATTTGGGGGATATATGGATGTTGGAAAGATGTCTAGGCTCTGCCAATTGGGAATAAGGATGAGGTATTACGCAAGAAGGAAGGAAATTGGGTACATGTACTGATGGATGAGGTGGTTGGGAGGAATATCGAGAAGTCAAGAGTCAGCCTGGAGCCAACACAATCGCATTTCCCGCGCGCCGCCACACAAATCTCGCCAATTATCCAACCGAGACAACAAAAAGAAGCTACAAGGGTGGATAAATACTGCCGATCAAAAAACAACCCTACTCTCGAAACCGCATTTCGCCCAAACCACTAGCCGACGTCGACCACCACAAACGTGCCACACACACACTGCTTATTCGACTTGGCGGCATCCCGACGGTCAAAAGAGTCAATTTAGCTCACGGAAACCACAATGGAATTGACAAGATTTGCATTGACTCCTAGTGGGAACAATGGATCTACGACGTCAGCGACTTTGCCGATTAAGGTGGAGGTCTCGATCGAGATGGAGAAGAACAAGGATCATCCCTCTCCAATGCAACAGCTACCTCCCGCAGCCCTTCAGCAGGCGAACCAGAGATCGCGCTTGCCGGATAATTCTCTCCTCTACGCTACTAATGCGGTGAGAAATCAATGAACAACCTACCCTTTGCGGAAATCCATGTGGCAGGCTGATGTCGCCGTTATGCCAATATGACGTACCGTCACAAACCACAACCTGAGCCTAATGCAAGCTCTTAGCCTCCTCAATGCCGCAGCTAGCCCATTGAGAGCAGGATGTGAGCTTGCGGGCTGGAATAAATGGCAGCTTGTGCGCTCTCGCCGTGGCTAGCAGCGCGCTCGCACACTCAACTTGGCATCCGTCCTCTTTCTCCGTCACTCAAACGCCGCCAAGAAATCAATTACAATCAACTACAATGGCACCTCATCTACCAATCCCAGTGCCAACTTGGACAACAGCAGACTCCCCCTCGCGGGTGGTAGCACGGCAAGCTGTGACCACAGTGACCGTCGTCGCAAGCAATGACGACTGTGTGAACTGCACCCAACTCAGCGGCGGCGCCATCGCCGGCATTGTCATTGGCTCAATTGCCGGATTCCTCCTCCTACTCTGGATCATCCGCTCATGCTTCAACCTCGGGGCGCCACCGAAGGAGCGGGAGAAGGCGTGGTATAAGTGGGACGAGGAGCCGCGACACCACCACCATCATCGCCACCACCATCGCTCAGGCTCAAGACGGCGCGGGCGCAGCCGAAGCTACCGCGCATCCTCTACCTACTCGGTACCGGCGGTTGTGATCAATGAACGGTCCAGGAGCTCGCGGCGACCGCGGGTTTATGTGTGATGACTACTCGGATTGGGGGAAGCGATATTCGTGATTGGCGAGGAATTGGCAGGGAATGAGGTGTTCAAGTAGATAAACTTACGTTATGAATCATGACTGGCTTCATATGCTTATTCATTTCCCACTTGCAAGGCATTCTATTTGTGTGAGAGCTCAAGAGGGGAGAGGGGAAAGGCAGCCATCCGGAGTATTAGGAGTTAACTAGAGCCGTTTACTTCTCAAATACACAGGCACATTTCAGGCACATTTTGGGATTCATTGACATCTAAAATCTATGAACGCAGAAATTCGGCCAAGCAGTCCATTGTATAGGTATTTCACTGTCCCCATCTCCGCTATTCCCCAGCTAACTCGACCAGTCTTGAGTGCTATCACAGGTCGGAGATATCAAGAGTATTTCAGACAAATATTGAGTCGCTCAAGCTGAATGACTTATTTGACTGTAGGCATACCAGCTAGTATCTGAGAGGCGACCAGGTGACCCATTTGACTCAAGAGCCGACGGAATAGAGCGAAATCAGAGTGATGTTACCTTGAGCATCTTGAAATATTCACTTTACATCACAGTCGGCATGATAGAGCCGGGGGACAATTGCAAAGACTCGGCTTCTAGAAGGCTCATGCCCGCCGGAGGTGCATTGGAATCTCTTGATATTTGACCGGCAGCCCAGACGCTGCCGGGGCCGGCGTGTGTTGTCACGGCCAACATGGTGATAGAATCAATTAGCATGGCTTGCGTCAAGCTAAGGCGATCAATTCTATCATACCCGAGACGTTCTGGGCGTCAATTGGAAAGCTAATGTCACAATAAAAAGCAAAGACGGCCGTGGCGTTGCATCTGGTTGGAACAAGCCTACATGTGATGTGCAAGACGATGCTTTCGCCGAATCTTCATCGTATTGCCGTGGTGCAGCCGCATTGCCTAATTTGGCTCTCGCAGATACTGATAGCTCGCCATAGCTCTTCCAAATGACGTCGGGCTAAACAGAGGACAAGCCAAGCCTCGTCGGATTCGGACGTCAAGCCGGCGCCTCACTTGGCATTGGAATGACAATGCTCACGGGCAAAGAGCCCGCTTGAAAATTTCTTCTTTTCACGAGGCCAACGGCTGAACGGCTCGAACTAATAATTATAAATAACAAGCAAACAGTCACCGGAATCCCTTCTTGCCGAATGCCGAGCAAGCAGCGAGAGCGCCTCAGCAAACCTACAAATGATTTGCCTGCGCAGTGTTTAGATTACGTTTTTGTATGTTCTTGGACCGTCGAACCTTGCCCAAGCGAGTTAATACAATCCGCGATGCGGCCATGCGATTCGTCTTACCCCAAGTTTTAGACCCCCTGCTTGCCGCCCTGGTTCCAGACATCTCCACCCCAGAAGCAATTCCGACGAACGCCCTTGTGTTGCCCTTTTGAGAGTTTCCATTACTCAATGTAAACCTCTTGCCAGTGGCACATCTCCGCGGCCAGACTCACTTACGGTGACGGGCCTTTGGGTTATTTGACTACGCTGGCCGCTTTCCGTCTCCCCCCTTCCCTCTCGCTACCCATCATGTGCGGTTCCCTGAGCGAGAGGTGCATATACCGACCCTGATCTGCACGATCTGAGATAAAACCGCCTAGGAGACCAAATATCCGGGGTGAGCCAGCCATGGATCCGCGGTACTGGACGTTCGACGTAGATCGGTACATCAACCGGGCCATCCCGCCGCCGCCGTGGCGTCACATACCGTACCCAGTCGCGCGGTTCCTCGGGCACAGGAGGGAGGGCGACCAGCCGCAAGGGACGGGGAACCTCGTGCCCATCTTCTGGGCCTGGATCGGTGTGTTTTGCGGCGTGTCGGTCATAGAGGCCGTTGCGGCCCATATCCCGTCCTTCAAGGACCACGCGGCCCCCATCATCGTGGGCAGTTTTGTAAGTTTGCTCTCCCCGTTTTATATTTTTTTTTATTGCACAAAGCAACCAGCAGTCCCGGGCCATTGGCTGACGTGTGAAAAAACAGGGTGCAGCAGCAGTCCTCGAGTTCTACGCGATCGAATCCCCCCTCGCCCAGCCGCGCAACGCCTTCTTCGGGCAGATCATATCGGCCGTGGTGGGCATCGCGATATGCAAGCTCTTCCTCCTCAGCGACGACTTCGAGTCCCTGCGGTGGCTCGGCGGCGCGCTCGCCTGCGCGTCCGCGACGGCGCTCATGGGGCTAACCAAGACGGTGCACCCGCCCGCGGGGGCGACGGCTCTGCTGGCCGTTACGGACGACAAGATTGTCGGGATGGGGTGGTTCCTCTTGCCTGTGATGATACTCGGGTGCGTGCTCATGCTGTCGGTGGCGATGCTCATCAACAACCTGATGAGGCGGTTCCCCGTGTACTGGTGGACGCCGGAGGATCTGAGGAAGGGCAAGCGGCATGAGATGTTGGAGACGAAGCTGTCGAATCATGGACGGGGCGCGAGTTCGGAAAAGGAGCTTGGCAGTGCCGCCCAGGACGACCAAGAGAAGAAAGACGACGAGACGGACTTGGAGGCTGGTGGGAACAGCTCGACGTGGGTATCTTCAGCCGTGAGCACCGGCAACGACACGATCATCTCGGAGACGGATGGCTCCGAGGTTGTCGTGCGGCGCGGGCATATCGTCGTACCAGAGCACATTCTTCTGACGCAGGAGGAGAAGCTGTTTCTGGAGGAGCTGGCCAACCGCTTATGAGGTCTTCACATGCACATTTTACCGCGCATTCAACGATGCGTTCTCTGAAAATAATGGGGGAAGGGCATAGAGTTGTACTGTACATATCTCGTTTCCAGGCGCATCAATAGCATATTACCTTAGTTATTTTGATTAAAGTTCACTCACAGTAACTGGTCTCGTGCCGTGATTCACGCCATCCGAAGCTCTTGGCAGAACGATGGCCTTTGCGGCACAGTCAACATTTGCATGATTGAACAATGGATCATTGAAATTGAATGGCCTCTCGCCGCAGATGATTGGCAGCAGATGATTGGCCAGTGGGGCATGCTGCTGCCTGGCGGTGGGCACAAAGCATAACCTGAAGGAATACGCACAAAAGCCGCTAATTGGGCCTGGCACCTGCATAAATCGACGTCCTTCTGCGCTACAAAGCGCTGTGCAGCCTAAAGCTTCCCAAAAGGTTCCGCCGAACTCTCCAAGTTGACTCATTCACCGCCGCCAATTGTGCACTCTGTCTGTTCGTTCAGAGCAGAGTTCAGGACATTGGGCGCAAACATGGCGCTTCTCGTGTATAAAGTTGGCGGGCGCCGGCAACTTTCCTCTGCTTCTTTCCTCCCGGCCAACCGACATCACAGCCTGCACGAGAGACTGGTTCGCTCCTCCTCTCTTTCGCTTGCTTGCAATCGGCCCAAACCAAAATATATCACGAGGTGACAGAGTCAAGGACGGTGACAATTCTCCACCTCAAAGAGCCGCATTCACCTTCACAATGGCGTCTTCGTCAGATGCTGACCAGGAGCCGTGGTTCCTCAAGTCGTCTGTCCCGGTCTGGCTCCCATACCATGAGGCACTGACTATGCCCAACGACAAATTCAACTCCTTCATTCGCAGTGAGCTCGATGGCAACGCCATCGTCGTTCCCCCCTCGGAATTGGGTCCTCCACCTGGTCACGACCTCACAGACGCCACCTCAACATCAGGCACTCACGTCACCCCGCCTTCCACCACAGCTGACATCCGCGAGGCTGTTGATCGAATGGAGGTGGATGGCAAGCCTGATTCCACAGAGCCCACTACCTCTGAGACTGCAGCTGGTGCTGAGGAGCACCCGTGGCGCGCAGCTTTGCTCAAGAACCTCACCCCACCAGCTCCTCCCAACCTAGAGAACAAAGTCTTCACAGCCAACGGCGACCTCGCCCACGCATCCACCACCGATGCTTGCGTAGATCTCTTCTACGAGCTCGAGGACTCAGTCTCTGGCCCTCGTTTGCGCGATCTGCTCGCGGCGTCATGGAACCAGGATGCCCTCCTGACGCTCAAGATCATCTTCAACGCCCGCTCCATCCACCTCGGAAAGAGCTCCCGCAATACCTTCTACGGCTGTGCTGGCTGGCTGTTCATGCACCACCCCCTCACCCTGATCGAGAACCTCAAGTGGCTGAGCCGCCCCGTCATCCAGAAGAAGGCCAAGAAGGAGACCGATGGTGAGGACGACGAGATGGTCGTCGTCGAAGCGGAAAAGGACCCTAGCCGCCCAGAGACCTACGACGTCAAGCACGGCGTCGCCCACGGGTACTGGAAGGACATCATCAACATCCTGGCTCTGGCGGCCAACAACCAGCTCAACGTCCTAGCCGACCCTAAGAACATCCTCAACTCCAAGAACCCGGGTATCTATAACGGCAAGAGCATCAAGATAGTTCGGCGACGCGCCAAGCTGAACAAGCGAAAGGGCGAGCCTGCGGACAAGACCACCGTCTCCGGTTCCAATGACAAGAACGAGAGCGATGATGCTGTTCCCTCTTCAGACTACAAGGTGCTGCGACGCGCCAAGCGGCTCGGGCGAAACCAGAATGCCACCAGAGCCTTCAACGAGGACCTGCAGTACCGCGTTCTCCACTTGGCTGTCGCTCGCCTGTTCGCCGAGCAGCTGGAGAAGGATCTCGCAGCCTTGCGTGGAGACGACTACCAAGCAAAGCGCACCATCTCGCTCTGCGGGAAATGGGCCCCAAGCCACGACCGGTTCCACGATAAGCACACCTTCATCGTCAGCTCCATCGCCGAGATCATGCACCCCCGCGAGTCCTTCGACAACTTCCTATCCCCCTCTGACGACAGGGACACCTACCTCCGCTATGCACGGGAGGCATACCGCAAGGATATCTCTGCGCTGCGAAAGCACCTTGAGATCGTCGAGCGGGATCTCTCTGCCGGAACCTTCGAAAAGATCAAGTACGATCGCGTCCCCTCGGTAGCCATGCAGAACTACACCAAGATCTTTGTCCAAAAGGACCTGAGGCGCTTTGAGGAGTACATCACCCGCGTCGCAGAGGGCAAGGCCAACATCTCCGGTGCCATCCTCCTCCCCTCAACCATGGTAGCCGCCGCACGCCGCGCCCCCCGCCAGACCCCTGGGCACTTCGACCCACTCACAATCTCCGCCAAGCAGTTCGTCGACCTGAAGATCCGGGAGATGCAGACCAAAGTCGACGACGGGCAGTGGAACACCCTCGTCAAACGTATCAAGGATTCGGGCGTGCTCGCCTCCAGTATCGCCGTGTGCGACGTCTCCGGCAGCATGCAATGGCCCCAGCAGACCGACGGCACCACGCCCATGGACTCGGCCATTGGTCTGTCGCTCCTCATTGCGGAAGTCACCGAGCCCCCCTACGGCGGCGCCTTCATCACGTTCAGCTCCAAGCCACGGGTGGAAAAGGTCGACCTTAGCAAGCCGCTGTCTGAGAAGGTGGCGCAGCTGGAGCGGGCCAACTGGTCGATGAACACAGACTTTGAGGCCGTGTTCCTTAAACTGCTCCTCCCCATGGCCCGGGAGCACAACCTCAAGCAGGAGGACATGGTCAAGCAGGTCTTTGTTTTCAGCGACATGCAGTTCGACGAGGCCAGTTCCAAGAGCCACCGATGGACGACGAGCTACGAGCGTGTGAGCAAGGCGTACAAGGAGAGTGGGTATGAGGTGCCCGAGCTCGTGTTCTGGAACCTGGCGGGTGGTTCGCACTCGGGCCAGGCTCCCAAGCCTGTGACCACTGAGGATGAGGGAACCTGTCTCATGAGCGGGTACTCGCAGGGTCTGCTGAAGGCGTTCCTCGAGAAGGGCGGGTTTGAGGACGATGAGGAGGAGGAGCAGGAGGAGGTGGTGGTAGTGACGAGGGATGAGGGCGGCGATGTAACGACCGAGACAGTGAAGCGGAAGAAGAACCCGATCTCCATGGTGAAGAAGGCGGTCTCGCACGAGGCGTATAAGATGCTCCGAGTTGTTGACTGAGCTGACTTGCGTTCTATCTCCTGTTCTCGTCTATTCTATGTATGATACCCTGCATTGTTTCCAATGCAAAACTCCAAAAGTGAGAGAGATTAATTAAAATCAAATGATGAATTAATGGTTTGAGATTCATAATTTATTATCTAGACCGGTCTCATATAACATGCCGCCATTCTTGTGAGTGAAGTAAAGCTAAAACATAACGCCAATCCATCGCATCCCTGTCAGACGTATACGCTATCATTAAGTCCCAAAAAGAAATCAAAGACGAGAAAGAAAAAGTCGCTCTTTCATTAGTTCTTTCACCCGTCAGACGACTCACTCCCAGTCAAGAGATCCTCCGCCTCAAACGCCACGAAAATACTGTCCACCATCCTCAGGAACCTCTGGCGGTACTCCTCGGGCTCGGCGGTGATGCTCATTGGGCCCCTCCTGGCGACGAAGTTGAAGGCCTCGACGAGCCCAGTCATGGCTCTGGCGCGCAGCTTGCGCTTGCACCAGAAGAAGTCGAGGACGACGGCGCGGTAGCGCCACTCGCCCTTGACGTCGTCGACCCCTTCGCGCCAGGGGCTGGGGAAGGAGCCCGTGGGCGCCCTGCTGGGCGGGGCAGGGAGGGAGGACGGGTGGCGGACGAGGAAGAGGGAGTAGTCGACGGCGGAGTGGGAGGCGAGGAGGCGGGTGTCGCGGGAGAGGAGGTCCATGAGGGAGCGTTTTGCGGCGGGCGGGATGCGGATCTTGTGGGGGACGATGTCGACTAGGTTGTCCTTTACGCGGGAGGGGGCGAGGCGGCCGTTGGCGAGGTCGCGCTCCGGGAAGAAGTAGTCCGCCGGTTTGAGGTCGAAGGACTCCCAGCGGCGGTGGGGGGACGTTTCGTCCAGGGAGGAGGTGGATGAGGTAGAAGGTTTCCCGTATAGGAGGTTCTCCATGACTATGTGGTGGGTCGGCGCGGTGCCGAGCAGGCTGCCCAGGGCAGGGCGGGAGGCGTAGACCATGTCCGTGATGCGGACGAGGAGGGAGTCCGGGTGGGCGGTGTTGTGGGAGAGGTAGGGCCCGCAGAGGTCGTGGGTGAAGAAGGTGTGCTCGAAGCGGCGCGGGAGCGACTTGATGAGGAACTTGGCGTCCGGGGTGGTGAAGAAGGTCGAGCCGCTGTAGCCCAGGTCGCCTATGGGAATGAGCTCGGCCGCGCGGGACGAGGAGGAGTAGGCGTTGCGGAAGGAGTCGAGGTACTCATCTTCATCAAGCTGCCAGGCGGTGCGGCGGAGGGCCAGGAAGTCGGCGGGGCGGTAGCGGACGAGCCACAGGCGGAAGAAGGAGAAGAAGGCGATGATGGCGCGCAGGAGGCGGCCGTGGCGCTTGTGGCTGTCCGGGGGCTCTTGGTCCTGGTAGATGGCGTTGGCGATGGACGCCGAAATGCGTGAAGCCCGAATTTTCATTGTTGTGTAACCTTTTGAAGCTACGGTGAAGACGGACTGGCGTGTGCAGATCAGATCAGATCAGACAGAATGGAGTGGCAAGGCCAGAGACCGACGCAGGCTCACGCGCATGACAGGCAACGAGGGAATATTTGAGGCAAAAGCAACGGCAGGAAGCTGACGACGACGCTCAGAATGTTTCCACCCGGTCCGAGGAATGTCTTATCTCAAGTCTCGCCTCGTCTCATGTCGACGTCGCAGGCAGTCAGCTTCGGTGACGTCACACCACGCTGTCCGACACGAGGGAAGGAGCAACCACGCTTGAACTCATGCGGTCACGTGTTACCCTGAGAGTTGCATCTCTCTGCTCCTTAACCTCAGAGCGTGCCAGATCAACAGTCGCATTCACATGCCGAGCAACCATAAAGTCGCCTTCAATTTGATGAATCACTTAAGTGACGCCATTACGAGTGCGCTCTCACCTCCATTCCAGTTTCAGCTGGCAGGGTTGCATCGATAAGTAAACATGTCAATTTCTCCCCAAACTCTCCCCACCTCACTAATCATGTAGGTCTAGCTAGAGCCGGCCGGCATGCATCGTCACAGTCCCACCACCACCACCTTTTACTCCTGATCGTCGGGATGGAACACCAGGGCACGGACTTCGATGCTCTCCCTCGGCGGCGCATCCTCCTTGGCCGTCGGGTCCACAAACGCCGTGTGCGGCACCCGCCTCGCCCTCCCGTCCGTCTTGCTGTCGAAGCACTTGATCAGGATCACCTCGTCCGGCTCCAGCCCTGACTTGTAGAACCACCTGTGGCCGTCGTTATGCTTCACCGCGTACGTCTCGCCGTTGCGCGTGGGGTAGATGAGCGGGATCCCCACCAGGTCCGTGTCCGGCACCGAGTGCGCCTCGGCCACGGCCAGTGGGTCGCGCTGGATCGTCCGGATGGGACGCCAGACGTTGATGATCTGGTACCGCCCGCGGAGCAGCGCCTCAGCCTCCTCTGGGAGGTGGTGAGGCACGCGGGACTTGGCCGCAGAGTAGGACTGGTCGATGTGCACGCGCTGGACTGGGCCGCGCAGGTTGCGCCCTTGCTTCTCTGAGCCGGCTGGGTTGCGGCGGATGGTGTGGTCGAAGATGAAGATGCGAGATGCGCCGGTGCTGATGAGAAACATAGGATATCAGTAAATGAAAGATAGCTTGCCAGGTACGTGAGGGATCTAACTTACGCATCCTTTAGTAGTTGCTCGGTCTCGGGGTAGTAGACCGCCTTGATATGCTCTTCATCTACGAAGTCCTTCTCCGCGGCGGCACGGCGATAGATCTCGAATCCATTCTTATCCAGGGTGTAGAGGTGCTCCTCGCCTCTAACATCGTGAATAGTGGCATCGTGAGATGAATATGGGCGCTCATATGAATCCGGGCGGTCAACATAGGTAGGCCGAGGTGGCGAGCCATCCTCGTTGTCCTTGTGATAGTTCAGTACAGTCCTCACGTCTCTCTTGTCCGTATACTGGGCGAGAGTGGACAACTGCTCTGTCTGCTGCTGAGGGCTGACCAGGCCGATGCCTCCTGGTACAAGAGAATGCTGGACTGCAGCTGCGGCCATCTTGGATCGTCTTAATGTTCTTGATTGGTACGATGCTGGTATGATCAGATTTAGTTTGCTGAACACTTTTGATTACTCTGTCTATTCAATTCTTCGCCGGGTCAGCCGTCGAAGGCTATTTATACGTTGATCCAAGACGTCACATCATTAATGCCAGACCTCCCCGCAAAGCACGCAATTCCTCAGCGACAACACCAAATGCGTCGATTGATAATCATACCCAATGAACTCCGCACATCGATCTCGACACAGCGTCCCGGTGTGGCTGGTACCCCAATCAGGAAACGTATCAACACAACTTGATTTCAAATACACGGCCATACTTGTAATCTGCGCCCTCCAGGTTGCATAGTCACATGCCTGCACGACACATTATCGGATCATTCAGACGGTTTGATTTTCAATCAATGTTCATCAATCGTAAACTGGCATTCCTTGCGTGCTACTAACTATCCGTAGAGTGATCCATGCCGCCCGAGCGGCTCATCTATATTCTAGCAAGGTCTATCGATCGCCTGGTCACTGCGGTTTGTGGACAAGTCTAGTAATAGAGGTTCCATCGTCCAACAAACCCGTCTCCTCCTCCAGTGTATAGCCCCTCCACCTGGGGATCAAAACAGTCCATAGATACCAGTAAATAACACCTGAAACGAGACTGGAAGGTTCTGTCAGTCTCCTAGGTTGAATTTGACGCGATTCGAGGAAGATACACTTACATGCTCACTCCCACAATAGCATAAGTGGCGTAGAACATCCCATTTGCCGGCTTCTTAGACGGCGGGAAGAAAGGCGCCGCCAGGAGCGCAACGCTCAAGGCGATCTTTATAAGGACGGCTGGTGTCCAGGCTTTGAATGGCCTTCTCAAGTCCGGTCGTTTAAAACGAAGTAAAAGCAGGCCAGAGCAGATGGCAAAGCTGAATATCTGCCCTGGGTAGCCCTCCAATTCAAGGATGAAGGAGTAGACTTCGGCCGATGGTGGTAGCACGATGACGAGCAGAGACGGGATGAAGTGGACGACGAATCCGCCCAGAGGTGAGCCGAATGGCTTGGTCGAAGACAGGAGATGCGAGTATGGGAGGAATCCCTGCCTGGCTATCTCTTGCTTCAGACGGGCCTTTGAGTGGGTTAGTACATGAAGCTCTTGAGATAGATAGAAGTTGGAAGGATGACTGTGAACTGACCTGAGCAAAAGCAACGACCAGTACGTTCCCGACCGCTGACAGCGCCACAGCAAGGGGCAAGGCTGTCTTGCCAAAGCCATGCCCAAAGATGCGCTCGAAAAACAGAGCAGCGATGAGCTCGCCGCTCTGTTTGATCTCGTCCACGGGGACGACCAAAAGATACGCCAGATTAATAAGGATGTAGAGCCCACACGTCGTAAACAACGCTGCGGTCGTGACGGACTTGAGCGTCCGGACAGGCTCCTTGACCTCGTTCAAGACGTTGCTAACGTTATCAAGGCCGGCAAATGAATAAAGGACCTTGAAGAAGGAAGTGGCGATAGTGCCCCAGTTCCACACGCTGTCCTCCCAGAGATGGTCCCATGATAACTGGTCGCTCACCGGAGGAGAATTGTCGGTGGTCGCAGTACCGGGGCGGAATACCAACACGTATATTCCCGATAGGATCATGAAGCCCACGATGGCAATTTTTACCCAGCCAAGGATGTTCTGCAGCCGGATGCCCGTCTTTGGGAAGACGCCATGGGTCACGGTGACGAAGATCAACAGCCCGGCGGCCAGTCCCTTTCTCAACACCTCGCTCGGGTGGTCGATGCCCAGAGCGAAGAGCACGTACTGGCTGAACACGACGCAGTTGCTCGCCGTGAATCCAAGAAGCACCGCCTGGATGGCCACCAGCGTGGAGGCCAAGAACCGAGGGTGTCTGTACGTGAATTCCAGGTACACCTTTTCTCCTCCCGAGCGAGGGAGCATGCATCCATACTCGAGCGACACGGACAAGCCGCAGGCAGCGATGACAGCGCCAACGAGCCACAGGGCAAGGGTGAGTCCTGGACTACCGACAGAGCGCAAGATCACACCGGGCGTCGCAAATATCCCGCTTCCGATAACCCTCGACATGACGATGATGAAGGCGCTCTGCCAAGTGAGCGTGCGTCCGAGGCTAGATATCTCAGGCAGCACATCGTCCTCGACGGCGCGCGTGGGGTGAACGTCCCCTGTGATGATGTCCTCCTCCTGGATGACCCTCGTCTCGGGGTGTTTATCTCCATCCTCGCTGTCTCTCGCGGTCGTGCTGGACGAAGGGGAGGAAGAGCGCGACGGCTCGTTGTCCTGTCGCTGGAGGAGGGGTCGGAGCTCTGGCGGAACGGGACCAGCCATGATGCCTACTAATTAAAATCGCCGAAAATCCAAGTCTTCTAATTTTACCATCAGAGCGTCAAATCAATAGACTTGCAGCATGATACTCTTATGAGAAGTTACGCCAGCAGGCAACAAGAACAGGTCCGCGCCTCCCGCACAAGGAGTCGTGATTGACGTCGCAGACATCGACATATGGCGTTTTCTACCTCCAATATGGCGAGGTGAGACAGTCGGCGGCCCAGGCGGCACCTGTCATCCTCCCTTTTGGTAGGACCTTCTCGCCTGGGAATTGGTGGGCATTTTTGATTTCGAATCAAGGGTGATCTACGCGGCTGACTTGGCCCATGGCGCGAAACCATCGTGGTCGCACGCCATCGCTCATCGCCCCGTCTGGCGCCCGCTCGAATCACCAGGCCGCGCCGCATGACAAATAATAGCGTTTGTGGATTGGATCCATGCCTTTGTATGGTTATTGTTGTCCATCGCTGCCGGGGCTATTTCATAGACGTGAGCGTTTGTTGGTCAGCTGGAAGGCAGCGAACTGTATCTCACACTGGTTGGATCACCCATCCTTTCGTATTGTCTCTCCCTTTCTGCCCAGGTGTTTGTATAACGATAACTACACAATGCGCTTCATTGATAGCTGGTGAGAGAGGCAAAACTGCCTGCAGAACTAAAGCTTGCGACACTCCCGCGTCTTTTTACATTTCGCCATGTTGTATGCCACATATCATCCTCCTCGCCCTGCTGCCCGATGTCCATGGCAAGGCTGAGCTCGTGATATGAACTTCCTTCAGCCAGAGGATGCTGATACCCTTTCCGGACAAGTCCCAAATCTTCCATGGCCCGGACCCAGGAGTCAAGACCCTCAGTCAAGGGTTGAATCGTCTCCTTATCTTCTCGGAGGATGCTCAGTCGATTCAAACCATCTTCTAAATACAGTCGTTTGATGATCTCGGCGGGATCTGCGCCAGACGATTGAGCAAGGCGGGCATGAGTAAAAAACTCCGACGTGACGTACAACAGAAGCGCGGGGTGGTCATCAAGAGTCTGAGTATGAACGGAGACCGACGATTTAATTGAGCCGTGTCCCGTGCCATCATCCGAACCACGATCGATTTCTTCTTTGCTTACAGAGATCCATTGATTAATATCAATCGTCCCATCTGCCACCTGGTTGGAGCCAACCATCTCCGAGAGGGTGCGTTTTTGTGTCGTTCTTGATAGAATCCTCGGCACGTCGAAGAGGGCTCGTTCTAGAGTTTGAGCTTCGGTAGGCCCACGAGGTTCGACATCGTCAGACCAAAACAGGTGTGCTGGCAATGCTGTTGATCCCATATTCAGCTCGGCGCAGGCAGCGCGTTCCGCTGCTCGTCTTCGGGCTTCTACCAGAGCATTCAACTCTCTAATGCCCATGTAATCCAGTGCCGTGTTCATGATGTATAGGTGGCCCTCCCTCATGTATTTCTCATCATCCACATAAACGTCATCCAAACTCCGCCCGGTATGTTCAGTAGGGTTCTCGTCAAGAATTGCGAAACCCTTGCCACTTTTGAAAAATTCGCAAACGGATTGATGAATGGCCCGTACAACTCGGGTCTCGCCATTTTGCAAATCAAGAGATCCCGCACCGGCACGCACTGAACTCGAGTCAACATTGTCGCCCTGCGACAGAGCAGGGCGGCCCGTCACTTCGATCAGTCCCCTGGATATGGCCTTGATTTGCTTTTCAAGCTGCTCGTCGTCCTCAGTAAAGTTGTCCGACTCTCGCCATTCCTTCAAGGAGGAGAGTCCCGGTTGTTTACTAAATGCTAGAATGTGATGCCACTCGCGAAGCCGCAGCGGCTTGGCGGCGAGTATGACCCAGCGAAACAGCTTGATAGCCAAGGCTTTGGAAGCGGGGGTTGAGCCCTCGAAGAGCTGTGAGAACAGGGCTCCCAAGCTCTCCGGCACGATTTCCAATTGCGCAAGTATGTATCTAGGGTGTTCTCCTTCATCCCACAATCTCAGGACTTTCTCGACCACAAGAATTACCCATAGGAACACTCCTGCCGATTTGAGGATGATTGTGCGCCTGATTTCTTCCCATTTTTCCCCCTGCCTTTCAGAATCGCATGGGAGCTTCTGTTTCACGTATGTTGCAATATCGTGGTCATTGTGATGTTCCACGATCACCTCCGCACAGTTTTCGAGAGTGATGTGGGGATGATGTCTGATTGAGAGGCAAACATTTAACCGGGATCCCTTCTTGCGAGCGTACCTAGTCACCGAACGCCAGAATGAAGCTTGCCGCCGCATCCAAAGCGGATGGCATTCATCAAGAGCGTCGATGAAAATCGTAATGTCGCAGGGGTTTCCAGCGTCAAACAGTGACTGAAAGAATCCTTGAAATAATCCTACTGACCAATCATAATCTGTCTGCTCACCTTTATGAGCCCATACCTGTCTCAACGTTTCAAAACCCCGCCTAAGTCTTGGGAACAGTTGGAAAAGCAGCGAACGTAAAAGTCCGGTGGGGAAACTTTGCAACCAAGTTCCCTTGGTATCGAAGAAGAATGCTGCCGTGGCGCAATTCCTACCCAAGAGGGACCGCTCTTTGGTGCTGCGTCGGAACGCCTCTTTCATCAGGACCGATTTTCCAGCTCCCGGCTTGCCCTTCAACAGAAGAAGGCCTTGGTATACATCTTGATCTCTATTGTGAAACCAATTCTGGTATGTTTCGTTATGGAACAGCCAGTTGCAGGTGTTTTCGGCTGGGCTATCGACGGTCTGGTGACGGAAGTCTATCTCGGGAAACCAAAGGGAATCGAGGAGTTTCTTATCACTCTCAGTCAGTTGCTCATCACGCCAATGCCCTGGTGTTTTCGGTACGGAACTCTGAGGAGGCATGTCGGCCCATGAATCAATTTCCATAGGCTCACTTCGGCCGAGGCTGCGGGAGCCAAAATCAGTGATGGATCGGTAGATGGAGCAGATCTCTCCCCCAACTTTACGATAATTAGGATCATCATGCCCGAAGAACCGGCACATATTCTTATGATTTGCCTGGAGGGTCTCCGCACACTCTCGATAATCCCCAATAAGGGAGGAGCTGTCCGGCACCACCTTGTTGCCAAAAACACCCAGGTTGATGCCTTTAAGGCCTAGCCCCTCCTGGAAGGTTTTGATGCGAAAGTCATACGTCTGCCAGACGGCTGAAAAAGCCTCCTGGGCTCTTTCCAGGTCTGTGTTCTTCATACCAAGGGCGTCAAGAATGTCAGAAGTCGTCTGTATGCGAAAGGCACTGATGAACGATCGCGCCCATTCACCAAAAGAAGCAAGATCCGGGCTTCCTCTGTGAGGTGTGCCCAAAAACACTACAGCAGATGTCGATCTGACCACGTCTTGATGCTCAGACGATGGCCAAGCGGAGGATATCGCAAGCATCTAACTTGTTGTCAGCAATCTCTTTGCACAAAAGGTACAATTCCCGTCTCACTTCTTTGACAACTATACCACCAAGGCTATGTGCCACAAAGATAAGCCGACGACCAGCAGGCCGTTCGCGCATGAGAGCAAACAAAAGATCCTTGCTGTGCGAATGGACGCTGTTCTGATTTGTCGCGCCAGAGGTATACTTGGTGACTTTGCTATCGTAGCCGAACACAAGGACTCGAGCTTTGGGGCACCCACTGGGGAGAAGATCTCGTGGCCAAAAGACACATGATAACTCTCCGTTCTGCGAGCCCTGTCTATGGACCAGTGTCTCTGATGACTGAGATTCAATGTCTATGTTATCAGACTTGCTGCCCCTGAACAGCGGGATTACTCGATGTGATATCTTTTGCTTTTTGCGCCGGCTGCTGTCCTCGTCTTCCTCCGGTACGTCTTGCTGGTCGTGAGGATCATTCTTGTATATCCAAGTCTTATAAGGATGGCCGTGCAAACCATGAACGATCACGATGCTAAAAGAGGCATAAGTCTCTATCCAGGCTCTCCACATCACCAACAAGTACATGGTGGACCTACTCTACCAGGGGGGAGCATTGTTCCGGCTCGTATACCACAGATATACCTGTGTCCAGAATATGACCCGGCATCCTTCATCGTCAGAGTCCGCCCTCGCGCAACCAGCATGTGTCAGGTGGTCCCAGTAAGCGTGGTTAATCAAGAATCAACTTCGCAACAAACGATTGAGGCTGAGTACGAAATTACATGCAAGCCCCGAGTCGAAAGCCTGAGAGGCAGCGAATGTTACACTGCATGATGCGGTCAGCAGCATCACGTGGAGCCAGCGGCATCAGCCCAGCCCAACCAGATGGCCTATTGGGCACATATGCGCGCCTAGCCGCAAGTCCAAAAGCCTATCAGAGTCTCCAGGTTTTAGATCCCGAATTAAGAAACTCCCAATCTAGAAATGCTCACCTCAAAAAGCATGGTATATAACCAGGTGTCTTCTTAGTATTCACATGACTGCGCTTTTCTAACAAAGGGAATCGAAATTTCCTTGAAATACTATTATTAAACCTTTTTATTAAACCTTTAAACCATCACTCAGCTTACCCAAGATGAGTCTTCTTTCTCGAAGTTCTCGTGTAGTGGGAGTACTGCCACTCAACATCCCCCTCCTTGTTATCAATCGTACAGTTCCGGATCTCATAGACTCGCATCGTCATCCGCGGTCCAATTTCTGAAAGCTCCAGTTGATCGTACCCTGTACGAACGTAGAGGTGGTGCCTCATCTCGATACTATCATCTTCCAAACGCTTGAACGTAACGGTACGATTGCCAACTTTCATTGCAGCGTCCCTGGGGGGGAACAGGTGTGTCAGAATTCGCTGAACACGTTTACCCAGCTTTGTGGTGAAACCATCGAAGATAAGGTGCGGATATGACTCTGGGATAGTGCCTTTCAGATACCCGGGAAGGTCGTGCCGGGCAGTCACGTTGTGCAGGCTGAATGCGATCGTCGGTCCGTGTGGTAGGTGTGATATTGTCATGGAGGTAGGGGTGCCTCTGGTCTCGGCAACATGTATAATATCTGTGAGGCCGGCAGCCTTGGCAGCACGCACCAGCTCCGCCATTGTCATCGTACCTCGATTGATGTATGTGCCTGTCGGGAGCAGGAGTCGGATCTCCTTGGAGAAGGTGTTGAGTTTGCTCGAGGGCGAGCGAGAGGTGGTGACGAGGATTCGGGGATCCTGAATCCCGGAGAGGGCTTGGTACTCGTCGTCCAGCAGCGCAAGGTCATGCTCGGCCGTCTCATCGTAGGCGTAGTCCTTGCGCAGTTCCTTGTCGTTGGCAATTTCGGCGGCCAATGGCTTGCCAGAAGCCAGGGACTCTCTCAGCTTGGCTCGTCGCTCCGCCGTAGCGCTTTCTTGCAGAGCCAGGGCTCGCCGGTGAAGGTAATCCCTTCTTTGCCGGGCTTGTCTTCGTACCTAATTGGATTTTAATTAGTGGTCTGGCTCAAAGGACCAAAGCGATTAAGGGACCAAAGCGATCCAGAGACTAAAGCGATCACGGGACCAAAGCGATCAAGGGACTTACCATAGACATTTTGCTGTGTGTATGAGGTTGCTGATTATGTTTCCACTCGATAGGAAGCGTCGCCCAAAAAAAAAAAGAAGCAGCCTGTGACGATCTGCTTAGCTCAGCCAATTTTTTTGTGATAAGATAGCGCGATAAGATAATGGGATCCACATTATTTCCCCCTCAAGCTCAGGCTGGACTCAGTCCAAGATGGACAAATGATGAACAGTCCCGATGATTCACGTGTATCAATCGATCCGCAGCATCATTCTGTTCATAAGTCACAAGCCAAATTGATCTTGGATGCAAGTATTCCGGTTGGAAAACATAGCAGTGGATCAGCGTTTCCCACACACATTCATAGAACAAGACCAGCTCCAACCAAGCTGTCTTTCACACCTCCTTGAAAAAGACGTGTTGCAAGACTACTACTCCAGAAGAAGCCAAATGTCTTCTTCATCATCCCGAGTCAAATTGCGTGATCACTAAATTGCTGCGCTGTAAGATATGTACTTACGGTTTCTAGTACCCCTGGACCAAAAACGCCATCCCACCTCGCAACACCATCTGCAAAGGGAGACTCACGATCCCCTCATCGCGCCTCCATCCTCCAGACAACCCTCTGTCCCAAAGTCCAATTTAATTAGAAATTTGATTCTCGGCTCCCCTCCGAGCCATGCATACCCTGCCGAAATTTCCTATGTCTCAAGCCAACTTCCCCACGAGAACGCCTTTCCCCAGAACAAAATCTCTTTCCCATCACGTGAGCTTTCTTTTCCCCGATCCAAAACCTCGCCGCTAGACGGCATTCTGGAACGGAGATTTGAAGCCGAGACGTGGCCTCCCCCTGGGATCAAACAATGCCGGAAACTTTTGACGTAATTCCTGGTCCAGGTTCTCAGCCACCAGTCGACATTGTCCGCGGTCGAGCATTCCATCACACCTCATTTGTCGCCCCCAGACTGCCGGCCGGTTCGTCAGTCTAGGCCGACGGCTCTCCAGAGCAGGGCCATCGACAGCCAATCATTCTTCCACATGCACAGCAGTTAAGAAAATGTCGTCGTAGTGATGATATTACTTTATTCGTAGCAGTTGTTTCCGCTTCGTAGTATGATCCTATCAAATATCCAATGAATGAATGCATGCCATATACCCAACATTTCCAAGCCAATCCGTACCATATTTTCATCCGTTTACTATTTATGCCTGCTCGTTCCAAAAACACCAAAAATAAGCAATTTCCTTTTTCCCAGGATAACAATAATATCTGCCAAATGATTCTTTCTCAAAACATGACAGCAATAAACATAACAGGAGTAGTAACCATAATAATAACGGGGCCAAGGCCCGTTCGCCGTACGCTCTTTCAATAAAACTTATGTGATAACATTTTGAGCCCGTAGTATAAACCTCCTAGACGGAGTGGTTGGGCAGGTAGGGAGATAGGGCTCTGCCCATATTTCCGGGGATTCTGTATCCCAAATTTTGGCTTTTAAAAGCTGAAAAGACCGCTCCTGCGTTTGCCCAGCGGGTAAACAATCAGGGCGCTCATGAAGAGACCGACACTGATGCTGATGGCCACCTGGATGACACTTAACAGTACATTGAATGCAGTCCCATCAAGGTTACCGGTAGCAGTCGTGTCGGTTTTCTTGCCGTTGGTAATCTCATTGGCAGAGTTGATACCGGCCAGGAGGGAGCCTCCTGCCGCGAGACCACTGGGAACCTGTACAAAAATAGCGGGAAGCATGGCCGCCGCCGCTAGGCTGTAGCCGGCTGGTCTCTTCTTTCGCGGTGGCTCTGCCTCCACTGGTGACACGGGTCGAGATTCGGGGTCGGACATGCCGTAGTCCTCGCTGACCTTTCTGTTCATTCTTCGCCTCCTGCTCTTGGAGAAGCGGGGGAGTACCTTGTACTGCCACCAATCCAGCAGATCCAGCCAGCCATGTTGGATGTGCCCTCCAAGTCGCGAATAAAGGTTGGAGAGAAGACCGACAGCGAGAGCGCCCAGCATGTTCGAAATCTGATTGTTGTTGAAGTAATCGCTGGTATAACTGTTGACACAGAAGCCAGCCAGAGATATCATGAGCATCACCGGAGTTTGTTTCCATTGGGCCTGGTTGACGATGCACAAGCAGAGTGTGAATCCAGGCACGAAGAAAAAATTCCATTCACGAACCAGTGGATTTTCACATGTGGGTGAGCTCGTGGCATTGGAGTCGAGCATACCATATAGTGAAGCCCCAATGGTAATGCCGTATCCGAGGAACAGGGTGTAAATCATGGCATGGACCATACGAACACTACCGGCAACAAGGTTTTGACTCTGCAGCTCCAGCGAGCTGCATAAGACCATGTATCCGGGGAGGATCAATGCAATACTGCTCTGGGCCAACGTGCTGAAGCAAAAGGTCTTGCCACCATTGATAGAACCAAACCCGCGAGCGAGGAATGATGTTACCACGGATGCAGAAACCTCAAAGACATGAGCATATAGATCGTTGCTCGGGGCAAGGACCAGCTGGAGTACTCCGACAATGCAGCCGAGCAAAAACGCAAGCGGCAAGTCAATGAATCGGCCCTTGAACGCGAATGGAGCCACACAGACCGATGCGACACCGTACATAAACACACGGAACCAGACATTGAACTTCGGGGGGCGGTTCATCACTTCGTCGAGTCTCTTCGTCGCCTCCTCCACACTAATCAAGTCGTGCACGACATCCTTATAGATAATGTGGACGTCTCGGAGACGGCCTAGATCGACGCCCTGCGGCACACGAACAACCTTAACTTCTGTTGTGTGGGTAGTGCTGTCGTCGAAGCTGATGATCATGCAGGATGGGATGTACAGAAACTGGCCCTCAATCTCAAGGACGCGGGACGACATCATCATGTACTCCTCCAGGCGATGAGTCGGTGCCCCGTACATCATGAGTGCTCGGCATAGCTTAATAAGGTATCGATGGCGGAAGATGATGCCTGCAATGTGAACGGTGATTCGGGCTTGGTCCTTCTTTGGCTTTGGGGGGTGTTGGGCGGCATTCTCGCGACGGATTTGTTCGGCCATGCGGTCGGATAGCTCGCTGGATCCCGGTGCTGCGAAGATGGACGACGACTTCATGAGTTCAGTTAGGGTAAGAGAAGATGCTGAGTGATGCGACCGGTGGAGGTTAAACAAACCGCTAGAGCGCTTAGACCTTGGGGTTCCAGATCGAGATACAGGTCTCGAGGTCGGGGGTGAGGGCCGTGGCGAAATGACGGGAGTTGAAGGATTGGTCGTAGGTGTGTTGTTCCCAGTGCTACCATGTCCTCCTCCTCCTCCTCCAACGGATCTATCATCGTGATAGAGCTTGAGGAGCGAGGAGAGGACTCCTCCACGGTATTTGCTGGGTCGGGGCACATAGTCATGGACATAGTCTTGCTGAGCAACGGGAGTTGAGGTGCCAGACGTGGCCCGGGGAAGGTGAGGGTTAAAGAGATCTTTTCTTCCCTTGCGTGTGTATGAACGAACGAGCTTCTCGGCTATATCGTGTTCGTCCAAAGTGGCAGCATTAATAGCTTCATATTCATCTGGGAAGACTTTGTGGGGGGCACGACGCCGGAGATTCACATCGTCGGCGGAAACACCAGCTTGACCCCGACTAGAACCGCCGCCACCAGCAGCACTGGGACCAGACGTGACAAGTGGACGTAGCATGGGTGGAGCCCCCCTTGCGGGTTTCGATCTGATTCCCTTTCCCTCGTCATTATCATAGTCATCGACTATAACAGCAGGACGCGGGCTTCTTCCACTGTGGGGGTCATCTGAGTCGCTGAGCAAACTCTGGAATGAGGCACCAAGGTCCTCAGAGTTTCGTCTGGAACCTGGGGCAGAGTGGCTACCCAATGAAATGGCAAGCTTGTCTGCTCTATTTCTCGCGTCGGTGATGGATCTCAGGGTCCTCTTGTCCGCTCGTTGCTCGGCTTTGTCGGCCTCCTCCTTCTCATGGGGTACATCATAGCTCGTGTTACGTCGCAATGCCGGTCGTGGGGGACGGATTCCAAGCCCGCGGTTGGAAGCCGGGTCCCAATCAGGTTGCAAGTGGAACTGAGGCGATGGTTGGTCGACGACGGTGTTATCAAACGACTCATCGGACAAGACCTTGGTGAGCTTGCGGCTGAGCTCAAAAGCGTCCGGGCCGCCCGGACTTAAGGCGCCAGCAGGGAGCTTGGGAGAAGCTGATGGGGATAGGGTTGAGAGGTCAAATTGGCTGGCTGGTTCTCCTCCACTACCACCACCTCCACTGCTGCTACTGGTGTGCCAACCAACGCGCTTCTTCTCCCTGCGGGCCGGCGTTGGGGCATCACTGGCCCTACCACTGTCCCTGCCGCTGTCCCTACCACTATCCAACAGCTCGGCCGACATGGACTTGGCCGTCTGTGTCTCTCCTTGATTCCTTTCACGATGTTGGTATAAGTGAGCCCGACGAGGCACGCTGTACGTAACTCCTTGTTGCAGAGGCTGTTGACGATGCCTGGATTCCGATCGATGGACCCTGAGACTTGTCTCAAGAGAGTCAACCTGAATAGGAAAAGAGCTTGGAGCTTGACGAGGAGGTGTCTCTGACTACTCTCCAATTGAGGTAGGTGAGGAATTGTTCAATGAACGTGGGCCAGAGAGGCTTTGAAAGAGCACACGAAGCTGCTTCTACAAACCCAGGAGACAGAGAGAAAGCTTGCCAGGCGGGCACAGAGAGGATAGCCTTCATAACGACGGAGCAAGCGGTGGTAAAAGCGGGCCGCTGGGCCTTCCCGCACAGGAAAACACATCAGCCTTCTCCACCATGATCGATACTCGTTGCTCACGAACAGACTGAGTGGTTGAGGTGTAGCGAAGTGGCCCATCAAGGGAGCCCCTCAGTGGGAAGGGGACCTGGCATGGTCATGGATGGCGAAAATGTGACTTAATTAGGCGCGAGATAAGAAGGCTGTGGGTCGCCGCAGACACTCCGAGACAGAAAAGAGGAGAGCATTCCGTAGATAGTTGACAGCCTTCCATGGCATGGCAGCGAGTGGGTGGTGAGTTTCGAGGTGACTGGGTTGTTGTTAGGGCGGTGGACTATTTGCGGGTTGTTATCGCCCAGGAAGGAGAAAAAAACCTGCGGCCACACCACCAGTGTACGAAATGGTTTACGAAGACTCCACCGTCTGACTCTTTCCCTCCTTCGATTGTTTGCGCCTGCCGTCGTCCTCCTCCACGCATTGTTCGCTCTTCTCGCACAATTCAATAGTTAAATGCATTGGCTGGCCTGCACAATCACCACATCTACATAATCCGTAATATTACGAGGCTGCACACTTGGGAAACTCGGCGGCCGATCCCCCAACGCCCGCAGGGATTAGTGGCCTACCAGCGTGTATGACGTCTGCCGCCGCAGAAGCTGCCGCAAGATGCGCGCAAGTAACATGCGATTCCCCTCTCAACCTGCGGCTCTTCCTTGTCGCCGAGCTGTGTATTGAGCAATAGATCGACGGAGGAAGCGCAATCGCCTGCAACCGCCGCCAACATGCAGATTCGCTGCATCTGCATCGTGGAGTGTGCGGGCGTGGAAACACATGCCCTCTCTCGGCCTGCTGTCGTCCGAGAGCTATCAATGCCCCTGGCAGCCCTCGATTCGCATGTGCACAGAAGCCGGCAGCACACTCGCTGAAGCTTCCAGGGCTTTGGGAGCCGCTACGGGCAGCGCGAGCCACCACCACGGCCTCCAACCCCCACTTGAGACGGGCGTCAAACCGGGCCTCAAGTCTTCAAGAGCCACTAGAATCCACAGAAGAAGCACGCTGATCCGAGCCGCTGGGTCCCACCGCCCCTGATTGATGGACGCCGCGGCCGTGCGTGGCTCTGAAAAGCTCGTCTCACAGCCACCCGCTAGCGGGACCCTGGCAGCCTCAGCGGCCACGACGCAAGCTCTGTAGCTTACCACGCTAGAATCGCAAATCGGGCGCCTGCAGGCCGAGCAAGGATTTCCAGGTCGCCACTGAAGAGATTTAGACTAGCCGTAAGACAAGGGACCGGATCACGAAAAGCTCAGACACTCCCGAACCATCCCATGATTGGGGACATCTCAGCTTAGCCGTGATAAGAAGCTCCCGCGCACGCGGTTTTGGGTGTTCTGACTCATTAGTATCACGCATTGATATGACTAGTCCTGCCAGGCAACCTGGCTGGCACTGCGTGGTTCATGCGCCTCTATTCCGGCTCCCGGGCTGGCGTTCCCGTCCCTTCTACAAATCTTGCGGGCTCTATAAATGGTGATCAGGATATTTGAAATCACGTTTGCTATAGGTGGCTCACCTTTGCTTTCGGGGAGCTCGGAGAGGGTTTGAGGTGGGAATCTTGATGATGGTCCCTCGTCTCGGGATACCCTAATGGGCAATAGCGCAACGGCTCTGGTTAGCTTCCATCATGTTGCACCACAGACCAAGCCCAGCTGCATGTTATGCTATCTTTTCTGCAATTGCGTTATCATAGCTGCCCCTTTCCTTGGATCTCCTATCTAGGTGATGATCCGCTCATGGTTGGCCATCATATCTCAGCAACTTGGCTGATCAATCTGTACGTGTCACACAGCTTCGTATCTCGAGTGACGGTTTCCTCAAACTCAGTTGAAGAAAACAAGGGCGAGGGTTCCCACCTTCTTTTCCTCCAAGCTGAGGATCAATTTTTTCCACCGAGATGAGAGCTTCAATAGTGGATTCGGTAAATAGAAGCTCATACTTACTAGTCTAGAGTTAGTGAAAGGGAACAAACACCCATGTTACCCTAGATTACCGGCAGAGACCCCTAGTTCTCACCTCGATCCCAAGATTGTTAGATTTGTGGATTTATTGTTGGGCATCAATCGCTAGAATGAGCATTCCGGCCGGGGTCTTTTCGCCATCGCGAGCAAGCCTCTGACATTTTGGTCCAGCCTCGACCTCGTTTCATTCATGGGTCTGTTATCCGTGTTTCCACCTTCGGTCCGTCCTGCATACTACGACGGCTATCTCTAAAGATAACTTGGCATGGCAACAGAGTCCAGGGCTAGCATCACTAGCACGATAAAGCTCCGGATGGCTAAATACGCCACCAAAGTCAAGTTGAAGGTACAGGCTTGAAGAATACGATGATAACGCACCCCTCTCCTGGAGATGGTGTCGAGCTTCAAAAGGTGGGCCACTACAGATGCGGCTCCGTCTGCCTAACCTAGACCTCGGGAGGGCATTGTTCAGGAAAGCGTGCGTTGGCTGCCTAATTCTGCCGCCCTGGACCCTCACCGCTTTAGGGCCACTATAAAATTCCGCAGGCACCGCCAAAATTTTGGAACTTTTTCTTCTTTCTTCTTTAGCTCTCTTTGCCTTTTGGCTTAGATCAAGTGTAGTATCTGTTCTTTTCAGTTTAATCTCTGAAAGGTCTCTAAGGAGACCAATCGTGATTATTCCTATTTTTGGCCTTGGGATGGTTTCCTCTGCGCTTGCGCATGATTCCGTCCACAGTGTCCCTGGTATTACACTGCCTCCAGGCGACGCGAACATCCTTTTTCATTGCTTGTGGCGGCTTGCCCGTCAAGGTGAAGAAGAAGAAAGCAGACATTTGTAAATCCACAGGACAGCCCGTGAACAGTAGATCGTAGATTTGAGGGCCCACGCGTCATACGAAATAATCTGCTGGTCACGACGCACCGATCGTGGGTTTTGTTTGGCCTGCTAGAATCTCAACGCCTCGTCTTTTTGTGCACTCCATGCCGTCGGCATTAATGTCTCCAGCTCAGCTTGGTATGAGGTGGTGTTCCCTGACCTTCTGGCGTAGCTTCCCATCTCTTGCTCAGTGCCGACTTGAGTAAGGTTTTTTTTTTCGTGATGCTATCGTGGTGTTTCACAGCAACCACAAGACAGGCCATCCAAAGGATCGACCCAAGTATCATTGTACGGTAGAGATGAAAAGCAAGCATCTCTTTCTCTCTTTGGGAGTAGAGTGAGATCAGGAAGCTCCCATTAGGTTTATCGCTACTGAGCTGGGCCACGCTTGAGTTTGTGAGGGAAAACTGATGGATGATCGTAACTGTTGGGTTCGCGCGAAAGCACCGTTGCTTGTCTGGATTTTCCCCCACTCCAGGGTGATTATTTAGCAACCGAATATTACTTCAACGCGTGACTCGAGATGCTTATTTCCCGGACTGGCGTTAAAATCGCAAACTGAAGCTCTTTTCAGGTTGGAAGCCAGAATATAGGGTAGGCTAGTTTTCGGTGGCTCGGTTTCGACACCATAGAAGGTGGTCAAGAGCTTCCTACAATAAAAATTTCCGGAGCCCATTACCGCTAGATCTCCATTCTGCTCTAACAATCACATACCTGTATTCTCTATCGCTCTGTTGCTCTGACACTGGCCAGCAGTGACAGAATATCCCCGGCCAATAATGTCAGAAAATGGGGGATCTTGAGATCGGATTTCGGATCGCCGATTGCCGACGAAGTTTGTTAATCCCGGGGGGTTGCAGCCATGCAGCGTTTGATTGTTCCAATCTACGTGCCTCTCCAAGCGGATTTCCATTGCTCCCTCTCGATGGTCATTGACTCCTGAGCCTTCCAATTAAACCTCGGACCACCACTCCCCAACGCCGGTCGACAATGTCTCAAAACAACCGCATCGTCCTCCCGGACAGGCTCGTCCCCATGCGCGTCATCGTCTGCGGTGCCCAGCGAACAGGAACCCTCAGTGAGCTCCTCCCCCCTCCTCCTAACCCCCCTGTTCACTGAAAGCAAAAAACTGACCAGCATCGCGACCAGGCGCGCGCAATGCGCTCTTCCGACTCGGCTTCCACGACTGCTACCACATGCACGACGTCCGCAACAACCCCGTGACCGACGGCCCTCAATGGATCCGCGCCCTCCGAGCCAAGTTCGCCGGCGAGGGGACACCATTCGAGAAGGAGGACTGGGACAGGCTCCTGGGCCGGTGCCAGGCCGTCTCTGACGTCCCCGCCGCCTTCTTCGGGCCTGAGCTTGCGGAGGCGTACCCGGACGCCAAGGTGATCATCCTGAACCGCGACCCCGAGAAGTGGTACAACAGCGTGTTGGGTAGCATACACAGCGACAGGACGTTGGGCTTCAAGCTCAAGATGATCTTCTGCCTCATCTTCACTCCCGAGGCGAGGGCGTGGGTTCGGTTCGGCATGACGATGGGCTCGACGTTCGGGTTCAACATCCGTACTGAGAAGGACAAGGCGCTGGCCTGGTATGAGAGGACCTACGAGGAGTGGAGGGAGGGTATCCCGGAGGAGCAGCGTATCGAGTACTCTGTCGGCGATGGGTGGAAGCCTCTGTGTGATCACCTTGGGGTTCCTGTGCCCTTGGTGGAGGACCCAGAGAGCGGCGAGTTGGTAGAGCCACCGTTCCCTCACGTCAATGACCGATCCTCATTTCTCGGGGAGATGGCACATGTTCAGGCTGGCTGGGTATCAAAAGGCGTCGACAACTTGTTCGGCCTGATAGGCAGGACTGTTGTATATGGGTCGGCGGCGTACGTTGGCTATTTGGTTTGGAAGACACGACTTGGGGGTCGTATCTAGCTAAGGTGTAACTCTATGATTGTATATAATTACTGTATAACCTGTATATATTATGCTGTGATTGATATCCCCTGCTCCAAGTCTCAGATGTAGACATGTCTCATTGTTCAAGAACCGATCTCCTGGCTTTGACTGAGTCCTCAGAACTGGTAGAGATGTCATCCGAGGTTTTGTATTTGAGTGATATCATACAATTGTCGCCCAGTGGAGTGGACAGCTTACAATAGTTAAGGTAGTTGGAACGAAAAGCCCGAAGTACATACGTAATGTAGCTTGATGATGGATCTATTCGCTATCCCGGATTCGCTACCAAAGCGCCAGAATGGAGGAGTGACAGGTGGCAGACCAAGGGTCGCGCTCACGACCTTGGAAGATTTACCGCACGCTGGTCTGGTATGTCTGCACCGTACCTTCCACACTTAACCGCACACAACAAGTAGATGTTGAAGCACTCATGGGTGATTTCGAATACAACGATCTGTGGGAACGCAGACATTGTTCCTCGGGACATCTCGGTTACGTCTAGGAGATGCCCGAAAGCACTGGTGACAACCAGATGGCGATCTTTGAAATATTTCCAGAACAAAGCTGTTGATATTGGGTTCTATGATAGACTCCGTAGTTGGAAAAGGTACACTCGGCCCATTCAATGGCCAGATCTCGTATGTGTCGCTTTGACACTTTGTAGTTCAGGCTCATATACATCTACTCATCCATATGCTGCATTACTCGATTACTCCGGATCACTGTTTATCTGCGATAAACTATTCCCCTCCTCTCTCTCCGGTCCTGGCAACTGATACTACCGAATCTGATAGAACAGCTATTCTGTCAGGGGAGATCAAATGGCGGCCCTTAGTGCCTTAGTTTCGCGATTTGTCTTGTCCGCCGGTCCGCTAATGCTGTCATCTCGTCTATGAACTGAGAAGATTGATCAATCGTATAGGCGTGTAGTGTCAGCTTGAGGATTGGCGTGGGGTTTTCAACTACTGCAACCAGCTAACATCACGATTGACTCCCTCCCACGCCAACGGAGAGGTGTTACTTTACTCACTTGACTACATCAAAAGGAGAAGACGACACTATTTCTTCGGCCCTCGCAACCTACCACTCCAACTCAAGCTCCTTCCCCATGATGTTCTTGTCCAAAATTCCACTTCACTTCCTTCATGAACAGTCGCATATCGACTTTGAAGCTAAACCTGGCGTGAAAACCATTAAACCTGAGATAATTTTAATAAGAAGATGGGCTAATGGAACGAATATCTCAACCTCTGAGATTGTTCATTGGAAGAAAGGCTGGATGCAATTTGGTGATAGCATCACCATGACAAAGCCTCCGTCTTGTAAATCGCGAAGATTTGCAAATCCTTTTGCGCCATCAGGCCATCGGATGTCGATAGGCTTGGCTTCCCCAAACTAATGGTCCGTCTATCCCCTGCTGGAATAATTGGTGGCGACAATTGGCCGGAGATGGCGCCGGGTGGCTTCGATGGAGAGTGCCAAGGCGCCGGCGCAAATAAGGTGTACGGGGTGCTGGACATTGCAACATCTTTGCGTTTACGAGACACCAGAAAGAGTGGTTGACTACGGCTGCCAAGTGAGAATGCCAACGCAAATTTGAAGGTTCAGGAATGCAGCGTCTTTGGGGTGGGCTTGGCTGCGACGATGGCAATCAGATGAATCTTGGCAACTCGTAGCAGGCGGTGATATAAGCAAGGATGAGATGTCACTAAACGTGGAATGGATGTTGGCGCTGCCCTCCTATTGTGATGGAAACGAGACTATTGCTTCTAGAAGCCGCAGGGGAGAGTGGATGGCTAGTCTTATTATCCTCCCATTACATGGGACCATTTCCATCTCGCGGCATTTTTCACTCGGCTGTCGTCGGGGCAGTAATATCAGATCGGACTAACTCCCGACATCAGCTCATTGGAACCAAAAGGGTTCAAATGGGCCGTGGATATAATTTCCTGACCTGGAACTTCCAATACGAAGTAACAAAATCTAACGGTCACCAGTACGAAAGGGGATGTAGGTTCAGGAAGTGAACAGGCGACTTCCGAACCATTGAATAATTGGAGGGGTCATCCCTGCATTAGTGCCAAATCTTGTTTGAATCATGTCCCCCTGTACACTTGCGAATCGATGTGCTCAAATCTAGTTAATCGGCGCCCTCATCGAGCCACTCTGCAAATAAAGCTGTGGACTTGGGCTGGCGAGTGGCTCTCGTGGGTGGCTTGCCAGGGGCTGCGTTGGCATCATCTGGCGAAGGCTGCTCCCCGGCATCAGCTTCTTGAGAAGCCATGTGGCTTTGCATTAGCTCCAGTCGCTGCGCTATCCAAGCAGCGAGGCCGGCAAACATGCCAACCTTTGGCCATCTGCGGCAGAATCTGGCGAGAGCCTCATGCTGTCCCTGGATGAACTGCATCTGGATGTCCGGCGTGGTCGGTTTCCCTATCAACGGAGCAAGAAGGTTCGATAGCTTCTGTAGGCAGATGGGGCACAGATAGGGCGGCTGGCGGACATCCTCGGCGATATTGGCAGTCCCTTGCATGACACAGGCGAAGAACGAGCAGTGGTCGAGGACCATGCAGTGGCCTATCTCGTGGGATATGGTCCTAGCCGTACGGGACATCCATAACTGGGCATAGTCCTCCGTTGTTCTAGGCACGAGATGCTGGCTGCCCCCCCGTACAGCCGAGGCAAGTGGTGAGGTTTCACCAACTGGGATGGTTGGCACACTGGGCGGTTTGACCTTCTTGGCTCGCTTTCTGGCAGGTTCCGTCGTCGTCTGACAAAGCCCGTCTACATATTCTTTGCAATGCGACGCTGGCCACATGTGCTCTCGGTCAATGCCTGAGTAACGATCTAAGGACGGATGATACCGAAATGAGGAGACGATAGCCACGCGACTAGACCCCCATGCTCTCCCGCAGCAGAAATCGTCTTCATCGTCTTCGTAAAGATCGTGGTGGGTTAGCATGACAATTGAATAAGCGTCTGGTGGGATATGAGCCAGCATAGCATCCGTAATATCGCTTAGGTTCAATTGCTGCTTCGCAATACCGTCTAGCGATGGTCTATATCGGACACCGAACAGCTCGCCAGTCGGAGCGGCTGGCTCCAGACCGAGATAGGCGTCATGCCCCTTTCTGGATTTCGAGCTCCGCGTTGAAGATCCGGATGAGGTCCCGTTCCCGGTCCACGATCGCCACAGATACTGTGGCCTAAAGACCTTGATCTCCATAGGGTGGTAGAAGGCGCGCAGATAGTCGCACAGATCCTCCACCGTTGGGGCTGCTAGTTGGCCAGACGGCAGGCTTGGCACCTTCTGGCCCCTCGGCACCTGGGGTTCCGCCCAGCCCTTCATGAGGGACTGGACCTCTTCCGCCTCATTGGGGGTTGGGATGACGTAGAGAGTCTTTCTGCGGTTGGTGATCTGTCTCCCAGGGCCGCGAGAGTACTTGAACCACTCTTTGAAGGTCTGCGGATCGTCGTCCTCGGGGTCCTGGGCAATCTCGTCGTCTGGGAGAACCAACGGACCAGGAAAGACGGACGGATTATTGAAGACCTGTGCCGGTGTTGCCAGCTCGTCAGCGTTTGTGGAGGTCAATCTCCCGGTGAGGGTGGCCGCCTCGAGGCGACTGTGGGCCGCTGGGCGCGAGAAGCCAGCAATAGCGGCTTCAGGCGACGAGTCGACGTAAAGGGTGTCGTGGGCACAGCAGCCACTGGCGTTTCTAAGTGGCGGGGGCATTTCGGCCTCGTCGGCAATGGCTGTGGCTGTTGGCGGCTTTGGCTGACTCCGAGTACATTCGAACAAGGTCTAGAGGCTGCTGGCGACTGAGTCGTGAACCAACAGAGATGTGGTGGAAAAAATGAATGTGCAAGGAAGACTTTGCCTCTGGTGAGATTACGCCGCATCTTGAAGGATTAATTTTAAGAAAAAATATTAGCTTCCAACCCGCAGACGCAGCTAGGCAGCAGCGCCTCATAGTGCTTTGAAGCCATCAAGTTCGTGTTTGGTGAATTCTGGTGATGTTTTTAGAGTGCTGATGGCGCCTGCTGATGATCAGGCACGGCACAGCCCATGAGTCTGTCGGACTTCGGCTTTGAGAATGCACAGCGCCGTGCACGACTCAGGTACCTGGAGCAGATGGGGCTGGTAGCAGTTGCCTTAGCAGGAGGTACTGCCTAGGCTGGCCCTCCCGGTCACGTTTCGGCCCCGACAGGGATTAGACGACGATTAACCGAGCTGCATACCGGTACCTGGGCACTGCCATCGGCCTAAGGGTTTAGCTCAGCAGCCAGTTGGTCGCTGCTCGGCGGCGATTGGACTCCCTAGACCCTCTAAAGCTGGATACCCGATGGCGCTAATTTCATTTATTGATCGAGGCTGGCCGACCTGGACTTGGCAGATTCTTCGCGACTGAAGAAACTTGTGACACATACCCGCGGTCGGATTCAGGGGAAGAGGGCCCCGCGGTTTGATAAACATCAAGCGGTGGGCCGTGGACTCGCACTCGCCCATGGGGGAGATCAGGCGAGAAACGGGGAGGTCTGCTCTGCCCGCTCATCGATCAATAACCCATCGGCATGCATGTCTTGGATGGAATGCAGGTCAGGCCTAGTCTGATCGGATCGGATGGGAGGTGGCATCTGAGCCGCACTCGATATCAATTAATCAATCTGACATTTTTCTAGAAGCCGCCGACGCCTCCGCCACGTGAAAACCTGGCTCTCCAGCTGGAGGGTAAGACTGCAGGCCGGGGGCATAGCGGGCGGTCCTTCCATGTGTGGCGAGGCAGTATATGCCGCAAAGGTTTGGTATCAGCCAGTCGTTTGGCCTCGCCCGGCTGTCTAGTGGCCGGGCATCCCACTAGAGGTCACCCCATCCCCTTGCCTTTGTGGATGAATCCACTCGCTAGACCCGTTCATCGTCATGGAGGGAGGGTCGGAGATGGTCGCTCTCGTTGGTTGACTGGCTCTGCGTTGGTCTGGATCACAGCTGCCAGCTCCGGTGGGTGTGTGGCCGCCAATTTTATTCAACCAGACGTGAAAAACATGCGGCTGACGCAACCATCTTCTCTGTTGGTTAGTCTCTCCAGGGGACGCTTCTGCTGGATAAAACTGATCGTCTTCCCAGCTGGCGGGCCCAGATCGCATGTTCCAGTCTTTCGTTCCCATGCATGCATGTCAGCGCATCATGCTTCATAGTGGGTTGAACGAACCGTGTCGATCCTCATAAGACTCTGCTTCTTTCTTTTTCCTCTCCGCTCCGCTCCTCTCCCCTGCTCCTCCATCTTCGTCATTGAAGATTTGTGAAGAACCACTGAAGCAGTTCATGGGAAGCGCTTTGATCACAACGACCGCCCACCATGCTCGCCCTCGAGCCTGAGTCTTGGGTATGGTACGCCTTGTCATGGGTGATTGTCCTGATCCGGATGTAAGGCATTTTCCTCGCAAACTTTTGAAGCTCATCTGATATCTTATCGTTTCGTCTAGGGCCTCGCGAAAGCTTGTGCTTGGGTCATGGAGGAAGCTGCAGATTGATGACTATCTAATGCTCGTCGCTATGGTATGAAGTCTCTGTGCTGTGATGCAGTCTTCGTAGCTTCGCTGTGTGTTGACCGATTTGATGCTAGGCCACCGATACCGTGCTCATTGTGTCTATGAACATTGTTGCTAGAACGTCGAGTAACCTGATTGACCCCAGTTTGCATGAGGAACTCACGCCGGAGAACATCGCCGAACGAGTCTATGGATCCAAGATGGTTTTGGTCGTGGAGCAGATGCAATGTGTGACTATTTGGATGATCAAGGCGTGCATCTTGCTCATGTACCACCGATTGACGTATGTTTCTTTGCCCGGATGAGCCATCACCGTCATTACCATGTCCAACATTTGACTGAACCCTCTGACCGTCACACAGGATGAGTTTGAAACAGAATCTGGCTGTCAAGATCGTGGCCGGATACACTCTTGGATCCTTTATACTGATGGAGATTCTCTACCTGGGAGTCTGGTGCCGACCATTCACAGAGTACTGGGCTGTTCCACCTGCAAGCAGTGAGTGCCGAATCTATTTGACCCTGGCGAAGCCCAATCATTTGCTGATGTGTATCAACCAGCCCAATGTTCGGCTGCGACAAACCATCTGATTACCAATGCCGTTTTCAACCTTTCGTCCGATATCATGATCATCTTGATCCCCATGCCCGTGTTCCTGAAGTCGACTCTTGGTATCAAAAAGAAGGCTGTTCTTTGCGGTATCTTCGCTGTTGGACTTTTCACGGTACGTCAAAGAATACCCAGGCTCATCAATCAACACGTTCCCCTAATGCTCACAATCCTCAGATCTTGTCCGCCATCCTCAGCAAATACTACAGTTTCAACCAGCCCTTCGGCGTCGACTGGACCTACTGGTACATCCGCGAGTCCTCCACCGCTATCATCACGGCCAACCTGCCCCTCACCTGGTCGCTCCTCCAGAAGTGCTTCGGCCTCAAGTCCTTCAAGGACTACTCGAACCCCTACTCGAACCAGAACACCAACTCCCGCTTCCGGTCGACCACGTACGGCCGGCAGAGCACCAAGCGCGGCGGCACGCGATCCGCCAGCCAGGAGCGCATCACCAACGTGCCCCTCAAGATCTACCAGAAGCGCGAGGTGCAGGTCACCAACGCGCCCGTGAGCCCGACGCGCATAGAGTCCTCGGAGGAGTCCCTGCCCCTCCCCGACCAGCTGAGGACGACGGTGCACGTGAGGGGCGGCAACGCGAGCTCGCATAATGAGGAGACGGCCTCGGAGAGGTCGGTGGCCGGTGCTGTGAACGTGCATGTCGCGAATGGCGTGTGAAGCCCCCCCGACACTGTATTACTTTCTTGAACCTATATCTTTGTTTCCCACATATCTTGACATAATATTTTGTATTTAAAGCCATATAGAGATGACACATTACGAATAGAAAGTCTCACGGAAGAGACAGGGTACCCTTGTTTCGATCGACCCAGATCGCTGGATTTGACATGTAGATGATGGGGAGGTATTGTAAGTCGTTGCTTTGGAAGACGTTGAAGTTGGCAACATTCTTAGTAAGTCTTTGGATCCCTTCCACCACCCAATGTAACCACACTCTGGAAGTGATCAAGCGGCACTAGTCAATCAGGGAGGTGTGATTACAGATTTGGTGCCCATAACCCGCGGCTCTCATTATCCGGATTGAAGCCATCTCGACTGCCCCACGGGGAAATCCTTCAGGCGGGGGAGGGGCATCGGTGTATGGGATCGGTGCCATGATAGCCCACCTTGATTTACCTGTTCAGGAAGATGGTTTTCCGGAGCGTGGAGGTGATGGAAGGATGCTTGCCCTCGTTTGTTGTAGTTATTACCAGGCCAGAGCGCCGTTATTTAGACTTGGATCTGGTTAGAGACGAGCAACTGTCTTCTTTCGATATACGCCTACAGGTTGTCGGATTGAGTCTTGCAACATGGCGGCCTTGGACCCGACATCAAATGGCTTTGTAAGCTTGCCGTTGCTGGCATCGAGCCTTGCGCTGGTGGTTAGTATCTGATAACTATTGATGTTTTCTTCTCTGTCGAGCCATCAGCTTCTGATCACTGACATAGGGAATCGCATACTTGCTCTTCATCGCCATCTATCGTCTCTACTTCCACCCTCTATCCAAATATCCAGGCCCCTTCCTGAACAGAATCTCTCCCCTGCCGCTCTCCATCGCCCTGCTCCGAGGCCGCCTCCCCTTCTACGTCAAGCACATCCACGACAGATATGGCCCCGTCGTCCGCCTCACACCCACCGAGCTCTCCTTCAACTCGGAGCGATCCTGGAAGGACATCTACGGCTCCCGCCCGGGCCACCCCAACTTCCACAAGGACCCCATCCACGTCGGATCCGTCCAGGCCGTCCCGGGAGCCGTCACAATCACCATGGCTAACGACGCCGACCACGCCCGCCAGCGCCGCGCCCTCTCCCACGCCTTCAGCACAAAGGCTCTCCTCGAGCAGGAGAGCCTCATAACGTCCTACATCGACGCTCTCCGCGACGTCGCGAACCAGCACGCCCGCGAGGGCCGCGTATGCAACCTCGCCGACTGGCTTTCGTATACCACCTTCGACATCATCGGCCACCTCTCCCTCGGCGAGCCCTTTGGCTGCCTCGCCTCCTCTGACCTCCGCTTCTGGGTGGGCCTCATCTCCGAGTCCATCAAGGCCGGCGCCGTCGAGCAGGCGGCCCGCCGCCTCGCCACGACGGGCTCTTGGATGCAAAAGCTCCTCCTCAGGCTCCTTGCGCCGCCGGAGCTGCGCCAGCAGCGCGTCCGGCACCTCGAGTACTCGCGCGAGAAGATCCTCAAGCGCATCGCCGCGCCGGGGGGTAACAATACGCACAGGGACTTTCTGCACTACCTCCTCCGGCAGGGCGACAAGGAGAACTTGAACCAGGACGAGATCATCGTGAATGGCGCGCTGTTCATCATCGCGGGTTCCGAGACGACGGGGAGCTTCATGACGGGGCTGTTCAACCATCTCCTTCGCCCGGAGAACAGGCGCGCGTACGAGAAGCTGAGGGACGAGATACGCGGCGAGTTCGCACGGGACGAGGACATCACCTTTGAGCGGTTGTCCAAACTGCCATGGCTCGGCGCGGTGCTGGAGGAAGGGTTGCGCATCTTCCCCTCCGCGCCCATCGGCTTCACGCGGCAAGTCCCCGCGGGAGGAGACACCGTGGATGGGGAGGTGCTGCCCGGCGGCACGACGGTGTCGACGTGCATGTGGGCGGCGACGCACGCGCCCGAGAACTTTGCCGACCCGTACGCGTTCCGGCCGGAGAGGTGGCTTGATCGGGAGAAGGCGACGGATAGGCTGGGGGCTAGCAATCCGTTTTCGCTCGGTCCGAGGGGGTGTATTGGTCGCAAGTGAGTTATTGGATTACACCCGGAAGTGTTAATGATGTGAGGTGTGTGTTACTGACTTTGGGGTTTAGCTTGTCTTATATGGAGCAGAGGCTGATTGTGGCCAAGCTGCTCTGGCATAACGATATCGAGATGACAGGGGATGAGTCGTGGAGGGTGTGGGATCCTGCGAATGACCATGAGAATATGCAAGTGTTTACGAACTGGATCAAGATGCCTTTGAATGTGAGGCTGATTCCACGGAAAGTGAGTGATGGAAACAGTCATTCTAGCTTGTGCGGCGAGTAAATCATACTTGAACATCATGTTGCCCCGTGAGGTATGAGTTAGTGCATCTATTCATTCATCATTTAATTACAACAAAAAAGGAATCTATACAAATACAAGACGAGCGACATGGTGATGCCTAGACATGCTCCTCGCGCGAGACATGTGCGTCAAGAACCCCATTTCCTCCGTCGGCGCTCTTCTTCTTCTCCGTACCAGCAGACCCAGAGACACTGAGCTTCCTGAAATGCGCCTCGTCTCTCTGCTTGCGGGTGATGTAACCAGGAGGCACCCACTTGTGGCTCGTCCACGGTTTGAGACCAGGCTGGCTGTACATGAGGTCGACATTCTCCAGGCTGAGGGTGCGGGACTCATAAAGGAAGAACCAGGTGACGAGAGCGGCGCACAGGTTGGTCCCGGCGAACACGAAGCCGTAGTAGTAGCTGATTCCATCTGTCGCAAGTGGAGTGAGGAAGCCAACCATGACTGTGAATAATTTGTTAGCTTACATCGAGAGTTAATAGGAAAAGAGGGATAGCGTACAGTTTCCAAGCCAGTTCGCGGCGGTGGCAAGAGACGCCTGCTTGGCGCGAGTTCTGAGGGGGAATGTCTCGCCGATGACGACCCAGGCCATCGGGCCCCAAGTCCCGGCGAAGGAGGCGATGAACATGCACGCGGACACAATCATCACAATGCCCGAGGTGCTGTTGTCCTCGGGAGGCAGCGAAGTACCAATGGCGGCGAAGACGACGAGCCAGACAGACTGCCAGATGGCACCGAGGAAGAGCGGCCACCGGCGGCCGTATCTCTCGACGACATAAAGACCGTAGAATGTCATGGCGACGTTGACGGCGCCGAGTATGAGCTGCGTCTTGATGGGGTCCTCGATGCCGGCTGACTTGAAGATGGTGCTCCCGTAGTACATGAAGAAGTTGATACCAGTCCACTGCTGCAGGAAGTGAATCCCCATACCCAGGAACGTGCGGTAGACAAGCTTGGGAATGCTCGTATTAGGGTTGAAGCACTCCATCCATCCAGAAGTACCAACCTGCTGCTCCTTGTCGAGGACCTCACGCATCTCAGTGAGGTCGTCCACCACAAGAGAGTTATTCGCATCGTCCTTCATCCCCCTCAGCCGCGCCAGCGACCGCTGCGCACCCTCCCAGTCCCCCTTGGAGGCGAGCCACCGGGGCGACTCGGGCACGGAGAGGACGCCCACGCCCAGGGGCAGGGAGAAGAAGATGCCGAGGCCGATGACGATGCGCCACGAGGCGCTCTGGTCCTGGATGGCGCGGACGCCAAAGTTGATGAGGTTGGCGACGAGGATGCCGATGGTGATCATGAGCTGGTACGAGGCCACGACGGCGCCGCGGATCTCGCGGGGCGCGCACTCGGACTGGAACATGGGCACGCCGACGGAGAGGCTGCCGACGCCCAGGCCGGCGACGAAGCGGCCCATCATCATGTGGACCCAGCTGCGCATGGCGGTGATCTGGATGACGTTGCCCACGATGAAGACGCCGACGGCCATGGTTAGGCTCTTGCGGCGGCCGAACCAGTCTGCGGTGCTATAGAATGTAAGTCTTTGGAGGATCTTGCTTGTGTGGGCGTGGTGATGTGACTTACTATGCTCCGGACAGGGCACCGATGAGACACCCGATGCTCATGAGCGAGACGACGAGAGACTGGATGATGGGTTGCCAGTCCTTTGTGCCGTCGGGCTGCTCCTGCGCAAAGCGGTCGATGAAGTCTTCGAAGATGAGCATCTGGGAGATTTGACCGGTGTCATATCCGAAGAGGAAACCACCGATGGAGGTGACGACCCCGAGCAGAAGGGACTCGGCGCCTACTTCGGCGCCGTTCACCTTGACGGACCTGGAAGCAGTATTAGTGATTGAGTGGGCAAGAGACGAGAAGATGGGAGGCTACATACACTTTCCCCAGCATGGTGAAAGTAGCGTGGGATGGGATTGATGGATGGGAAAATCACTGGCTTAACATGGAATGGCTGTCTTGCATCTTCTTCGGTTATCCCTCCCGAATGTCTTGGATGGAGATATGGGGCGAGTAGAATGTCTATAATGCGAAAGGGAGATGGGGAAAACAAGAAAGGCGAGTGAGTGGATTATATAGATATCTTTCCCAGCATCTGGGACACCCTCACGATTCATTCAATCGGTGGAGTTGAGGCAGGCATTGTATCATACCTGGAGTCAGGCGATCAGCTGCCATACGCAGAGGCAGCAAACAATATGACCATGGCCATCAATTGACCTCATCTCGCCCGGGCACAAGCGAGCAGGATGCATGCTATTGGCCAATGCGGTAAGATCAGCAGCGTGGCTCTACCAACGTCATTAGATGTCGTCGAGCCCTGATCAAAGGCTGGCCGTGTCGACACTTGCCGCGATCCGGAATAGTGACGAGCTGCCACCGACCGGGACATGACATGCAAAGGACATGAGGCAAGGAGGCCATTCTCTTACCGAGCGGCCATCACTGGGGAGCGGTCTGGGGGCGCCCCCTCAGAAGGGCCGAGAGCCAAGTCACAGTGTTTGTTTTGACCTCAATGGCCCGATTGGTTTGGAATCGGCTCCGGTTTGAGATATTCGGAGAAATAATTTCCTTCTTTTTGATTTACATTCTTCTGCTGTAATTATCTAGGTAGGTAGACTAAACATGCGCTGTTGGCGACAGTGTGCGCAGGCCAAGCGGGTGGTTGGTGATGATAATGGCAGTTCGTGTAGAGGCGGTTTTGTCAGTGGCTTTTTCACTTCTCTCTGCCGTCATCCATCGCGTCAGCCAAGAAATCGACCACCGGCGACAGCGACGGAATGTCTCCCCCCCGCAGGTAAGCTTAAAGAGTCTGCAGATCAATCGGCGCCCAGAGATGAAAGGGGCTGCGGCCGCTTTTCATTTGGGTTGCACCAATCTGAACAATTAGCACAATTAGCGAGGAAATATTGGCTTTGGCATTCCGGCTGTGCGCCACCAGGTCATTCTTCTTGGCCCAGCTGTTATTCCCATCCTCATATTGAATTCTTAGCCCGCCGAGATATAATCCAGGCGAGGGATAGAAAAAGGCCATTGCGCGACGTCATGGGCTGGAGACGCCGCCCGATCGTGATCTGTTTGCCTCGGTGTTTTGCTCGGCCTGTCCCACAAAAAACTCTCCTCATCCAGGAGCCCAGGCAATGACATAACTACCCTGTAGAGCACCCATTTTTCACTTGACCGTCTCTCCTTTAATAACCATTTAGATACTCTTTTGTTGAGTTGATAGATACACTGGCCTACAGAGAGCAACCCTACATTGGGTGCAATGCAGGGCAAGTGGACGAAGGTAGCTCTTACATGGACATAAGGCTTTGTTTCGACAGACTGATGCGTAGATGGATTGTAGAACTTTTTGCCGGGGTGCTTGTTTCTCTTTGCTAATTTATTTACCGTCCAAAGAGAGGTACGGCATTAAAGTGCCGTCAACATCACCGAGCTACCCTCTCAGCTCTTGAACAGGCCGATGAGTACTCAGATCAAGGCCCTCTTTCATCCTCTCCCGTCTCTCATCAACCCATCTCCTCCATCTCTTGAATCTTTCCCTGTAATTTAAATCGGGTTCACCATCAGGGCCTAGATAGACCTCCTCCAACCTCTGCAGGCACGCCTCTACCTCGACCCTCTTATACACTTGCCCGCAAAACATGAAAACGAACGAGCCGGATATCTGCTCATAAACAAGCATCCCTTTATTCAGCAACTTTGGAGTAAACGATAAAAGCATGTCCAAATGTCGGGACATGAGCGCTGCTAGACGCTCCTCCGGCGCCACCGACTCGTCGTCATGCCCCGCATATCGTGAAGTGAGGCGGTCGGGCCGGTAATGTAGATCGTCTACGATGACACTCCTATGCTTCGAGGCATCTGGAGGTGCCGTGATATCGATAATGATATCCTTAACGACATATCTAGGGGCAACACCCAGATCGTCTTCAGGGCGGCTGCGGTCCATAAAGCCAGGTCCACGATGGAAGAACGCTTCTAGCAGCCCGTAGAATCCAGCCATAACGGGGTCTTGCTGCCCATAGCTCAAGTGGAACGTCAATCCATTGCGAAAATAGCTTCTCATTGCCTTGGGCGGATTGAATATCCGGAGTGTCGCGTACACGAAGTCAATGTACTGTGTGGATGCGGAAAAACTCCCCTTTCCAGGTAGAGGCGGCGGAACCGACCAAGTAGGCCAAAGACCAGACTCCTTAACGCACATGATGTCGACGTGGTAATTACTGGTGGGGAGGTACATGAGAAAGTTGCTGACTTCCTCGCTGACCTGTTTATTCACCCGAAGAAGAGAGAGAGCAGGGTTGTCAGGCGTGCGGTGAAAAATTCTCTGAGTATCTCTACTGCCATCGGGTAGGATCCGACGATTCCGTCGATCCCTGGCGGGAGAAGGAGGTGGTTTGGTAGCGGAGCAGATAACCCACCGGTAGATTCCGTACCTGATCTCCAGCGGCAGATTGAGAAAGAGCATCGTGTGTTCATCTATCACGGCTGCTTGTTGTTTCAGCAGCTGAGTGCGTCAAACTGAACTGCCGGCTTATCTTCACCTCTATTGATCGAGTATGGAGGAGGGATTTTTTTGACTAAAGAGCGGGTCATCATATCTTTTATGCATGGCATGACATGGTCCCAGGGTCTGGCGGTTGTCAGTTGTGAATCTTACATCAGAGTCAGCCAGGGTGACTCTCAGTCATCTCTTTGCCCGCTTTTGGCTGCTAGCTAATAAGACCGATCAGTTAACATGTCTTCTGATATGCCACAATATTTTGGAAGTTAGGATCGAGTTGGTCCGCACTTGTATGCTTGTTCTTGGTCGCTCCCGGCTTTAGACACCTGTATTGTAGTACGGTGCCCATATGACTTAATCACACATAGACTAGAGTTATCCAAGTTCCATTTGGGCAAAAGCATGGAGAGCAAGAAATCAGTCTCCTCGCTGTTGAGTTGGTGCTTGATCTAGTTATAACAGTCCCTACAGAAAAGCGCACCCTGTTTTTCGACTTCTTCCCGCTTGATCAGGATATTTCCAAGTTGCTAGTGACGAAGCGGGCAGATTTTCCGTGAGCCTACGGCGTTAACGTTGACGTTGACAAGCAGGTCGGGCTCGAGCCTGCAGTTTGCCAGCTTCCTTATGGCTTATCTGGCGACTTGACTCTGAATCTGGCACCGCATCAGACTATCACTATGTCATATAAACTCAAACGCACTTACCAAGCACATTTTCAGTGTAGCAATTGTTCTCGTGCCTCGATTGCCTGGTTAGAATAAGGCCGTGATCCATGCTGTACCGCTGCATCACGAAATGGTTGCTTTGGAAGTGAGACACCCACGTGCCGCCCATCTTGTAGGTATATCCTGAATTAATTAGTATATAAAAGCAGTTTGTATCAGTATTACTATGCCACCATCGAGATTTACGCGATAAGTCCTCCCGCCAATGCGATCCCTGGCCTCTATCAGAAGAGCCCTCTTCTCTGTTATTCATCTGATTAGCACACTTTGAAATCAAATACAGAGGATTTAAAGAAACTCACTTACTTATAAGCATCAGGTCCTGGTTGCCGTGAGGCCGGAAAAACCAGCACCAATAACCATGCAGCCGTACCTGTTAGTACTCTTCCTCCTAATGGAGGGTTGAAAAACGCCTTGGCATAGCAGCCCACCTTGGGACGTGCCCATACGGGGGGGTCTAAACATAGCCGTCCGCGGTATTTGTTGCCATCGTGTTGGCGTAAGAGGAAGAGGATGCTGGTCTAGTGACCCTTTTTTGAGGTCCAGTGAAAGCCTTCGTATGAGATTAATGGTACAAGACATCTTATAGTGCGGTCTAGCGAACCTCGGTTCGAAGATGCATGCCATAAGGGTCTCCAATATATTGAGAAAATCAATGATGCGAGAGCAAAAGCCAGACGGTGGTCAAGTGCAGGCTGTTATACCCTTGGAGAGTTAAGACATGATAGTATTCTGAACAAGTAGTTAAGATAGTAAGCTATATACATCAAATGTAATATTTGTACTTCCTCTACTGTAAAGGTATTTCCTTATAACTCGTTATAAGCCCGAGCCTAGATCGCCCTAAAACAGCTCACCAGAGTTGAATCATCTCAACCACGCCAAACCCGGCATGCTGTCCGAGAAACTTGCCCTTCGCCTCAATAAATCCAGCATACACAGTATTTCCGATCTGCTCTCCACCGTAAATCTCCTGATCTCCCCGTACCGAATCAACTTCGAGCCTATCGCCATTCTCGAAATTGAACGTCCAGCTGAGCGGATAGGTAACATTCCTATGATCAGATCTCCAAACGTTCGTTGTACTTGCGATCAAAGTATAGGGCAAGGCAAGGTGAGCCTCTTCGCCAAACCGAATAGTAGCAAACCTGTTTTCGGTAGGAACAGCTGGGGCGGCAAGATCGTAAGCCCATATACTGGCCTTGATTGCAGTTCCCGGAAAGTGAAGTTGAAATCAGGTCCAGCTCTGAGGGGCACCGTTTCCTGCCTGCCTGTCGTACCAAGTAAAAGACTTGGCAGCATCCACTTGGAGCTTTTCCTTTCCCACACTGAAAGTTCCATTCGTCTTCAATGCAGGAATGGCCCACTCAGTAGAGTTGGTGAAACCTTGCCCGAATGTGATAACCCCATTGCCACCATTTAGTAGCACCTTGGATTTCGCTTCGAAGGTGAGATCGTAAGAATAGTCTTTAACACTATTAAATGCGTGCAGAGAGGATATCTTGTCTTCGGATGTGGCCCCGAATCCATAGCTGCCCAAATGAATATCAATAGGGTTAGATGAGGAATGGGATACTGGTTCGCAAGTAGTGAGGTTGTTCCAATAACTTTTCGTTTCAAGGTCGGGGAGAAAAGATTTGCAGATGGAAGAATAACCAGCGGACCCTAAGATATGCTGGAGGGCCAAATATTGCTTTCCAGTCGTAGAGGTCAAGAAAGAACATAACCAGAAAGAACCACTGTCACCTTGATCCTCTATAAGATTGTATCGGGTCGGGATATGAGACTGATTGGGAATGTCAGCAGCCACTTTACTCTTGAAATTATTTGAAGATAGTAATCATACATTCTCATAAGTTGAATGACTATCGGGTCGAAACATATACGTCAACGCATTGGGGATAGACCCCAAGACGTATACGGCAACCATGAGAGCCATCATCTTGCTTATAGCATTGGAAGTATTGTTCGTGCAATGAAACGAAGGTAACGAAGACCAAGAGTAACGAAGGTTGGGAACAATGAGAGAGTGCGCGTGTTAGGGATTAAATCTTTTCCTCAACCATCTTAGTCTTAAAATCATGTTGCAATAACAGATACCAATACACGATCACCATGAACAGTGGCGGCATTCCAGAATACAGGTCGCAAGGATCACAAACGTTAGTTTGCTACGTAGGTCCACTATGATGTCAGGTAGATAATACGTATTTCACAAGGATAATAGCATATATCAATAGGTAGATCTATATTGTGGCGATGTATCTCCTTATTAGCCACATCGAATTCGCTGATCTACATCTGTTGCTAGAACCCTTATTCAGGCTTTATAGTGTGTACGATAGAGTACTCAATACCTATAAAAGCGTCAGGGCCAATCATGATTAGTGAATTCTCGACGCTAACATTTGTGATCCTTGAGACCTGTACCCGACCGTTGCTTAAGCCCTGCACTCTTTGTGATGCTAGATATTGTCTAGCGACTGACCACGTCGATATCGATGGCTCAGGCCCCTTGTCGGGTGTTACGAAACTTCCGAGTCCCGCTTCATACCCGGTCAAAGCTCTACTGGCCCCGCTATATTTCCACTTGGTGACATTCGTCAGAAGGCTACGAGGGTCCCCAAAGTTGATGGAAAATTAGCGTCTGATTTGCCGTGCCCCTGACAGGTCACTCATGATGGAATAGATTGGCGCCCAGTGATTGGCTGGGCTGTTATCTTCATCCGGTCCAGCTATGTAGGTACCTTTTGGTGGGTATACCAAACAGTTCACCCTTGGTTGAGATATGTGTCGCACTGAACAGCCACCCCAAGGCGCTCGTAAGCCTTCTGTGGAATATCCCATAGCTTGACCGAAATTAAGAGTACGCCAACTATAAGCGAAACTCCGATGTCTCAAATACATATATATCAGGTATTTGACGACTGTCTTAATGTGTACTCTCTAAGAGATCACCGCACTGCCGCTTCACACTTGCTCACAGCTCACTGAACTTAGAAGACACCATCATACCACAGTCTACCGATCTTGCCCCGGTCTTTCCCCGGTCTTTCCGCGATCTCTCTCTAATCCCTTTCCGCTTTCCGTCCCTTTATCAGCCCTTGGTAAACTTATCCCGCTTTATGCATTAAGAAGAATATTGGGTCAAGTTATTAATTGTAGCTACATAGCTGGGTGCGAAGAGTAGTTCTTCCGGACCTGTGATCTGCTGGAATCGGCGCGTCCATCGGATTAAATTAGAACTTGGAACACGAATTCTATGACATTGCATAGAATTATTGGTTTTGACAACTCACAAATCCTCATTTTCAATTCAGCCTTTATATTCCTGATAAGCTACGCACAAAACATTGAACTCCAGCAAATAATCTTAATCCCGGTTGTCGATCTGCCCTGGAAACATAAAGGACTTGGACATCAAAGCTCTGACTTTCGCAATATTGCATACCTACCAACTCCCTTGTTGGCAAAATGGCACTCAGACTAAATGGGAAGTGCTTTGTGACTCAAGAGCTGCTAGCTTGGTTGTGACTGCATCTCTACTATACCACCCCGCGATGAGAGTGATGGCGACGATGACCAGCTGAAGTGAAAAGGTAATAAACCGGATTGCGAAACTGCCCGTTGTAGGATGAAGGGTAGAGATCTGCGTGAAAGCATAAATTAGGTCGTAATTGAGACGAATTGACTGCAGGACGATGCAGAGTGCAGCGGCAATCATCAGCGCCTTGGCGGCGTAATAGTTGATATCGTGTCGAGCATAGAATGTGTGTTCTCCGGCAGGCCATAGCCAGAATAGAGTACCAATTATGACGAGAAACATGAAAACGTTTCCGGTCTTGTTGAGAACATGATTCTTTACTCCTTCCGGGGCCGTCGTGTCACGGCTTCCTCCATAGGCTACCATGATGGTGCTGACAGTGTAAACAATATGCATTATGGCGATGATGACTTTGTTTCTCGATCGCTTGGATAGAGTCAAAGGGAGATTTACACTGGCTGAGGTCAGCTTCACATCGACGCTCTAGGGCAATAGTACGGGTACATACGCTTCATAGATCAAGCCAATGATCGTAAGGGTCATCGTCGCGCTACATGCGGAACTTGTCACCATAGCTAACATAGTTGGCAGGTCCGGTTCGTTGCGTTTGGACAGGTAGTAGGCGTCAGAAACAATCCGGAAGACGAGGAAGGTTACTAGGATGGGCCAGCACATGTTGCCAGCCTTTCCATGTTTGTAGGCAATGTAGAGAGTAGGAAACAGTAGTATGCCGAAAATAACAAGTGCAGCACAAGACAGACCGATGCATTCGGCCGATGGCAAGCTTGGAGTTCCAGAGTCTGTGGCGGACATCTTTGACGGCGGAACGCAATGTTGATTCGCTGTAACAGTCTCGGACTAAACCCTTTCGTCGAGGCTTGCGGTGAATAACTGGTTATCTTGGTTGAAAGACGTCGAAAAGCAGCACTTGAGGAAGGAGTTGCGTTCTTATAGCCAATCCAAGAACAAGCTTGTCATAATTATGCAAAGATCCAATGGTCCGGATTCTGAGATCATTAGATGTATGACATTCTGCAAATGACAACGCAGTCAGGCTATGCTGGTTACTGAGACAACGGCGGGAACTATCTTTGCTGAGCCTAAACTCAACCTCCAATGGGATCTCCAATTGCCAGAACGACTGCAGGCAGCCAATCATCTCGTGAACTGGTACCGAGAGCTTTATGCTCAGCTACATTAGCGTCACTAAGATGTTACGAAACTACGTGGCTGAGCTACTCCTGTCGATCCTTATCCTTTACGACTCAGTTTCGGAGAAGATTCCGGAGACCAGCAGTGGTACCCGCCTTGTTGATTAAGCCTCCCCGTTATGAGTTGATTCGTGTCTGCAAGTGTATGACTTCCTATTACTAAGCGGCCATGTAAGCACCCCTGTTGATTGTGGATACCAGTGGTCGTATCTTTTTATAGCGGACTTAGAAAAGAGACGCGACATGAGATGAGACTCGTGAGTTACGAGTCTCTCATTGACTGGAGAGGTCATCCGCCATGGAGAGCATTCTCAGTATATTTATCTAAAACATTCTCAGCAACATTCAAAGATTGGGGAGCTTCATACAGACCAGAGGTACACATTCGTTTATTTTCCTTCTGCTTCCGTTCTTGAACGTGCTCGGGCACAAACACTTACATGCGATGATTTTTCTATCCAGCGACTCTTCTGACACTTAAACTCGTCGTCACCGAGGCTGAACAGAAGCCCCTAGGCACATGCGATGCCTACCTCTCTTATCTGGCCGACTGCCGGCAGCCAGGTAGTTTGAAAGACTGTTTGGCTTATTCTGATGATCAAATACTGGACGATATTGTCGCATGCCTTATCTACACATGTTGCACTCTACATTAACAAGTCTCTGTGTCAAAGTTTACCGAGATCTGGCGTAGCAGACCTCAAGAATGCGGGAGCACTGGGCATCATTTAAAATGCTTGATACAGAGGCAAAGCACAAAGACCGACACCAACTCTGATTCTGTTGTGACGGGGTCAGCAGATGAGACAGCGGAAACGGTTATAGACACCGCAAACGCAATGGAAGATCAAGTCGCGACAGCGACTGACGAGTTGAATATGCATTCGGAGGAACCTAAAACCACAGGAACTGGATTATTGACCGTGTTCAACGTATCAGGGTCCATAACAACAGGTGGACTGTCCTCTTTAGTCAAGAAGAATTCCTTGCCAAAAGTGGATGTGTGTGTTCCCAGTAGATTGAACCATTTCGGAAACCCTCTCGTCGCCAGCGAATAGATTTCTGTAAGTGCCGAACAGAGGCTTCCTGGTTGCACGCTCAAGAACAAATCTCGGCGTACGCACGAACTTCTGTTTGAAGTCGCAAACGCCGTTGGAAATCCTCCAGGCGTCAATAGCACCATCGCCATTGATCCATATATCTTTTCCGTTACGGTTAGCATAGGTTGAGTCGCAAATGACACGATAGAAAGTTCCGTCCAGGTAAGGAGAAATGGTGCCGTGGACAATGTAAGACGCAACCTCTGCATCGAACCTGGTGGGGAAGTTGACATGGATTGAAGCCATTCCATCGGCCTTCGCGTATTCAAACTCCCGGGCAACAGGAAGTCCTCCCAGCTTGGCTCCTACACTGGCTGAAGGCGGGGACTGTGTAATCTTTAGATCATTGGGTCGCTTTAACGACTCCATTATAGAACTTTGACCGACGCGTGTCAAGACCATCTTGAACCAGTTGGTGTTCGAAAGATTGCAGACTATAAGTTAAGAAGAAAAGGCATTCATTGAAGTTATTTGTTCAAGGCCGACTCCTGAAATCGTGGGAGAGCATTGTCGCTGGTTATTTGAGTTTTGAGGGGCTCAATGGTCGGGCACGTCATATGCTGCACCACCGACTCCCGTCGTATAGAGAGAGCAGATCACCCATTTCTGCACGCACCAGTGACAACTGGATGAGAGGTTGCCGATAATGCCCCGGCCTGCATCCTTAACTTCGGGGTTTACTCCACAATGCGGATATGCCGAGTGGCTCAAAGGATCCGGACGGCCCGAGACACCAAAAGAATCCTCGTACTCTTCCGGTATTGCCCCGGGCTCCGGATTTTCAAAGTGGGACACCAGCATTTATTAAGGTGGCTCTCCAACTCTAAGACGATCGGTATCTGGATGCTCGATTACTAACAGCCTGAATAAGAATATCTCAAGAATTCCTGAATACAGCAAATCCCGCACATCGATATTATTAAGTCTAACAACCTACTGCTCGAAGACTACCATCTCAACAAAGAAGCCCATCACAACATGTCCGCGTGGGAGCAATTTGAGCAGCAGAGATGGATTGACGGAGCCACGGCTGTGTATGGCCTCATCTCTCTTGCCGCCCTCGCTGTAAGTTCCGTACCTCGCTTGTTGTGTTGGTTTTTCTTTTCCTTCTTTTTTCCTAATTATTATCATCCTATCACGGGTTGCGAATGACGAGACACGTAAACAGAACAAAGTCTTTGATCCCGATGTCTTACAGCAATCTTATGTATCTAGGTTATCTATCAGCTTGTCAACTCTTACTATTCCCCGATCAGCCACTTTCCGGGTCCGACTTGGGCAAAACTGTCGTCGTATTGGCTGGCATACCAGTGCCGGCGTACCCGACGCTCTGAAGTAGTAATGGAACTACACAAGAAATATGGCGACTTTGTCCGGATCGGTCCTAATCATGTGTCTATCAATAACCCTGGAGCAATACCACAAATCTATGGTCACAAAACCGGGTTTACCAAGGGTCCGTTCTACGATGCATTCGTACAGGTAACGCCAGTCGTATTCAACGTCAGGAGCGTGGAAGAACATGTACGAAAGCGGAAGTATATCAATGCTTCTTTCTCTTCTAGAGCTTTGCTGGATTTTGAACCTTATATGGACAAAGAGATTCTGGGTTGGAAGCGCAAATTATTTGGGATGTTGCAAGAGAACAAAGCTAAGCTTGATTTTGTCGTCTGGAGTAGGTGCTTCAACAGTTTCCCAGTCCGCAAATTACTAACTAACGGCTATTTGTACCTAATAGCTAATTTCCTCGCTTTCGATGTCGTTGCCAGCTTCGCTTTCGGATCGCCTTTTGGCTTCGTGGAAACTGGCGAAGACCCTGATGGCCTTATCCAGATCATCGACGCCCGAGGCGAGTTCATGAACGCGATCGGATCACTCTCTTCGATTCTCAGACCGCTGATGAGATACCATCCATTCGACTCGTTCTGGAGACAAGGTTACAAGGCTCGCGCCGGCCTCGAGTCCATTGGGCGAGAGGCATATCAGAGGCGGAAATCCTCGACCAGGAATCGCAAGGACTTGATGAGTTACCTACTCGCCGCAACGGATCCTAGTACTAAGAAATCTATTGACGAAGACGAAATTATAGCTGAATCAATTAGTTTCATTGTGGGGGGAAGCGACACCACAAGCAGCACTATGACAAATTTCATTGACTTTGTTTCTCGAGACACCAAGTTGCAACTTCTCTTACAGCAGGAACTTGACGCTTTCTTTCCTGGAGAGCCTGCAGAAGACTGGGTTCCCAGCGAAAGGGAGACAAGCAGACTACCACTGATGGTCGCTACGTTGAGGGAGGTTATGCGTTTTAGGCCAACAAGTGCGACGGGTCTAGAGCGAGTCACTCCCACGGGGGGTAAAAATGTGGTTGGACAGTTCATCCCCAGCAAGGTGAGGCCAATACACTGGCACAAATTGAAGACACGACCAGCCGTTTGCTAAACCTGGGTTAAGACCTGTGTGAGTGTACCAACCGTAGGCGTTATGATGGACCCCCGGGTATTCGACTCCCCAGAGAGGTTTAGACCGCAAAGATGGCTGGAACCGGGGGCGAACAAGCTTCTCGAGAACTTTTATCCCTTTTCCACTGGTCCTAGGGCTTGTATTGGAAGAAAGTAGGTTGGCTCGTTTGTCTTATGCACAGATTCGCTAAAAGGTTATAGTTTTGCTTGGATGGAGATCTTAAAGACGACTGCGGTTATACTAAAGCTATTTAGTATTGAAAGGACAAATATTAACCCCACAGTGATGAAAGAAGGGTTCTTCAATAAAGCTGCCGAATGCGAAGTAAAAATAAAGAGGAGAGATTTTAACAGGGAGAGTGAGTAGGGGGTATAATATATCCAAAATTTTCCAAAATTTTAATCTAAATATATCTTAATTTTATTATCCTCATTTGCCTTAAATAAGCATTTGCCGACATACTTAATAAAACATCAATAAATGTTAGCTAAGGATATACCTAGTGTACCAGGGGTTTGCAACAACGATCTGCATTCCTGACTATCACATTACATTGCAAGGCAATAAACCAGAGTTAAACATCTTGGTAGCAGGGTTGCTCAATTTTGTATTAAATGAGTTATCATGTTTGGGAGAGATCGGCCATAATGTCATTGTCTATCTTCAGATCGGGGGTCATTTCTCATGACTACCTAAATAACCCCTAATTTACAAGCCGAGAGATTAGAGAAGTCCTGAACGTAATCGCTATATCATTATCGCGAGTTGCTACATGGCGATATGTCTTGAACTGAGAATATACAATATCCAAACGCATATTAACCGAGATTGCCTCGTTTTGGGCCTTTATCTTTGGCCCGGAGCAAAGGCATTCGGCTATACTGCGGGCGGATCTTCTGTTCCAGTTGAAGTTGGTTTAATTCCAATTGGTAATTCTCTTCCCGAAGCCTTTTGGCGTCTTATACCAACGAATCCTGCTCTTGCAATACCTGATTCTGCTGCGTCAGTAAAAAGCACTTTTCTCCGTGTGCGGCTTTGATATTTTGCTTCTTACTCGGAAAACTGATTCCGGTGTCTCGTAGGCTGCTTGGTGGAAAGGTCCTTCCACGATTCTTACAGCGTAAAATTATACCATTCTTGAAATACTGCGCGATGTTCTCTTCCATTTGTCGTCCGATATCAAGTCTTGCCACTAGAATATAAAAAATTAGACTCAGCCTGTACTGAAAATTGAAAACTGGAAATGATAATTGTTGGTTCTCAATTCTGTCTTGTCCGCCTATATTCTGAAGTCTAAACGATGAGGCAGGTGATATAATTCCAGTAACACTATATATATATACAGAACTACTCAACATGAGACTGCTCTCAAAATAGGGTCATCATAATCTCATATTGAGTCGGGGCCCACCTGTCAATTTGGCCGGGTTAGATAATTTAGCTATTTTCAGCATCCGTAGAAAAAGACACCCTTTTTCACCTATGATTATTTTCGCTTTTGAAAACCCCTTCTTATGAAAGATGTGTCTTTCAGTAACGTTACGGCGGCTACGATAGGTCAATTGACTAGCTGTAAACGTGAACCATTTGATCAAATGAGAATACACACAAAACTCAAAACCTCCTTTTCATAGCTGTTGTGGAAGGTTGTTAGATTTTCGTGTGGTTGGCGGTCTACATTTCAAGCTCGCTAACGGCTGTGGTGTTGTTCGTTTTTCCCCAACGCAATATCAGTCAGGCAGGCCCTTGCTCGGCTTGAACCCCAATTTGAGAGATATTTGCACAACCTCTCGTATCCCATCTTGACTTAGGCTGAAAGGATATTGCGACATCAGTTTCATAGTTGATTTTGGCTCCTTCTTTAAGAAGTAGCTGAGGAATGTCTGAGCGACGGTGTTCTGAACGAGCTCGGAGAGGTGTTTTGTGATGACCAGCCTCTTGATCAACATAAGCTCCTTTCTTGATGAGAAATCGAACAACCACTTCATTGATACGAGCTCCTTTTTCGATGAGTAACTGAACAGCCTCTAAACAGCCACCCAGTGATGCAGCTTCAACCGCTGTTCCAGGGTAACCATTGCTTCCAAGGTAACCGCCTTCTTGGTTGATATCAGCACCTTCTTTAAGAAGCAGCTTCATAATCTCAATATGGCGATTTACTGATGCTGCTTGAAGAGCTGTTCCATAGCTAGTCACTTCGTTAAGAAAGACCGGCTCAGCTCGAATGCACCCATTATATGTTGCGGCTAGTTCTTTTGATAGGCCAATATCTACGAGAGCATCAAAAATTGGAGTTAGTCCAAAATATGAGGCATAGTAAAGTAGTGATGGCCTGGTTTTTGAATCGATTTTATGGCTCCGCCTCGATATCCATTTCTCAAATGCATCACCTTCCCCGAAAAAGAGACGAAAAACTTGCACCCTTGTGGAGGAACTAGAAGAGCATTCGTCAAAATGGTCGACCCAACAGTGTGCTGCATAATCCTCAAAGGATATATAGGCGGGTGTATAATTCACCAAATATTTAGATGCGAATGAAGAATATCTTGAGCTCTTCGGTTTGAGTATTGGGGGTTCCAACAAAAAGGCGAGGCAAGTACCCGCCATTTGATCATTGGCATCCTGCATGCTCACGTGAAAACCGACCAGGTCTTGGAAGTCTTTTGACTTTTGTATCCGATCTGATTTCAGAAATTCCTGGACGGAAAAATGGGCGATCCGCACCACCTCGTAACGATTGTCGATGATTGTGCTGAAAGGTAGGTCTAATTCTTTCATACCACGGCCAGATCGATCAGTAAATCGAATATCAATATCTATGAGTCCGGCACATATCTGCTGAAGATCCTCGCTGCTCTTGAGTTGGCGTTCTGAATTGTACTTCGGCGAATCGCCCATCTCCACGGCTATCGCTTGCATAAGCTCTTCGACCTGCAGAGGACGCCTTGCACAGCAAAGCAAGTTCAAGGCACGCTGGGCGTCCTCTCGGTAGCTGGGATCCACGTCTCGAAGCATGCGTGCATATGTCTCATCTAAACTCTTCGGGAGTGATTGTAGAGTGCGCTTCAGATTGTATTCACTTGTTGGACACCTAGCTAATGCCGTGAACTGGCACTCTACCCAGCGGAATCTAAATTGAATCAGTAAATCAAAGACATACCCTGGTTGATTGAATTGGACTTACACGCCTTGAGCCCCATCGACGAGGGCGGCTTCGATCTGATCATAGTAATCTTTCCACTTTCGGAACCTTTGGTGGGTACGGAGATGCTGAGATACAAAATTGTTGATATCCTTGTCAATCGATTCGTTTCTCATCTTTATCATAGTTTCATCAGAAGATGTTATGAGAAGCGATGAACGAATATCGGAGCAGTCTCTACTGGATACGATGAGATGCAACCGAGGCTCGCCCCAATCTCTTATCTCGGCTAGAGCATCCAGGACTCCGTCTCGATATGTTCCTGAAGGGCTTTCATCTAAAGCATCAATTAGAATATAAACATCATCTTTGAAACAGTGCACAAGTTGATGTAGACATTCTAAGAGGGTTTGATCGGTGGGAGAGTGGGACTTAGAACGCCTCCATAGCCTGGAAAGAGGACTGTCTCTCTGATCGAGTTGGCTGGACAACTGCAAAATGATGGAGCGAAGCATAGCTGAGCAATGCTGCTTGGTTTCATCGTTGAAAGTACAGAAGAAGAAAGCAATGCCGATTCCTTGCTTTAACTGATGATGACGCTGCGTATGCTCGATGATAGTCGTCATCAAAACAGACTTGCCACAGCCAGCGAAGCCGACAATCCAAAGAAAAGAAGCGGGCTTCACCAACCAGTCTTGGAATTGCGATCCTTCAACGAACCAGCTGCCTGTGCCGGTGTGCTTTTTCCTAGCAGCCTCATTGAAATTGATGCTGGCGTCTGGAGCATTAATCCACGACCTGACTTCACTACTAACAGAAGCGGCCTCCACGAGCTTCAGCAATGCTGCTACATCATCCTGCACTCTATTCAAATCTCCATTCTGAAGAAGCTGTAATGCAAGCGATATGACTTGCATTGAGTCGTCAATGTCAGCCTCCAGCTTTTGCAGTGTGCTCTTTCTCAATGGATAGACAAGCCGGCGGCCGAAGCTATGCAAACTCGCAATAACATCGCGATCAGAAGTTTTCCTGAGCTTGTTCAACTGTTCTTCCAGTTCCTGAATGGGCTCGTAGGAATCTTCCACATATGAATTCACTTTATCCAGAAGATCACCGTCTTTGGCGTCAGATTTTCGACTGCTGAGTAAGATTTGCAAATTCTCTAGCAGATCCAAGAGGTGTTCAAGCTTCGTGGTTGTGTGGGCGACATCTTCAGATTGACCGCGATATGCTTGGTAATACTGTATGAGGCCTTGGGCGGCTGTGAGACCTAGTGACACGATCCCGACAGCGCTGCCAGCGACGGATAACGGATCTGCCATATTGGCATAGGAAAGCTTTATCCGGTAGATGATGGGTGATAGCCCAGCTCCAAGCGGGTGCAAGAGGAGCTGAAAGGCAGGTGGATAGGGAGGAAGAAATCTCGCAGGTGAGATTTGGCGAGTTTCATATTTCTACCACACTCTTTTCTACCGTGTGAAAATATTGGGTCTTGCTGCCCAACCTGCGTGGCTATGTCTGGCAACAATATGCATGGCAAGGTTGTATGCAGGATGCCTCGCCTGACCGAAAGTGCCTATTGCGTCATTTAAATGCAGAGCGAAGCACCCAGGCGCGGGGTTGAAGCTTTAACTTTGCTGATCAGATTTTGCTACCCAAGTGTTCACTTCTATTGTTCGTTCTTTATCATTCGCGAATAGACTGTTGTACGGTTGTCAGGGGCTTCGTGGAGGTTCGTTGTGACACCCTACAGCAAGAGCCAGCAGAGAGACAGGTTAGCTACTATGTGTTTTGCATTTAGACTAACTAGTTCTAAAGTAACTGCATACATCTACAACTTGCTAGATATCGAAAATCAATAAAGTAAAACTGGAATGGTTTCAGAATTGTTTTACTTGAAATAAATACGGCGACAGTGGCAGTTGTAAACTCAAAAACTGATACTGAGCTCTATCTTTCCAAGTATTGAGAGCATGTGGAGTTTCCTGGTCAGTAGGATCCTTGCAGGAGGAAGGTATAAGTGAGGGTTAGCTGCCAGCCATTTTCAAAAATGCAAAAATTCTTGCCCTTTGCATCAATTTTATTCTTGAAACGGGATCTTTGACTCTTGAAACCAGTTGGCTCATATGAGGATCAGGTTGGTCTCATTCAATTGATCAAGTGAGAGAGATCCCAACCAAACACCAAACACATGATAATTAACTGTGGTTGTTGGTTTTGACTCGCAGCTTGGTTGAAATTCCACCTGTTGACTGGCGCCGACACCGCGATCACCAAACTCTCGCAGGCACAGGTTGCGGTGCTGTTGGTAGGAAAACCCCACCGGCACTCATCTGCCCATCCTATTTAATTTAGGCAATACTGAGAAGAGAACTTTCCCATTCTATGAAACATCTATGTTGTCCGGCACCATCGCCAGTACAGATTTCAAGCGACTTGCGCATATATTATCTTCCAATTCAAAACCATCCAAGCCAAGATGGATCCCTTATACAGGTGGTATCAATAACACGTAAAAATTAATTAACCCAATTTATGCCCTTCTCACTCTGCCAGAAAAAGCATTCTTCTAGTTCTCGCACCCTGCACGTATGTAGTCGGGATTGGGCTCGTACGTGATAAAGATCTCCACCGTCACCTTGATAGATCTGTCCACATGGAGCATATTAAGCCACTTGCTGCCAATTCTGTCTCTCCATTCCTGTCCCAAGCAGCCGCAACATACCACGAAGAGCGTGGGTTCCTGGTTCTGTTCTGCGTATACCAGCTCCAAGCCTGTAGGGTCTGGTATCCGCTCTCGAAGGATATGGACGATACCACTTCCTGTTTCAAAGTCTATATCCACCTTCCAGAGTGTCCCACTAATATAACTACCGATGTAGGCAGTGGAACCATCTCGAGTGATTGCCATTCCGTCGGCATTTGCAAGGCCCCTTGCCATAGTCTGACAGGCGCCAGCGGGCTGCAGATCTTGGCCATCCTCAGTCCACCGGACAGGGAGGCGGCAAAACGTCCCTCTGCTTGTGTTGGTATAGAACAAGTAGTTTCCAAGGACCCGTATGCGGCTAATGCCAAGGGCATCTTTCCTGGTCGCGGGTCGCATCGACTCGTCCCGGTGAAAGATAGACAAGGTCCCTGATTCCACATCGATGCGGTAAATACAGCCCGCACCAGAATCGGCAACTAGAAGGGTGTGATCTGGTGCGGAAGTCATCCCGATGCAGAGCTGAGCCTCTGGTATATCGGCGATCTTCGTGACCTCAGGCTTAATTTCCTCCGTGGCATCTCCAGCGGAAAGAACTACTCGCCAAACCGCAGTGTTGTATACTTCCGGCGTCTCTAGATCGACAATCGCTGTGAGAACGGCATATTCCTCACGCCTGGTGCCCTTTAACCGGCAAATGTTGAAGACTGAGGTAGCGTCAGGGAACGAGTGGACGAGCTTGGGTTCTGAGCTGAGACAGGCATTGCTGTGAGTCTTGGGATGTTGAGTGTTGTACAGTTCTGTGCCATTGAGGCGGGGGAGAAGCATATTGCCATTCGGGCGGATTGCAGCCGCCATGGGCCAGGTTTCTCGGGGTAACTCATCGATGAGAATTATCTCCTGAAGGCCGCTGTTGACCGTGGGTTCGGAACTGCTATTTGTCTCTGCATTGTTGAAGTGGCCGTTTACACCGGCAGTGGATATACCTGTGCCGTTGGCAGGTACCTTGTCGCTGCTTATCGCCATGGTATGTGACTAATGGGATGAATACCGCCAATGTTTCTTTGAGGTCGGGTAATCGTGTCTCGCCTCCGCTTCTGGACTTGCAGCTGGGGAAGATATCACGAGGTCGAGGGTCTGAGAGTATAAGGTGGAGAGAATGGATTAGGCGGATAAATCTGGGAGAAAATGGAGAGGGATAGAAGCAGGAAGGGCTGCATATAGCAGTTTTTGAGTTGGCCTGGGGCGGCGTAACGAGGGAGGAAACGCCGGGATGATGCCGCAGAGCGGGCGACCTATTTCATGATCCTGGGCCCTTGTCCGCGGAGGAGGGTAGGGGCTCAACGGGAGTGAGTGTCCATCGCCTCTCCTAGCCTAGGGCAGGTGTCGAACCGGGATACGTTCATGGACATGGACGGTGGCAAGGATGGGATTACCTAGCCAGGTCTGCTGACAGCAGAGACCCAGAGATCCAGAGGCCCGGCCTTGGAACTCGCTGTCTGCTCCCCAAGGAGGTAATTTCAAGCGTGCCCTGTAGTGACTAGGGGATGGCTAGGACTGTTGACAGGCAGTGCGACGAGCTAAGATGAGAGCTGGTGGTCATGGTTGGTCCCAATCCCACGGTAGCTAAGGCCATCCAATGATGCGCAACACAACACCGGGAGCTAGCGTAAAGCCTGTGGCTGGCAGTTAGGGGCCTTCTTAGCGCTACGGAAGGCCGGGAAGAGAGTGCCAGGGCAGAGTTGGGGCGTCGCAGCCGCAGCGCATCCGCGAATCCGCCTCTGTGCCGACGTGTCTCGGCCTACGGGTGCTACGGGACTGAACCGACTGCGGCAGCGTCAGCTTCGTGGGCGGCTTTCGGATTTGAATTTGTCCTCTGCACAGAATATGCGTATGCAGCGGGCGGAGCAGCACGGCAGAACGGGTTTTATTGCCTCTTTTTGTCCTCGATCCTTTCACTCCAAGGTACCTAATTAATATTAAACCTACAGGCAGTCCTTGTCCTTAGGGGCGGATGGCGGGTTGCCCCACCTCACGTCTTGGGCGTTCCTTCCTCAGAACAGATCGGTTAGGATGAGCCACTACGGGGAGCAGAAGCACCTGTTCCCATGCTGGAAGCAGATTAATCGTCTGTACCTTCCTTGAGCATCAAAACAGATGCCTGAGGCATATACTTTTATTTTCTCTGCACCAACCCTCGTCTCGAACATTCTTCAAGCATCCATCTTTCGTATCCCTTTGCCCACGGGCCGACCAGGCTGACCTCGATGATCGAGCACAGAGCCACATACGCTGACGTAGTCGAGACCCTGAAGAGCCGGGCCTATTTCTAGCACACCGATAAATTGCGTTGATCCTCGCCCCATGCACAAGCCGACCTCTGTCATGGTTCGAACCCAAGCGCTTCCCAGTACCTGGGTAGCGGTAGAGCAGCGTATGGGGTGGATTTGGTGTCATCCCCCGACTGGCTATTTTCCGCCGGAGTCGTGGTCATTGGTCCCAGCTCGAGGAGAGCGATCAACGACAGCCGCCAATTGTGCATATGCACTTGTACATGCAACTCCCCGTTTACCCCCACGCATATGGATAATACCGACCGCCAGGATAGATCAAGGGAACTCAGCCCGTCATTCATCAGCCAGAGCCTTAAATTTTCGGATGCAGTTAATCCAATTGGGCTATTGGTGACCCCCAATCTACTCCGTGCTGCTCACAAACTGAACCCAACCCCCCATGATCTCACGGGGTACCTAGCCAAGGGGCTCTGAAAAAGATTATGATTTTGGCTGTTACTTTGGAACTCAGTAGAGAGACTTTCTTCATCAAGAATTGCCTAATGCTGCGTGAGAGAGACAGACGTCGGGCTTTCCTATCATATCTGATTTTTACACTGCGGAGAATAACAGCCATGTCTGGGAAAACTCTCTAACCGACGCAGGTGCCATATAACAGACCGTTAATTCTCCTTACGAAAGCTTAGGTTGATCTACGCGCAATCCATTGCAGGGGAGATGTCTTCAGCTGTGAACGCCGGGAGTCGGCCCTGGACGGCCGTGGATCAAAAGAGTCACGAGGATCGCAACAGCCTATCCCCATCCTCTACCAAAGGTTTTAATGGTGCCAAGTCCCCGGTCACTATTTCTGACCGGAATGACCCCGGGGAAACAAGACGTTGAGCCAAATTGACGGATAGGCTGACATGGGAGAGACACCACGGCGGAGTCTTGCTGTCCCGCGATCCCTGGCTTGACAGCTACCAGCCACTGAACCCTTGCTGTTCATGGTACCGAGCTCCCGGCGGGACTACTCCTGGTGCATATGAGCTAATTTTAATAGGGAATTCTGGGAAGGGGACCCGCATAACGCGTCGGCTACGAATTGGCCAACGGCTCCCAGGCTCAAGAGGCATATGCCGGTCAGGGGGTTCGTGATAATCCGGAACCAGGGAAATTTCGGCCGTGGCTATGACCGCCTACAGGTGGAAACAGCTGGGATTAGCCGCTGCTTTCCGGTTGTCCTTCTACGACACAGGGCCTTCTTCCTGAAGACTGAGGCTGTGAACAAGGTGACAGATGGCTTACATTCCTTGGATTTTACTGAACTTATATAGTAACTTCCTCGTCATGATTTCACGTTGGATGATAAAGAAGATGCGTAGCTGAAACATTTTGTAGGGGGGTAAGACTTCTAATTGCTGTTTATGTGAAGGCTTTGTTATCCATTACGCTGGTACTTGTGCTGGTTCCCCTTATTTGAGCAAGCATATGACATGGAGTTGAAGTATGGAGCTGAATTTTGATCTGCCGCGGCCATTGAACCAGCATGGCGGTGACTGATCTGTCAGTTCAATTCCCGTTTTGCCTTCGCAAGCCCCAGAATAATTTTGGAGCAGCGAAATGAAGGGAGCCGGGACATCCTTGCCACTAGGCTTGGTAGCACTTTTCCCACAAAGAGGCGGAGATGGAGCCACCACTGACATCAAAATGATGATAGCTTAGGGGTAAAATAGCCAAGACTGTGATTCACGGCGGGGCTGATATGAGTTGGGGAGAGAAATATGTGGCTTCGTGCGGAGACCTTCGTGGGGACGTTTGGAGGTCCATCCAAGCCATCCCTCGGCCGTCCTTTGCCACCCTCTGAGCTAATGAGACCCAGGTGTAGGTACCCAGGAGAAGATTCAAGTCTATTTCCACCCTGTGTACAGAGAAAATGAATACCTGCAGTTATCAGGAGATCAAACACGTCACTTTGACTTCACGCGCGGAAATGCAGAGCCCTTGACTCAACCTACAGTCCAAGGCCGCTTATGAATGCTCATCAATCACCAGATCGAGTAAGATACTCCTTAAGGCCACTACTTCCAGGTAGGTTTCGGTGAACATGCTGATCTCATTCGTTGATTTCAGGAACCCCAACCTCTTACCAAGGTCCTGAGCACCCGTCTGACACTACCCACCCGCGGAAGCAAACCCCCTGCGCCCCAAATCGCAAATCAACCTTTTTTCGGAGACCCTCTCTCCCGACGGGTTGGATGGATGGGGAGTCGTACGATTGCTGTAGTCTAATGGGTGGCATTGAAATTAAGACATTCATCAAGCTGCTTATTCTTGAGTCTGCAGTTGGTATTGCCAGATTATTGAGGTGCCAATAGTACATGCCTGAGAGACGATGAAGCGTATATTGTTGCTTTATTTTGATTCATATTGCTGGATCTTTCTATCAATCGTAGAAATTAACTAGCCTGTCTATTCACAACCACTTCTAGTAGACCGAACCATCACCGTCAAAGAATTCCTCGTCCAGGATGGGCAGCAGCTCCCGCTGCCCAGCCCACTGCTCCTTGGCCGTGGGGAGGATCAGCTCCGGCGGCAGCACGAAACCATAGTCGCCCAGGTCCCGCAGCTCGACCGTGTAGGAGAATTCAGCGCCGCCAATACTATAGACGTGGTCGGGGGCCGCGCCCGTGGTGGCGTAGAGGACGGCGCCGCTGGGTCCGAAGGTGTAGGTGGTGCGGTTGGGGGAGGAGTCGCGGATGGCCTCGCTGACGACGGAGGCGGCCTTGGTCCACTTGCCGAGCTCGGGCGCGTAGAGGGTCTCCTTGTTGCCGAAGGGGGAGAGGATGTACTGGCCGTAGCTGTGCCAGTCGATGAAGAGCTTGATCTTGGAGGTGTCGCGGAGCTTGCGGACGAGCCTGTCGAGCCCCCTGTTCTCGGGGGTGTCGGAGGGGGCTTCGCCGCGGTAGGTCTGGGAGCACGGGTTGGTGGAGGCGCCGCGCGGGTTGGTGTCCCAGCCGAACTCCCAGTTGCGGTTGATGTCGCGGCCGTAGCAGGATGGGTTGGTTGCGTTGGGAGGGGCGGGCTGTCTGTTCTTTCGCCAGAGGCGGTCGGATGTCTGGGAGTAGACGAAGCCTGAGGCGAGGTTTGTTAGTGTCATTGCTCGTAGAACTAGGAGGGAGGGGGGGCTTACCGTCGGGGTTCACGAATGGGAAGATCCAGAAGTCGTATTTGTCTAGGGCGGTTGTGGCGATGGAGTCATTCTTGGCGTACCCGTTGATGAGCTGCAGCGTGATGTACTCGACGACCTGATGAATTTAGTCAGTAAAGCTGATCAATGAATAATGCGAATAACGGTATGATACTTACCGGAGCGGAAATCCATTCGCGAGCGTGGACAGTGCCGTGGTACAGAACGGCTGGCTTCCCGGGGCCGGCTTTGCCATACAGATGAATACCGAAGATGTCGCGTCCCTCGTACGACTCGCCCGAGGAGACAATCTCGGAATTATCGGGGAATCTCTTGTGCAGCTCGTCAAAGTAGGCGATGTGGTCCGTGTAGTTGTGGTACGAAGCAAACCAATCTTCATCGTCCCGGACGCTGAGGCGCTTCGAGATGCCCGCCGACTCGCTCTGGACAGAAGCGCCAAGGTCTTCGTGGAGGATCTTGTGCTCGAGGTGGAGAGCCTCGAATGCCGACACCTCGCTGGGGGAGACGAGGATGTCGATGTGGTACAGCCCGTCGTCGTTCCAGCGCTCATAGCTCGCCAGGCCGGCGTCCAGCTTGCTCCGGATATCGCCTGGGCGGCCGTGCGTCCAGATCCGGTAGACTTTGAAGCCGTGGTAGGAGACGCGCTCGACGTCTTCCTCCGTGGTGGGAACAGCGAGGGCGCTCCCCGCGGCGAAGAGAGCCAGCAGAGTGGCCTTGAAGAACTTCATTATCTAGATTTGACTGAGAAATGGGATGGGGCTAGAGCAGCAACTGACCGCTCAAGGAACACGGAGCAGATACGAGGAGGGTTCGACATAGCGTTGGAAGTGTGTCCTTTATATTTTATTTCTTGAATGCCAGCCAAGAGCTTGTTTGCTTACGCCGTTCAATGCCGAGACTGTCACTGCGTCGTGCGACCAACATTTTCTGCATCACGACATCAATAAAAACATCACGGCTTCGTCCAACAAGGAAGGAGATCAACGGGAAATGAGAGCCCAGACCCCCGCCTTGCTCCCGGTAATTGAGGCAGTTCATCGCAGGCCCGCAGATCTCGAGCCATCAACCATCTTCATTCGCTCGAATTGTCGTCATTGCTGCGCCCAAAACCTGTCCCTCCTGCAGGAACTTCTGCCGGGCACGTCGGTTGCACAGAAATACGATGCACCGACTGCCGGCTGCTTATGAGGAGCTCATCGCCACTGGTGGGCTGGTGATGGACCTTCCTTGTCGGGATAGCTGGAGCCTCTTGTGCTCACAAAAGCCAAGCTTTGGCGTCATTGTCGTGCTTTAGCCCTGGTGATGGCGCAAACTCTGCTGATGACGGAGAGGTCCTTTGTTCATTGGGCATTCTAGCTAAATAAAAAAGATCGAATTAACTCTAAATGATGCTGATCGGTCTAATAGTGGCGCTAATGCATGGTAAGATATCTCAAGGGTCAAAGGATGCTCGAAGAAAACCAGACACAAAACACGCAGCAGCAAAAAAGAGATCGTCATCATCATCATCATCGCCAAGCGTAATCATCCACATGCCACTGCAAGGCCATCCCTTACTTGATCAGGCTCTTCAACCTCTCCGACTCGACTGCGCGATAGTACGTGACGCTTTCTCTTGCCTCCGCCGTGATCCTAGGAATGTCCGTCTCTCCCGTCTTGATGGCCTGCTCCATTGCCGATGCCAGAGCCTCGCACTCCCAACACCCGCAAATCCTGTACTCCTTGCCAAAATGCTTGTGATATAGATCCGCCGTCCTGTCAAACCCGTCCTCCAGCGCCAGGCTCGCAACAGTATCGTCGTGATTGATGAACCTCCCAACCCGCGCCTCCATGTCCCTCCCGTACTGCGACGCCGCGCACTGATGCGTGTGCCAGACGAGGTCGACATCCAGCGTCGGCACCATCATCAGATCAGGCACCCGCCGCATCAGCTCGCAGAACCGGTCGTAGCGCGCCAGAGCCCTCGCCAGCGTCCCCTCGAGCGCCGGGCTGCGCACCCACAGCAGGTCGTGCATCCTCTCCACGAACCGGAACTGCCGCAGCACCGCCTCGCGCAGCTGGTTGGCGAGCTGCGGCCGCACGTCGAGGAACTTCTGCGCGTAGACCGGGATCGTCCTGTCGCCGCCGCCCTCCCTCTCCGAGTCGGCGTCGTGCTCCGTCTGCGGCGCTCGTGCCGTCGCCCGCCCGAACTCGAAGTCGCTCAGCCCAACGAGGATGTTCTTCTTTTTTGACCCGGGCCGCAGGCGGACGGGCCAGTCCTCGAACTGGATGAGCAGGTGCGCCGCCATGCCCGTGTCCGCCTCGAACTTGTTCCTGTCCGCCGGCGCCAGGGACAGCTCCCAGGTGTGCGTGTCGACGGTGGCATGGACCAGCTCCCAGGGAAACCTGAGGTCGGCGATGGACTCCTCCCGGAAGTACCTGCTGAGCATGCTCGGATTGAGCAGCAGCGCCTGCCACACCATCAGCACGTCCAACGGCGGGCAGTGGGCGAGCCTGGTTTGCCCGCGGGGGATGGCCTCGCGCCAGCTGAGGAAGCGCACGATGGCGAACTCGACGTACTTCTTCCACTTGCCGTGGTGCCAGGCGGCCAGCGTCTCCTTGTCCGGCTTGGACGCGCTCGAGTAGCCCATGGCGCAGCTGATGGGCGTCGAGGCCAGGACCTGCGCGCGCACGTTGTGCAGGGCCTCGAGGAAGACGAGGTGCGTTGCGCACTCTGCCACGCTGGGCGGCGTCCACTGCTGGTTTGCCGCCGCCGCCTTGCGAGAGGCGTCGCCAAAGTCAAAGAGGGACGGCGACGGGATGCTGCGGTCGAGGGCCTTCTTCTTCAGCTCGGCCGGGTCATGACCGTGTGGACGCTGGGCGGCCTTGCTGGCGGCGAGATGCACGTCCGAGTAGGTGTCAAAGGGCAATTCGGGTGGCCGCTGATGGGCTTCTGAGCGCGACCTCAGCCTGTTCATTTTGTATGGTGATGTGCTGTTCGTCTTCTGTTGCGCTGGAGTGAGGAGGAGTGGCGATGGTTGAATGGGCTGATCACAGTTGTATTTGTTGTTGGATTCAGCCTACAGGGAGGCTTAGCCGGGCACAACCGTAACAAGCAAGGCGCTGTGATCCATATATAGGTGTGTAATAACGAGGTGGGGATGGTGTCATCAGGGATATTGAGAGGCTTGATAATTTACTTCTGGTATTATTCATATGCATTCTGCCAAAGATGAATTGGTCTACTGGGACGGATCTACCAGCGAAAGAGCTCTAACTACGATCCTTGACCTCTTTGCTTTTCTCCGTTGGGATAAAACCCAGCCAACTGTTGGTAAACCTTGAAAGGGTCAGTCGACGGGTTAGGGAGGAGAATGGGGAAACGCGAAAGCGTCTTATTTCGGCCCTTGTCTCGGACAGAGAGATAGCATATCGCCTACCCAGGCTTTGAGTGTAAATAAGTGGCTTTGATTTGTTGTTGCGGTAGATATTCGAAGCTGAAAGGGACAGCACGCTGGAAAAGAATGTAGAAGAACAGAGAATCATAAGAAGGTTAATTCTCAATTCACCGCAACTTCCGGAATATTAGCCGCTTTGGACTAAGCCTCAGACGCTCAATACATCCATTGATGGTTCGGGCTGAACCAATTCATGCTTATTTTAAATCGCCGCTTCTCAGTAGTCTTAATGGCGGAAGTTGAAATGTGAGTGATACCCTCCGCCTCCACCTGAGGCCAATTTCTTAAATCAAAACCTGAGGAGGCATCTTCATAGGTAATTGTAGGACGTAGAATCTCGAGATTGGAGACCAAGGACGTTATACTGCCACCTAACTAGAGCAGATAAGGCGAGTCTATTCCCATAACGAGACACCATGCCTTTCAAGGCGGACGCACACTCCATGAAGAGGAGATGAAATTATAACCGGCTTATCCTTGGTCGTGAAGGGGAAAGTCGAAGCATCTACGGTGACTATCATTGACTTAAAATTCCATATCTTCAAATCTTGTTACAATCAATAAAGTTATACTCAAAGTTTATTTACCCAAAAATGGCATTGTGTACATAACGAGCAAGGCCGCGACAAAGAAGGAAGCAGCTCCTTTTCACCTTCATCTGCCATTCCATCAGACATACATGCACTGTCACGATGAAGAGAACATCAGAAGGCACCAAGATGACCGACACGACAGGCGCCAACTTACCATCCTCCACAACCTTAGGCCCCGAACCCCCAATCTTCTTCTTCAAGCCCGACGAACCCCTCGGCGAGTTCTGCCAGTGGTACCCGGCCAAGTTTACCGCCAGCAAGGCCGACATGTCCGCCCTGATCGGCCACCCCGTCGACGAGGACAATCCCGAGGGTGGCAGCCAATCTACTTCAGCTGCGCGGAGCAGTTCATGGTGTACTGCAAGGCGGGGCGGTTCCGCGACGCGGAGACGCAGAGGCTGGTCCTCGCGACCAAGGATCCCAAGGAGCAGAAGCGCCTGGCGCGCCTGACGCGGGGGTTCGAGGCCTCCAGCTGGGATGAGATCAAGAGCGAGGTGGTGGTCACGGGGAACATGGGTAAATTCGGCCAGAACCGGCGACTGAGGAGCTTGCTGCTGAGTACCGGGGATCGGGTCCTGGCCGAGGCGGCTTCGCAGGACCGGGTATGGGGTATTGGGTTCACCGCTAGGGAGGCTATGGCGCTTCAGAAGCCGGAACTTTGGGGGGAGAATAGGCTGGGGAAGGTGTTGATGGAGGTGAGGCGGCGACTACGGGAGGAGGAGCAATAGGGATGGGGTAGAACAACGCTGGGTGTCTTGCTTGACATGAGTACACGGCAGGCTGTTTCTACTGGAGGTGTTTGATATTTACAAGACAAGGGCGGTCAGCGAAAAGACTCAGCATACATACAAAATAGGAAAGCACCGAATGCTTTAATAGTAGCCCCCTCAGCCACAACCATCACCGCCGCCACCGCATCCTCCTCCACATCCACCACCACCATCGCCTCCCCCTGAATCACCACCAAAACCTCCCGAGCCACAGCCTCCACCTCCACCAGAATCCCCTCCGCCTCCTCCATCGCCGCCTCCCCCATCGTGCGCGCCAGATAGCCCAATTGCCACATATGTAGAAAGATCATTCGAAGGTATGCTAGACCAGTAAGGGACGCCCGGCGGATCCGTCGGCGGCTGCCTGAAGAACAACTTCGTCTCCGTCCTCGCCCTCATATTCTTGGAATTCCACCCGTTCTGCCCCTTCTCGGCGAGCTTCATCCTCTGCTCCCGCTTCCTCTCATAGTCCTCCAGCCGGCCGCTCGACGCCACCCAGTCGGAGACGAAGTAGGACGCGCCCATACCTTTCTCGTAATGGTGGCTGTAAGGCTGGGCACGGTGGATGCCCCCTAGCTTGACGCGGTCCTTGCTGATAGCCTCGCCGGCAGCACTGGAGAGCCACCTGGTGCCTACCTGCATCTCGGGGGACTTGGCCATGGCGGCGGCGACGGCCAGGAGGGCGCTCTGGGCGAGGAGCACGCGCATCCTGTTCTGGAACCAGCCTTGGTTGTCGCTCTGGCCCTTCTCGCTGCTGCTGGGTGAGTAGAGGAAGCTTTCGCGGGCCATGTGCATGGAGATGGCCGACCAAGAGTCATGGGGAAATGCCCAGACGTGCTTGGAGATGTTGCAGGAGCCACACTTGGAGGGGTTTCTACCGTAGGCCTCAGTGCAATCCCATGGAAACAGGTCTTGGTATTTGTATGGGGCTTCTCCGAATGCACCGAAATCAGACCAGTATTCGGAGAGACTGTCTATGAAGTCCGAGTCTTCGTGTCGGCCGTGCTGGATGCGTAGGAGATACTCTTCCACGAGGCCCTGGGGGACGTCGTACTTCGACCATGGGAAGTCGGCAAGGAGAGGGCCGGGGCGGCAGACGAAACTCATCAGGTAGGACGGGGATTTGTTGAACTGGGAGACTTGAGGCGCGAAGAGAGACTGGTACATGCCGACGTTGAGGAGGCTGTCGCAGAAGTCTTTGCAGGTGTTAGATGAGAAGTTCCAAGCCAACTCGAACTTTTTGTCAATGAGCCTGGATGCAATGGTGCTGAGGTGCAGCTCGACGTGGTCGATGAGGTAGTGCTTCACCTCAAGCATGATTGTAGCTATAGCGTCGTGTGGGGTCTTCTCTGACTGTGTTTCGCTGCTCCCGTCAATGAGAATATCAATAATGTGCTCCTCTGCGCCTTCATCGAGGAAACCACAAAAGGCACCGCCGACAATCTGCTTTGCCATGAGCTTATGGCGTTTTGGTGTGCGGGGCCTGTTCTGGCGGTAGAGAGTCCTCTCGGAGCCGGAGATGAGGAGACTTGACCCATCTCCATCAGAGGCTTCATCAAAATGGGCCAGGCGCAATGGGCCCCTTGTGGTAATTACCACTCCTCCGTCGGTACTATAAAACAAGAGGTTAGCTCTCCGTCTTGGCCTTGGAGCCAAACAGTGTTCTCACTTACTTTGCAACCCCATTCTCGATGAGTACGGTTCCGAATCGTAGAGCCATATGGACATGGCCAAATGGCTGCTGAGGCATCGCCGGACGTAAGTATGGAGGTGTCCCCCCACCTTCTTTCTGGAACTTGTCAATGCCAAACTCGGGCATGTAGTACGTAAGATCTGGGGTCTGTTTCTTTCCGAGTTTATTATCTTTCTCTCGGGACTTGTCCGACTCCTTCTTCATCAACCCCTTGTAATCACTCAGGGAGAGAGTCTTGTCCGTCTTCAGCCGCGTAGAGTCGAACTTGGCTTCAGCCAAGGTATTGTCCACAGCCATCAACGCACATGGCCCATGTTTGTTCCTCGACGACTTATCGGAAGATATTGGAAATAGTGGCTTAGGTTTCCCGTCGGAGACCTTCGTCAAAGTCTTGCAGTTGCAGAGTGCCTGGCTCACACCGGTCGTGATGTCCCCGTCCAGGCAGCAAGACTTGTATCTCTTGTGCCAATCCGGCCGACCATAGCTGTCGGAGCCAAAATAGCAGTTTTGGCAGATGACATCGTTTGGACCTCCAGGACCGACAAACATGGATCCGCGAATGGCAGAACTGCACCTCCTGCAGAGAACACTCTCGGCTTTCAGCACTGGCGGCGTCTTCTGGGGATCCAGAGCCAGGTGGATCTGCGCAGGCGCAAGTCTGAGGCCATTGTGAAGAGGCTCGCGGTGCTCGACGACCTTGTCAAAATCGAGCCACTGAGCCGACTGGAGGAGCAGGCGAGCCCGCTGCCTAAGGGTATGATCGCTGAGGTGCTTGCCATCCTGGTACCCGACCAATTCTCTCACGGCGTCGCGGCGCTGCTCGCTCTCGGCATTGGCCAGTACCTCGTACGCGCGGTTGGCGAAGGCGCCCGAGTAGTCGTCGCCGTACGAGCTCCTGTCCTTCCAGCCGTCCTCGCGCCTGCTCTGGCAGACCTGGTCGAGGAAGGTCTCGTAGCCGTAGATGAGGGGATCGTGCTCCTCGGGGAGGGCGTCCTCGTGCTGCCACTCGGTCAGGGTGCGCAGGATGAGGGCGACGTCTCTCTCGACGCCCTTCCAGTACAGGGCGAGGAGCTCGGCGAGGAGGTGTTCGGAAGCTGGGCCAATCTTGGTCCGGGGGAGCTGGGCGGCGCTGGAGGCGTGCTGGGGTTTGCTGGGGCCGTGGGTGAGCGAGGCCGATCGCAGCCGCGACGTCACGGATTGGATCGTGGCCACGCGCTTGATGCTCGCCTGCATGCTGGCGATTGATGTACGAGGCGTCGCCGTCGTCGTCGTGGTCAAAGGAAAAGAAGCTCTGGCGAAGGGTTCAGACAGATATGATGGGTGCTCTGAGGCCGCCCATTGTCAACTGTCACGTCATGGTCCAACGGCGTCCATGCGCTGGGCCGCAGCATGGTGGATGGGCTTGGCTTGGCTGGTAACGTGGCGATGGGCCAGTCGTGAGTGAGTCTGCCTTGTCAGGGGTCAGATCATTGATGACAAGGGTGAGTGATTGCTGCGTTCTGATATTCAGCGCCCAGCTTGTGTGTGCGCGTGAGCTGCCAGTGGAGAACATTGGCTTCGGGCCGGACTCGACGGCTCCTTTAGTGAACACCGACTGCCCGCAAGCACCAATCAATGTCCACCGGATGCTTGAGAGTCTAGACCTCGTCGTCCAACGAAAGTTCCAAGCTACCAATGCAGTTGGTGCTCAATCCCGAAGGTGACAACTCGTTATAGCCAGATCCAACACGAAGGATCAGAAAGATAGGAAGAGAGACTCAGATCCTTTGATGTGTTATTGTTAAAAGACTTGTCGTTGTCATATAACGTGCATTCTCTAATAATTCATATGCGCAAGCATGCACCTGCATAGGTACATTTGTATTCAGCTGAATGTAGAGAGGGAGAGAGGCGCAGAGGCTTCGCTTAATGCATCAAGTAACCAGGTTGCTTTTGACCAGGATTTTGATCTTGGCACGCGCTAGCTCTATGAAGCTATCACCGAGTCTGCATTTCCCTTGTGCCCGTCCAAGGCAAGTTAAATCTTTATACTTTCACATTCCCCTCGCATCGAGTCAGTTAGCATCGCAATTACAAAGACCACCAAGTGACTATTTGGTCGAGCTCCAGGACGAACCCGGGAGCTAGCAAAGGCTTCTGTTGGGCATTAGATGACCACTCGCTGTGTGATACCCGAATCTATTGTCTCCCAAGTGACTTTTCCGGTTAAATTGACGGTCGTGAGGATCCAACTAAACGGCCCATAATACACAACAAGGGAACACTCCATAAAATGGAGGTCGGTTTGAATATTAGTTGAGTTTCTTTCTTTCATTTATCACTGATTAGGACACTCATTGTGCGTCAACTGAGATTTTAGGCTCTATCCATCATGACTATGTCTATCATGAACCAAGAAGAGTAGCATCGATCATATACTCTACCAACTGGTGACAGCAATATCATCGACACCTGGCCAGCATGCATACGATTCTGGCAGCCGCCTGGCAGCCCCCTTCGTACTACTCGTCTCGAGGATCGGGATTTGTGGAATCCAAAATTGAAACCATTCCAAACATGGGTGTTCTAGCACAATAGACGGCCACGAGCCTTCAAGAATCACAGGCCTTGACGTGGCGTGACATCTCAAGTATACAAATGAAGGAGAAGTAGTTGGGGATATCTCCGAGATACAGTATATTTATTTTTCTGACGACCACCCCGTTTAAGGAAGGGGGACTGCCAGAGTCGAGCACCTGATGTTCCCACTCTAAAACAACTTTTCGCCGCAATCACCGCAGTAAAGGGGTAGGTCCGAATATAAAACTGTTCTACATCATCTCAGGGAACGGTTCCTTACCAAGGAAGCTAGATATGAGCGTGATTTACACCCTAACTTGTGTGGGATCATTGGAAGGAAACAGGCATTTAGAATCCACATTTTGTTTGTATGCACCAAAGTATTCTCGAGTAGGTAGCTACATACAAGCTATGAACGAAGATTAAAGATACTAGAAGGTATCTCCGCCTCCCGCTCAACTGTAGAAGAGGATGCCGAGACTAAATATGAGGTGTCTAGCCAACCCTTTATCCCGGTAACATACCCAATTACGGCTTGGAGCCAGATGAATAACTGAAAAATAATATGATGAAACAGTGATATAGAAACCAGTGCTAATGTCAGCCCGAAATTGCGTTCTAAGGAATTATCACATAGTTCTAAAAGCAGGTCAGCTAGTTGTATCATTCGCCTCTACCAGAGAGGAGCTTACCGTTTGACCGTATATCCCAATAATTATACCCTCACCAGAGAGAATTTGTACCTTCGTACAGTCCATATTGGATCTTGAAACATAAGTCAGCTTCGCCTGATAGATGGCACCTCAAAGGGATCTAAACTTGACATTATATCTGAAAACTGGTGGGATTGATGCCATATTGTCAAAAATTCGATAAAACATAGGGGCTAGCAATTTCATTCCGTCCAATGGATTGTGGCATATCCAAGATCACATTTCTAAACCAAGACAATATCAGCTGATTATTATAGTAAAAGTTCAAGAGAGACCTTATTGGACAGTATTATAGATTTCTGAGTGCTCAACATTGATATATATCCCAGACTCTTAACAATATTTTGGTTAGAAATACTCCCAAAACTGTCGTCGCTCTTTTATAAGCGCCTCAGTAAGCTAGTAACTCGATCTAGACCACCCATAAAGATTTACATTAGCTTATCTCCTATCTTCTCCGATGTAGACTTTCCATCCCAAAATCCTTCAGTCAAAACTAGATTGAGTGGGAGGAAGAGCAAAATGAGTCGTAAAATTAAGTAATGTTCTAACTAGTCGCAAGTGAAAAGGCCTCATCTTTCGCTTCACACTAGGGCTGTGAGGTTACAAGACCGGGTGGTAAGTAGAAAGTTGTAATGAATGGGTTTTGGTTTCAGTCGAGTGAAGCAGTAGCACTGGACGAATATGGTTACATTCCCCGGCAAATTTAGGTGAAATAGACAACGCGGCAGACAACGTGTTGGCTGAAACGAGCAAGTCGATTGGGATTACTCCTTAGATTAGTTCTTCCTCACTTAACTTTCCACCTCCCCTTTGACAATGCAACAATTAACTTGATCCTCTTCTTGTTTCGATTCGGTTCGATTCAAAAGCAGCGGCCTTTGGAAAGGAACTGGCCGAGACGTGATATGATTTAGGGTAGTTTCTTACATGATTTTGATCACATTCGGGCTTCTATTGGCCCTAGGCTGTTAAGTCAGCCTTGGCTTCGGAAACTGCCCAATCCCAGACGAGGCTCTGAAACCCTAACATCTTGGCCATCATGTGAGAAATTGGTGGGCCGTCTTTGCCGTCTGGCCCTACGCCAAGACAGCTTATTTCCGCACTTACTGGCAGTGCTGGACCAGTTCGCTGGCGAACCTTGCAAGTAACCATAAATGCGCCTTGGCAGTTGCCCTGCTCGGTAGTTGGTTTCTCCGTGGAGAAGGGAAAAATTATAGCTCAAAAGGGGCGTGATTCCCAGATTTGTGCCTGGTCCTGACATGCATCGACGCACACTCCCGGGCGCCACGTCGATATTCCCCGATACTAGACAACAACCCCGATGGCGTGGTGGAAAAGATCAGCGCAGTTGCTGGCTGCGATCGCATTCGCGTCGACACTCGCGGCTGCTGATGACTGCAAGAGTGACAGCACGTTTGTCATCGGCTCGCAGGATGATGCAGACAAGCTCGGCAAATGCACCGAGTACACCGGAGATGTCGGTCTCTCCCCGTCTACATCAGGCAACATCACCGTCAGCGGCCTCGAGAAGATCACCGGCAAGCTGCTCACCGAGAGCGCTGGCGACAAGTCAGCTTCGCTAGTTGGCATCACATTCGAGAAGTTGGCGACCGTGGAGGGCTCCGTCTCGGTCGGCTCCGTCGACAGCCTGCAGTTCGTCTCCTTCCCGGCTCTAGCGACGGTGGGCGGTGCTATTGAAATATCCTCCCTCCCTGAGCTGAATACACTGAACCTGCCATCCATCAACTCGATTGGAAGCTTCAAGCTTGAATCAGCACCCAAGCTCCTGAAGATGTCTGTCGGCGACTTGAAGCACGCTAAGACCACCGACTCTAAGATTGGCTTGAAGCACATCACTGGCGACTCCGACCGCTCTATTGTGGTCAAGAACGTTGGCGTGGACAGCCTGGATGGCCTCCTGGATCTATACAATGCTACCCTGGTCGATCTGTCCGAACTACCTAACCTCAACAGGGTCATTCTATCACTTTGGCACATTGATGAGGTTCGCATTCGCGGAAATGGAAACCTGACCGTCTACATGTGGGAGAAGGCTACTACTGGAACCGTCCAGTTGGACATTGGGAAGTTTGACATCGGGGGTGTAAAGCACATATCCCCCTGTCTAACGTCCGATGTAAAAAACTTCATAGTTGTCAACAACACCGCCGAGTACCTCCGATTCAACTTCCGCGGACTGCAGCGCCTCGAAGTCAGGGAGAACCCCAACCTGAAGACACTCATTCCCTGGGGCGGCAGCAGTCTCACTAACTGGTGGTTCCAAAACATCACGATCAAGAATAACCCGGAGTTGCTCCTTGCCTATGACCCGCCTCGAAGCTCTAACGATAACCTTACCGCCAATGACTGTCCATACATGTTCAAGACGTCGGAAGATAAGTTTAGGTGGCTCCCATGGGATATGAAGACGGTGGACATCGACGCCAACATCGACAATACCTACTTGTAAGTCATGTCATAACATATACTCAAATCACCTCAATTACTGACTCTGATGACCAGCTCCACCTTCGTCACGGCATGGCAAAATCAGACTGGCAGGTACGCGGAGGGGTATGGCCGAGGCCCCGAGGTAAATGAGACGTTCATCGTCACGTCCTCCAACTCGACATTTGACTGCTCAGGCCTTGACCGTCTGCGTACCAAGACAACTGCCATCCAGGCGGGGACCTACAGCTGTCAGGGCCAGTCACAAGCGGCATATGTGATTGATGAGACAGCTGGCGCGGGCAGAATGTCAATGGGTGTGCTTGCAACCCTCCTGCCAGTGTTTACTGCTGCCTGTGTGCTCTTATAATAGATTTCATTGTATTGTATAGAATATAATTGTAATAGACGTATATAAGCAGGAATAGATACCTTTTAGAACAAACACGCCGAAATCTGGTTTCAGACAGATCTCTTCTCACAGATAAACTAGAACATCACTATTGGCTTCTTTTCCTAATTGAAGCAAAAGCAGCAACTTTCAGTTGCTAAAATAGTTCAAATTTCGACGGTGCGGACCTTTTTGTAGGACTTTCTCGCTGAGTTGACCCCGGCAGCTGAATTGTTAACAGGCCATTGAAGCTTCTCATCTAAAGCAGTGTGTACTTTCTTCGGTCGCTGGTAGACTTGTTGGCTTTTCGAACTTTCTTTCCTTTTGATTTATATTTGGAGAAAATAGCAATTGGGACAAACCTTTTCGATCACGGTTAGACCAAAGAACATGTGGCGGTTAACCGCGCCGCTCATTTACGTTATGGCTTGCCGTTATGCTGACACGAAGCTAATAAATAGGCAGTTCGCGTAATTGAAACGGCTAGCCTCTCACCCCAGTGCTCTAATGCTTCATTGTCTTCTGAATCGCCAGATATTGCACATCAATTGGGTTATATCGCCAATCGTCGGCATGGCGCGTCCCACTCCCTTCCACATCAAAGTCTCCGACGGCGACCTCGCTTGGATCACTGAGCGCGTGCGCACCACGCGCCTCCCCGTGGGACGAGACCTACCAGCCGACGAGCTCTGGAAGTCGTGGGGCCTCCCCGTCGAATATGCGCGGAAGCTCAAGGATTACTGGGTCAACGAGTACGACTGGCGGCGCGTGGAGAGGAAGCTCAACGAGGAGCTGGAGCAGTACACGATCCCGATTGACCACCGCGGCGACGAACTCACCATCCACTTCGTCCATCACAGATCGCCCGTGAAGGACGCGATCCCGCTTCTCATCGTCCACGGCTGGCCCGGGAGCGTGTTTGAGATCAAGCCCATCATCCGACACTTGACACACCCGACTTCGCCGGAGCAGCAGGCCTACCATGTCGTGGTCCCGTCTCTCCCCGGCTTTGGGTTCTCGTCATATCCATCTAAGCCGTGCAGCCCGCTGGAAATGCCCGATATACTCTGCAAGCTCATGTCCTCGCTCGGGTACAGCCGCTTCATGGCCCAGGGAGGTGATTGGGGTGCGCAAATAGTTCGGATCCTGGCTACCAGGTATCCAACGCACTGCCCAGCCGTGCATCTCAATTGCGTTGTAAACGGACCACCGAACCCCATGAGACAGCCCATTGCCTGTCTTCGCCTGCTACTGGCCTATGTAGCGGGTGGCTGGGGGTTAGATGAGTACGAAAAGCGGATGCTGGGGCGGATGAAGTGGTTCCTCGAGTACGAGGCGGGCTCCAGTGCTATCCAAGGGACGAAGCCGCTGACGGTGTCTTATGGGCTTACAGACTCGCCCTTTGGGATGATGTGTTGGCTGAGAGAGAAGCTTGAAGGTGCCATCGGGGAGGGGTTTGAGATTTCGCTGGAGGACTCCATAACTTGGGCCATGGTATGAGGTGTCTTTTCACTTGGAGTACAATAGAATGCAGGCTAACAATACCCTCTAAACAACAGCCGTACATAATCAACGGCAGTCCAGGGCATGCTGAAATCTATAAGTGGATGCCAAGGGGCGATGAACAGAGTCTCATGAAGGCACTCTCGGTCCCGATACCCAGCCAAGTTTCATTTGGGGCATCCATCTTTCCCAACGGTAAGCTTCTCCACTGTTTATCCCTTCTGAGACTAATAGTTTTGAACTAGATGTGGTGTACATACCCCGTTGGTGGGCTAACGGGTCGGTATCCCAGAATATCATATTCTGGAAACAACATGAGAAGGGTGGGCACTTCCCGTGCTTCGAAGTACCAGAGGTCCTAGCCGAGGATATACGAGCTTTTACTCGTGCGCTTGATAAAACGACTCTAGATATTCTTAGGGATTCTAACTAGATGTTTGACTTAAATTTAATGAGTCAGGGGAGGAATAGGACAATGTAGTTGTATGCTTGAAGCAGTAAGTTCTAGATGAGGACAGGTCCCATGGTGGCCGTACACCAACATCAATCATACCCTAGTAATATATTCATTCACCTAATAGAGTGACAATTCCTCAAGCACCATCTGCCATGGCTGCCTTACATGCTTCACTTTTTCACCGGCACCAATATCCCAGCCTACCAGGGGATGTTTGAGGTTTAGGAAACGTAATGAGTGTGTTCTTATCTTCACAACGAGCAATGATGACACAGTAGCACCATAGCATAGGCATTGCTCTGGCCGAGATACATTTACCCATGCAGGTACTTGATCTCCTTTCCAGCGTTGGGGGGTGCAACCAGTCCAAGCTGCTGAAGGGCTGTCAGCGCTCCCTCCTCGCCAGTCTCGTCCACAATGAGACCATCTTTTAGAGTGAAAATAGTAATGCCGGAAAAATGAATTTTCTTGCTGGTGTTGTGCTCATTGAGAGCACCGACGGCTAGGTCGCTGAAGGCCACACCAGTGTGAGTGCCACCACCAATCCAGCGACCAACAACATAGGGACCACTCGCGATTAGAGGATGCTGATATGCATGGAACGAGATGTCAGGGAAGGCCTGTTGAAGATATGAAAATCAGTGTTCTGATCTGGCATACAGAATTATACTAATGTGTCGCTTACTTCCTTGAATTCAGAGAGCATTTGCTTGGCCGCGGCCTTTCCATATCGTGGACCATGCATCGGATAGTTGATGACGAAGTCATCGTCGCAGAGCTTATCAACGATTTCGGGGTTGGCCTTGCCCCAATACTCGGAGAAGTATTCGGAAACGACTTCAATATTCTTCTTCTCTTCGAAGGTAGACATTGTAAGTGGCTTTGACGTTGGCGACTGTTACTTTGTTGTGTTGTTAAAGATTTTTAGGAGTGAGGATATTAATCTGGTCACTTCGGCTGGGCAGTCCCAGCCGGTTCATTTATACACCTCCTCCGGTCATTGTAACTTGTATTTCTGGCCGTGGAATCCGAGATCATTGCGGTTGATATGATGCACACATCTCCGTGCCAAATGTTTGATTCGCCATATCTATGGCATCGCAGAGCCGGAGCCGGAGCTTGTGGGGCATGCGATGTCTGCCGGCGATCCTCACTGGCAATATCGAATGCAACAACTTGTGACACGGTAAGGGGAGCATCTCTGATTTGCGATATCTGTGGCAATTCCGGCTGGCGCGGGGCTAATAAAAGCTTCATGTCTATGCGTAGTCCTATTGGCTACATCGAGTACAAGAGAATATCTTCCATGCAAAGCTTTTCTTGACCAAAAGTAAGCCTTGGATACAGTTTCATCTTTGTGTGACGCTGAAATGCGCTGTGATGACCCGCAACCGCCTGTGATTCTAGGCTGCTTTTGGTGAGATTGCACGGGCTCATGCCCAAAGAGTTCGGCAGGTTGCAAAGGGACACTAGCCTTGTTAGGCGTTATACAACGAGGCTGGTGGGTGGATTGTGGCAGGGCTCAGGCAGTCAGACCGGCTTGGCATCACGAGCGAACGCAACCATGGCGAGATAATTCGATATATCAATCACCTGGACAATTTACAAGGATTTAGATACTTGGAGTGATAGCAATTACCTGGAACCCGTACTTGGAGACACCGATATTCAAGCTGCTCTTATTATATGTGCACGCCAGCCTCATATACAGCCGACGCCACTCCAATAAACGACGTCAGACAGACAGGATGAACTTCTGCAAAGTGCTCGCTCGGCAATGAGCTGCAGATCAGATTTGGCAGACAGCTCAGCTTGCTCATGTGCACGTCAGCGTCTTACGACGCCTCCTCTCGATTCAGCCTCAGCTGGTCCCCAGTCTTGGCTGGCTACCTGGATGTGGCTTAGCACTTGGAGTCGCCAGCTTGGAGCCTGATAGCGCCTGTCCTTGGCGGGTGAGTGCTGCCAGTGAGCGATAACCAGCCCTACGGCCCGCTGGAGCGACAGGCTACGCATCCCGTGGGAACGAGAACCACCTCATCCGTTTCGTTGTCCTCATCATCATCGGCACTTTTGTTTATGCCCTACATATTCCACCCGCCAGTGTTCGATTTAAGAGACGGCCGTTGCCACCCTTACGCTCCCGCCGCACCGGCACACGTCTTCACCAATCCACCCCGCCATGGACGGATTCTCAGTCACGTCGCTCACATCTCTATGTGACACCATCTCGCACGCCGCCGTCTCCACCAACACAGAGCTCTCTGATCTACTGCGCGCAATTCCCAACGAGAAGGCCCAGCAGTCCCTCACATCTCTCTACGGGTCGCTACAAACCCTCGGCAACGAGATCACCCAGCTCCAGAAATCACTAACACAGGCTTCGGTTCTCTCCGAGTCGCTGCGCGGTCAGCTCCAGGAGTACCTGTCCGACTGCCAGAGGACCCTGGCCAGCCTCAACAAGCAAGTATTGCGCCTTGATTCTGGCCTGGCCGACAGAATCAGCCATACGTATCTATCAACTCGCAAAGAGTATTTCGCTGCGCACTGCCAACTTCTCAGATTCTTCACCACTACCCTTCACATGTAAGGCGCCGTTCGGATTCCCTTTGTTGCGAGGCCCAACCCCGCACTCGTGGTTTTTGCACTTTCAGCTGACACTCGGCCTACAGCAACGACATTGCACAGCAGGATGCCGCGTTAAAAAGCACAGATGGCGAGGGCGCCTCATCGCTGGTCAATGATGCATCAAAAGCCCTCTCCAAATTCCCTGAGATCCTCCAAGACGAGACCGGCGCAGCACCGTCCTACGAGTCTGTATCCTCAGGTTCGGCCCTTCCCCTGGCAGGCAAAGCAGGTGGCGATGAGCTACCACCCGCCTACGAGAACGTTACCAATGCCGGCGCAGATGGGCCAGAGGAGGGTGGGTTCGATCTGACCTCTCTCAAGCACTCATGGAAGGCCTTGACCTCAGGATTTAGCTGGTTCAAACCCGACCCGCTAGTGACTGCCCTGTGCGAGGCAAGTCTGCGAGGCGACGTGAAGCAAGTGGCCGGATTGCTGCAGCAGGGCGCCAACATTGATGGCCGCAACGACAAGAGCATGACGCCGCTGGCCTGTGCCGTCAAGGCGAACCAAGCAAACGCCGTCCGCTTCCTGCTCTCCGCAGGCGCAAATGACAAGACGGGCGCCAAGATCCCCCCGCTCTTCGAGGCCGCATCGGCGGGCAGTCTTGACGTCGCCCAGGTCTTCCTGGAGAGGGGTGCAAAGGCAAGCGAGAAGAGCGTATCCGGGCATTACTACTTCTACGACGTGGTGAATGGTGATGGGACCAGCCTGGAAGGCGTCCGGTTCCTTCTGCAGCACGGTGCAACTGTGGACATGACTAGCACACCCGGACGACTGCCCATTGTATGCGCCGTGAGGAAGAACCGCCTTGATCTGGTGAAGCTCCTGCTAGAGTATGGCGCGGCCGCCAACTCGGCCGACTACACCGGGTCGTCGGTCATTTCGCTTGCCATCGACCAGGACCCCAACTCGGAGATGGTGGATCTGCTCCTGCAACGCGGGGCGCCCGCCAACTCGAAGACAATCTCTGGACAACCCATCCTGGCGGTGGCCGTATCCAAGCGAAGCCTCCCGTTGACGAGAAAGCTGTTGGAGAGAGGTGCCAAGGGCGACGCCAAAGACATCTCCGGATCCCCTCTCATCATCAACGTGATCAAGGACTCGCACATTTCCGAGACCGAGAGAACCGAATACGTGCGTCTTTTGCTCCTCCACGGCGCCTCCGTCAAGGTCAAGGACATTGCCGGACAGGCCCCTGTGCTGCACCACGCGATGCAGAGGGCAAACGGCGACATCGTGGCCCTGCTGCTGCACTACGGCGCCGACACCACCAAGAACATGTCGAACGGGGAGTCGCTGCTCTGCAATGCCATCACCAACGGACGGCTGGACCAGGTGTCGGCGCTGCTAAAGTACAAGACAAATCCCAACCTGCCCAACTCAAAAGGCCAGTCGCCGCTCATGATGGCGCTGATAAAACAGGACCTGAAGCTGATACACCTGCTGAGGAAGCACGGCGCGGATATCAACCATGACGAGAGAGCGATCGCAACGGTTCTGGGACGGTCAGATATCCGCCAGGCTCTCGGGCTGGATGCGCCTGCGGGAGGAGAGCCGTCGTCGCCGACATCCCGGACGACGAGCACGGAGAAGAAATGACGAATTAATGTATTGAGCGGTCTATAGTTTTATTTTTGTATAAAAAGGGCTTTCTAGCTTGCCCAGCCTTAGATATAACTCCTTCCTCTTCCTCTAGGTTTCCTGAACTGTGATTTTTTGGCTCACCCAACCTTTTCACCGCCGCGCCACCACCTCACTCAACCACCACTGATGAATCCTCGCATCCTGCGTCAACTCGGGGTGGAAGCTCATCCCCAGCACATTCCCCTGCCTCGCGGCGATGATGTCCCCCGAGCCCCCCCTTGTCTGCGCCTGCGACTGCCCGGCCCGCATCCGATCCACGCGGTTCTCCAGCGTCGCCAGCACCTCGACTCCGCCGTCGCCCAGCACCTCCTCCACCACGGGCGCGCGGATGAACACCCCGCGGAAGGGCCTCCTCTCCCCATTTTCCGGCGAGGGGATGAACGGCAGATCTAGGTCGGCCTCGAAGGACTCGATCTGCCGGCCGAAGTGGTTCCGGTGGACGCACACGTCGAGCCCGCCGATGAGTTCCTGGCCCCCTTTCTTGGTGGCGTTTGCGCGCTGGGAGAGGAGGATGAAGCCGGCGCAGGTGCCCCAGGTCGGTTTCTTCTGGACTCTGTTTCTGTTAATCTTTTTTTCTTCTGCTTCTTCTATTTCTTAGGTGGGATAAGGACTCACTTGACAAAGTCGCGGAGGTTCTGCAGGAGGTCCGTCTGCGCGGCGATGAGGGAGATGGTGGTGCTCTCGCCGCCGGGGATGATGAGGGCGTCGCAGGCGGCGAGCTGGTCGGAGGTGCGGACCTGGATGAAGGAGAAGTCGACAGACAGAGACTTAAGGTGCTGGGCGGCCTGGTGGAGGAGGGAGAGGTGTTCGTGGAAGCCGCCTTGGAGAGCGAGGACCCCCACGCAGATGCGCTTGCGGGGGGCTGTGTGTGGTTGTGAGGCGGTCATGGCGATGGATGAGATGTGGCACTGATATTGAGAAGTGAGGCAGGTTCAAGTGAAGAAGACGAGATGGCAGATGTCGAGTCCGTCAGAGTCAGTCAATCAAAAGGGTGCTATCTTGCAAGAAATGTCACTGCTTCCCGGGTTATCGCCGTCGTTGCAGCAAATGGTCGATCACTGTGTCATTCACTGTGTCATTCACCATCCGGTTACATGGACTAGCGGCCGGTGCGGAGGTATAGACTCATGCAACCGACGTGGTAATCCGGATGTCGCAGATAGACACTTGATACGGAAGACTCGTGGAAGCAAAGCAGAGAAGAAAGCGACGCCCGTGGGAGGGGCGAATTGAGTAGCTCCGCTGCCCGCACAGGCGCTAATGCACGTCGCCGGCTGCACGCTGCAGGTGCGGAGCCACTGATGCCTCCGCACTTTCCCTCCGCACTCTGCGCCGTCGGCATTGCACCTCCACTGGCCTGACTGACTCTCCATCCGTCTCTGGATGCACCCATCGCTGGTGTTAAACTGACCCAAAAAGGGGAAGACCGCCGCCGTAACGAACGTCTCGTCTCCGACTAGACCGAACTCTGTGGCCCCCCGTGTCTACTCCGGTCACACTCCGACCTTTCTGCGTGGCCTCGATGCAGAGACATGCATCCGTGCAGCCCGGCTGTCATCCGACCTGCGTTATCTCCCGCACCGGCAGTCATCCACATGCTGCTCTACCAGGTACGTGTCGCCTGCATGCACGCTGGACCATCGTCGCAGCGGCATGGAGCTCGAACCCCGTGGTACTGCCGCATCAGGTAATTTGTCCAGAAAGACGGCAGCTCGCGTCTAGGCCAGCAGCGGGTAGCGACGGTCCTGCTAGATCAAGTTAAGCCGATGACCTGACTCTACAGACGGTCCGCTTGATGTACTGCCGTGCTACAACGTGCCAGGCTTGGAGATCGACTCAGAGTTGGCCAGTTTTTCCCGATGTTGCGCTCGGCTCTCGCATCCGTTCATGTAGCCGACATGTATCTTTCCATCTCATACTGTACATGAAACCGCGGAGGTATTTAAAAGTCGCCACCCCCAAACTCTGTTGACTAAACAGAAGAAAAAAATCCAATTCAGTACACGATCGATCCAGATCTTCACATCCAGATCTTCACACTATATCAACCCCCACGGATCCCTCTTCCCTCCCCCTTCTTCTTCGCCATATAAACCACACACTATACAGCCATCATGACCAACGACACCTCCCAGTCGGGCGCCGCCCCCGCAGACAAGACTTCCTTCGCCCTCAAGGCCGGTCTCGCCCAGATGCTCAAGGGCGGCGTCATCATGGACGTGACCAACCCCGAGCAGGCCCGCATCGCCGAGGACGCGGGCGCCTGCGCCGTCATGGCCCTCGAGCGCGTCCCCGCCGACATTCGCAAGGACGGCGGCGTCGCTCGCATGTCCGACCCCTCCGTCATCAAGGCCATCCAGGAGGCCGTCACCATCCCCGTCATGGCCAAGGCCCGCATCGGCCACGATGTCGAGTGCCAGATCCTCGAGGCCCTCGGCGTCGACTACATCGACGAGAGCGAGGTCCTCACCCCCGCCGACGACGAGTCCCACGTCGAGAAGGCGCCCTTCAGCGTCCCCTTTGTCTGCGGCTGCCGCAACCTCGGCGAGGCCCTGCGCCGCATCGCCGAGGGCGCCGCCATGATCCGCACAAAGGGCGAGGCGGGCACGGGCGACGTCGTCGAGGCCGTGAGGCACATCAAGACGGTCAACAGGGAGATCGCCCAAGCCAAGGCCGCACTGGCCGAGGGCGGCGTCCTCCGCGTCCGTGAGCTCGCCCGCAAGCTCGAGGTCGACGCCAAGCTCCTCCAGCAGACGGCCGAGCT